CAACTGGAGGAGATCTGTATCGAATTGTGTGTGGGAGTGGGAGTCAACTTCCTGTTGCAGCATTAATTGTGAGAGCGATAGAGCCATAGCTATAGAATTTTGCAAATTCCTAGAGCTAAGCAAAGCCTTTTGTTATGTGTGTGGGCGCCAGTGAGTGTCAGCCGGCACATCAGATGAATTAATCAACGGTGTGTCGCTGTCGCTGTCGTCAATCTTGTTGCTCCCTTCCGCATCTTGGCTGCCTCTTGCCCCTCGCTGGCTAATTTATTTATTTCGGGTCTCGCTTTTCGTTTTGTTTTGCCTTTGCCAATGGACGTCAACAGCTGGATTTGATTTTTAATTTCCATCTTCATTTGCCGCTATCGAAATAGTTGCGTTGCTCACATGACAAAGCCGTGGCGGGACCTCACTCGAATCGATAGGCCAACGTGTCGTATGCGCAATGTTGCTTTATGAATTCAACAAACGGAAGCCCCGCAAGTGAAGGCCCCTCACCCAGAACCTCACCCAGCCCCTGCTGCCATTTGGCATTATTATTGTTATTATATTTATATTGTCATTTGTCTTTAGGGCAGGCAGCCAGCCAGCCAGCCAGCCACGATAAAAGCAGACAATAAATATTCAATACTTAGTTGTGGCCAGGAATGCCAGCTAGGGGCGTGGCTGCCCGACGGCAGCGTTGACAATTCAATGTCATTATTGATGTCATTCACACATTGTTTGAGTGTCTTTTTGCAATGTATTTTTATGGTTTTATAAGCATTCAGTGGCGGTCGCTCCTGTGGCAAGGTGTACTGCAAATGTGGATTTATTTTTGGGTGTTTTTTTCAGCTACAAGAGATCAATATTTGGTGCTCTTTGCTCGACTTTCTAGTCATAATTGTGCCTCTCTTTTGAATGGGAATTGCCTCTTTCAGATATAGGTTTTCTCATCAAAAGGCTGCACCAAATATTACGTATATATTTTTGTGGAATTTCCTTAATTACTTTGCCCTCAAACTGCGCACATTTCAAACGAATCAAAAGCGTGGAATCTTTTTGCAAGAAGAACGGCAACCAAAAGCAACAAAATCAATGCTCATAATCCAATTTGGAACTGACTGAACACCGAACTGAACACCGAACACCGAACACTGTGTATCTGCATCTGTGTAGCCGTGTCTCTCGCTGTATCTTTGCTATAATTTATTGCATTTCTGCTGAGATCCGCTTCAATCAAAACTTTTATGTCAGAGATTAACGATTAAAGTCATTAGCAGTTAAGATCGAGATCAGTCAAGCTCGCTGGATGTTGAGGCTGAAGGAGAGCGACTCGAGTCTGTAGTCCCTCTGTATGAACCGACACATATCCATATATTATATTTGTACAGCAGACAAAAGGCAATACGGTTCATTCTTTTATCGCTTTTGGCATTTTAATGCGATGTCTGAGGCTGACTCTGAGGCATCGAGTGGTGGCTGGGGCTTTTGGTTTATTGTTTCCCCTGCCCCCAGGATGTATGGCGTATATACGGAGCACATGTATTCAAAGGGCAGAGTTATAAAACATTAGCGCATATTAATCATTTTTCCTGTGCTGCCATTTCCCTGCCGCAGTGCTTGATGGAGCTGCAGTCTGCAGTCTGCTCCAGTCACTCCAGCGAGGAATTCAATTAAAGTTTTTTCGGTGTAACCATTCCCGGAATGAACACACAACCCGTACACGTACCGCACCGGTGGGGCACCAGGCTGCCTGCCGCTGGAGCATCAGGGGCGGGTGGTTCAGTCGTCGGAGTGTCTCTCGCGTGTGCGTGTGCGTCTGTGTGTGTGTCTCTGTGTGTGTGTTTGAGAACTGTCAAAATATTGACAGCGGCATCCGTTATGCTTTTTGCCCAAATTGATATTCTATTTTAGGAGTTCTCGCTCGCTCCCAGACTCGAACTCCCAGCCAGCTTCAACTTCATTAAAAATATTTCCCGAAAATAGCAAAGAAAAGTCCAAAACAAATCGAAATAAATATAAAACTGATGAATTTCGGACGAGTTAATGATGCCGCCGCATAATGGAGATACTCTCCGCCGTAATCACTGACAAGCTCTTGACAGTTAGTCGGTGGGGCAAGGTGGGGGACCAGCCATTCCGGGCTGCATTTTGTGAATGAATTTCGGGGCTACGCTTCGTCTCGAATTTCTGCCGATTGCTTCTAACTGTCTGGCGCGACTCGTGGATTTTCACAATCCCAAATTATTAATGAAACCCCAGTGGAGTCTGCAGCCGCAAGCCAACGAGAAAAAAAGCTCGACTAGAGTGTGTGAAGCGATCGAATCCCATCCATCCATCGGAATCCAATGCGATCCATTGGCCATAGCTAAATATCATCAATTATCGCCGATGTTCGTTGGCTCATTCATATTCCAAGCAAGCAACGAAGACGACGACGATCGCTGATCGTTGATCCGGTCAATCAATTTGGCTTTAACTTTGTCTCTGTGGCTGTGCCTGTGCCCCTAGGGCCAGCGGAGCCACACACTGCTTGCCTCGTGCTCCCCTGCCCGCACTGTGTTACCGACACACAGGTAACGACGATTGTTCGCCTCAACAGCAAACGGAAAATCGCTTTCTCACACATCGATGGGACTTGTGGAATTGACAAATTGCATTTCCTGGATTAATGATCCGCCTAAATGGTATTTTATTAATTGATGTTGTTCCTTCCCCCCCCCCCTATGCCCCTTCCCAATCACCCCTGGCTATTCCCTGTTGGTAAATTGTGTATAATTATATTCGCATTTTTTATACCACATTAGGGGCAGCGGCAGTCCAATTTAAATGATCTTCTCTGCTCCCAGAGGGCATTAATTTATGCAATTAATTAATAAGTCATTAATTACGTTAAGGGTTTTTGTTCGTGGATGCTTTACATGCAGGTAGGAGGTTGCTCTCTCTCTGTCAATATTTACTTGGATTTCAGAGGGGATTTCGGATAGGTGAAGGGGAATTATTCTTTAATGCGTTTCGAGTATCATTATGGGGAGTAACGTATACAATCTTGTCAATCCTCTTCCCTTCCCCGACCATCCGAATGTTGGCCACAGATCTTCACCGCAAAGCTCTGACTCAACCCCTTAGGGTGCCCAAAATATACAAAATATCCATCCAAATGCTAGTTCCGCTGAAGTTCACACCCGAAATAAGATAAAACGGGGCAAAGTAAAGCCTGTGGAGAGCCTCATGTCAAATGCCCAAGTGTAATTCCCAAATCACTTAATACACTCATCAACTAATGAGGTCTAAAAGCCTCGGCCGCCGACGGATGTGTTGGACAATAACAACTTCCAACTAATATCACCATATCCATGTTTCCCCCCTCGCTCTCCTATGCATATCTCATTTATTTATTTTCAAATTGTACTCCGTACATATATCATTATTTCTGTCTGTGTGTTTTGCCCGGTTTCCCCTGCTTTTTTTTGGTTCGGCTAACACACAAAATGCAGGAAATGGACGTGTTGACAAATAAAAGAGGTTCCCCCCTTTCCCTCTCCCCTACCCTGTTCAATATTTGCAAATATTTGTGCTTGTATCTGAGCCATGTCTATGTATCCCACGAATTAAACACAACGAAATTTCACCTGTGGCAGAGGCGTGCACGTAGCTCTCCATTGTGGGGAGTACAACTTGGACAACAAATAGAAGTTTTCCAAAAACGAAAGTTACTAGTGACAAATTTGTGGTGCGAGTGCCGTGAGTATCTGTGAGATACTGTTTTTGGCACTGGTATCGGATGCAGTCCAACTTCCCCCCCCTAGATCGCACCCATTCCCACCCCTCACAGTGCAAACCGAGTCCAACCCCATCCACAGTGCCCCACGAATTTGACGGCGTCTCATTAGTCACATTTAAAATTGTATTTAATTACTTTCTCACTTCATCATCAGTCAAGTCTGTGGGGTCGGACGACTGCGACTGCGACTACGACTGCGACGCCGCCTCGTCATTGGTGTGTTTCCCTACAGAGAGGGGGTTGGGTGGGTGCACGCCTGCGCCTCCCCATAACGAAGCACATGCCACAGCGTCCACAGCATGGCAGACAAGAAGGCGAAAATTGATATACTTTCTGCTGCTTGCCGACTGCTCGACTGCGCTGCCTTTCATCAATTTCAAATTAGTGAAAATCGAGAAACGGAAATTATTTACTATCTGGATGGGCGATGGGCGATGGGTGATGGCCATGTATATCCATCTATCTACCGTTTGGGCCATTACAAGTGCAATTTATCTCGCAAATCATTAATCAGCTTTCCGTTTGTTTTCCCACCATCCCCGCCCACGCCATGCAGCTGCCCCCCCGTCCTCCCGCACATTAACGGTACTTGGCCAGCCACAAATGTGAATGTGTTGTGCAGAGGCCCCGCCCCATACGACTCTGATAAACACACAACGAATATTCGACAAATGAAAAGGGCGTAGCTGCTCAATTGAATCGTGTATAAAACATGATCGAAAGATACACAATACATAGGCAGCAGCAACACTGCACTACACGGTTGAGTAATGCACATGGAAATGTATCCCAACTACCACACACTACCCATAAAGTGTACATATGACATAGGAATTTGTCTATTGTGTTCCCCCAATAGTCCCAATACCCAACCCTGCTCGTTAGTGTACGCACAAAGCACACACCTGGCCGGTCGTGCTGTGTGCTGTGTATGTGTTGGTATCGAAGCGAGCGAATGAGCAGTCAGTCGGTTTATTGTGCGCACATACAACCCCACACATGCATGCATGTGCACAGCAAGAGAGCGAGCGAAACGAGTGGCAACGGAACACCAGACCCGAATCAAAGGAAAAAGGGCATACAAATGTCCATGCAACAGCAAACCGGTTGAGTGTTGGGTGTTGAGTGCTCGGTGCGCACACACACTCGCTTGCGTACGCAGCGGGCCACAGAAGTATTGGTGTATGTGAGCGACAGGCAGCGCAGAGGCAGCGGACTTTTTCCAACGGCACGGTTCCAATTCGAATTTTTCTGTCGTGGCGGTCGGATGGTGTGCGCTTGTTCGGGATTATGCAGATGAACACATATAAATAAATGACAATTAAATATTACTAATAAGAGGCCGCATCACGGCCCGCCCTCCCTGAAAACAGTGTGCAGTGTGTGTTATGTGCTACGTGTTGTGTCCCGCCCCTGTCCTTGTTCCCGTTCCCGCTTCCGAGCAGAAGAATAATTTGTGTTAATTGCATTAAGCAACGGTAAAGATTGCCGAAAAATATTTGCAACCAAACAAACAACGAGAAGGAGAAGCAAAAAGCAAGCGGAAAGCAAAGCCCAAAAGGCTGCCTGCACCAAGTGAACAAACGGTTCTTCAACGCACTCTCTTTTTGGGCCTGCTGTCGCCGAGCTGCAAAAACAACAAGAACAGCAGCAGAGGCAGAGAGTGGGAGACAGACGACAGCGATATCGACAAAACGCAGATCATAACGGTTCGCGCGTACGAAACAAATGCAAACGACAGACGAAAGAAACGCCAAAAGAAGGAAGCTAAGAAACACAACAGAAAGTTTGCTGTGATATAGACAACAACAAATATCGGAACATTGATCTGATCTCTCGATCAGAATCAGAATATTCGTGGACCACAAAGTGAAAGGGCAAAAAAGCTGCGCTGGCTTCAATGCAACTTCGCGTGCACCCTACCATGGACTGTAGCGGCCGTTCAAATAGCAATATTGAACGCGATTCCGATTTGGGCGACGATCTGGTAAGAAATGAAATGTCATTTGAAAGGGAATTCCATGAAATTACTGAGCTGATGTTGTTTGAGAGTCAGTTGGGGTGTCGTTTGTCAGTTTTGTGTGGGATAAAGAGAGTGTAAAATATAAGAAATGGCATGGAAATAATATACGAAAAAGTTTATGTAAACAAATGCTTTTACATACTTAATGGTCTTTGCGTCTCCTCTTCGATCTGCTTGATTTCTCTTGATATAAAATCAAAGATCGCTTCAATATTTGCTTCCTCCTCTCATCTTTCCGATGAGTAAGCATCTGGAAACGCTCTGCGTTGCCAAAAATATGCCAAAGACTCGTGTCTGGGTGTCTCCATCTGTACATCTCTTTCAATTATTTGACAAAAATGTCCCCAGGTATATATTTCACCAGATGAAATTTGTCAAATCCAAATTAACGCAATGTTCATGCTTTCATCTATGCATTAAAACACAGAAATTGATTGGTTTGGTAACTTGAGTATCATTTTTAGAATCTCTCAAAATCTTCTATCAGAAATAAAGTGGATGTCAGAGAAAGCTATGGGGGATATACAAACATACATATGTATCCAAACAGGTGTGTCGAATCGATCTTGGGCTGCGGTCTGATTTGCCGTCGGCAGGCAGCAGCTAGCAAATTTCGTCGAACTCCTACACCTTGATGATGATCTCTTGTTTGGTTATTGTTTTGGGTTATTTTTGTGTGTTGTGGCCTTAGCCAGAAAACGAATTCAAGCAAAATCAAGTTAAATTGTTTGCAAATGATTCAAAGCGTAATTATAATGTTAAGATAATGTTGATATTGACCACAGAGGGGCTGCACAGAGGGGATACTCGTATTTTTTGGCGTTTCTATTTGTTAGAGAGCCGTTAAAAGGTGACATGCTAAATGGTACCACACAGCGCATTTCTCAAGCAGTCACACAAACACGAACACACACACATTCACACATTGATTGGGCCTAAGTGCATAACATACTCATAAATACAAATAGATTCATCTGTTTTCGGGGGGACAGACAGCCCGAGAGGCAGAGACAGAAGACAGAAAACAGAGCCAGAGCTGAGCCGCGTTGCCGTCATCAGTGGGATCTCGTTCACAATTTCCATCTACCATCAATTGAAAGATCTCTTTCAATCCAAGCTCTTTGATGGCGTTCATATGTAAATAAATTGTTCAAATATTTGCATTATTTGTTAGTACCTTAAATGAATATTAAATGGGTTTTATTGCCTTTCAGTCCCGCCGTTCCGTTCGCCTTTCAGTCACTCAGGTATCCATTGGATGTGGAGATGTGAATGTGACTGTGACTGTTGGCTGTTGGCTGTTGGTTGTTGGCTGTGCAGCAGCATTCGATGCTGATGCTGTGTGTCTCTTCTTCAATTCAATAAAACTCTTGTTAGTTTTTTCCAGCCTTTTGTTTTTCTTTCATTTTTATTATTGTTAATAGACAGTGTGCCGTGCCGGCAGTGGCTGTAGCCGCTTCGATCAACAATGAGCCAGACTTTATGCGGTGTACACTCACTCGGGGACTCGGGGACTCGGAGACTCGGAGACTCGGAGAGAGATGCGGCTATTTACATATTTTTTAATAGCCTCGCTTTTGGCCAGGCCATACACTGATTGACTGACTGTCGGACTCCTCTGATAGACGGGTTGTTGTGCTGTGCAAACATTATTCCCGTGAAGGAGTCCCAGTATTCTCTTCTTTGCGGCGGGTGTTAATTGAAGGGCAAAAGGATGAGAAACGGGGTTCTGGTTCCACAATTCCAACATATCCAACACAACACCCCATGTGGGTGTGTATTTAATTAACCCAAGCCTTAGCCCCTGAGCATCAAGTTAACTTATCGAAAACTGAAAACTCTCCAGACATATGCTGGTGTCATTCGCACATCCGATCCCAAAAACGATTCCCGCTCCTCGTTGCATTACTCGAGTATTTCTATTCAAATCAAATCCTAAGGCTACTCTCGGATTTTCGACTCGAAAGTCACGATTAAACAATAATGTGGGCTGTCAAAAAGTCATAAATTCCCAAATGAAACCAACGCCGAGTCGTGCCCAATGGCCCAGCCGATGCTGTATGTGTCCGAAGCCGAAGCCGAAGCCCAATGCCCGATGCCCGATGCCCATTTCCCATTACTTTTTTGGTCCGTCCATCGTCATTCGAGCAGCTCTTTAATTACTTGGGTTAAACGCAGAGTTTAAAATTATTGTCGAATTGCAGTCTTTAATTTTTGAATCGTTTTTAAATTAAATCAAGTCCCGAACATGACTCTCCCTCCCCCGAACCCACCGACAATTGAACTTCTGTTTTGTCTGCCGCTTTGCCATCGATTCTTTTTCTTGGCTTTTGCCTCTTGTGATTTTGACCACTGCACGTGCTCCGGCCACAGTTCCCACATTAAATCATGGGCTTCGTGTGAGGGGGGCAAGGGAAAGGGAAAGGGAAGGGGTTTGCTGCTGGCTTTGGGCCTGGGGTTGGCGGGGTCTCCTCCAAACAAAAATCTCAGTGGTTGTTAACTGCTCGTTTGGTGGTGCACGGATTCACACTTTGGAACATATTTCGGGTTTTCATTTATGGATTGCCACTCCAATGGTTTGATAGTGTTAGCAATTGAGGGAAATTGAATTTGGAAAATATTTTAATGCAAGATATAGCGAATTTTTGTTGAATTTATAAAATTTGTTCCCTGTCGCTCCTTCCGTTTCACACTTGATCGCATGGAAAAATGCTGCAGATTGAGCCACTTACTGCTCCCCTGCTCTCTGAATATATCTCCGCCCCCTGTCCAGTCTTTTGCCCATTCATTCCACCAACTCATTTGGGTCGGACGAGCAGCAGCAACGCCAGCAAACGGCACCTGTTATAATTTGTTTGGCTTCTTGTACGCTGACAGGCAACGATTTTTATTAAATTCTTTTTGTGTGTGGCTGGCTCCTCTGCTTCGTTGCCTTCTTGCCAATGCTGTTGTTGTTGCATAACCAAATAACCTATAGAGTGCGTGTGTGTGCGTGTGGCAGGAAAGATATTTGATTAAGTATCTAGTGGGGAGGCCCTGCGCTGGCCCTGCTGCTGCCCCTTCCATTGGGTTGACACTTCCACGCCGCTTGGTGGCGCTTTCAACCGCAATGACAAACGAAATTTGTTTTGCTTTTAGTATCTTTTTGGGGGCGCAAAACTTGAAACTGCCAAAACTTATGCCCAAAAGGGTGGGGCGCGGAGCAGGGGCAGCGGCTGGGGCTGGGGCTGGGGCATGTGGTGTGTGTGTGTGGCCGTGTCTCGTCATTTGTGGCAGACTGAGTATGGGTTTTTAATTGAATTTTCGCAATAAAAAACACACAAAAACAACAAAAAGCATTTGGCGACAAATGTCAAAACCGCAAAATCAACTGCAGAAAGTGCTCATAAAAAATATGATTATTATTGGTAAACTTATTATACTTTTCGCTTTTCGCTGTAGTTTGTTGTTGTTGTTGTTGTTGTTGCCATGGCCGTATTGTTTTTAATGAATTTATGAATTATATTCCCCACCATAGCTAATAAAAATGTTAATTGGATTTTTCCAGCACAGCTGCCGATTGCGCGATAAACTTTTGCGCCAATGCAAAAATGCAACAAAAAGCGGCAGCAAAAAAAAAAAACAAAAAAAAACGGCCCCAAACGAACGAACGAATAAGTGTGAATGCAAAAATATGAATAGAATATGTACCAAGGTGTATAGGGATACAAGGTGGGGCAGTGACACAGCAACTGGCAGGAACCTTTCATCGTACAGAAATTCTCCAAACCCCTCTACGGCGCCTCAGAACAGCCAAGCAATCCACTGATTAATCACTTATGGAAAGTGAAGTCTTACAGAACTTTCTTTAGATGGGCTCGCTCCACGCCCAAAACCAAAATAAAAAGGAAACATAAAAGAGAGGGAATATATTTTTGGCAGACGATGGCGACAAGCCATTTGCCCTCCCTGCTGCCAATGAGTGCCATATCCAGACATTGCTGCGTCTGTCCGAGCAGTCCAAGCAGTTCAAGTCCTCCAAGCTGTCGGTTTTTAGGGGCAGGGCCAGAGACAGGCGGACTTTGCGGGCTGGCCAAAGCAATAAAATAATGCAGTTTTTAATTATTGCCGCCTGCAATCGAAGCTAGACGCAGTGAATCCACCCCAGACATCGAAATGGGAGACGTGGTCGGGGCTTCAGAGAGATAGATGGAGAGAGAGAGAGCGCAAGAGAAGGAGAGCAAGCCAGCGAGCGAGCAGCGAAGTTTCAGCGCGAACCGAGCGCCCAACTATTTTTCCGTGTTTAACCGTTGCGTTTTTTCCTCATCCTCATCCTCTTCCTCCTGCTGCTCCCGCTCACGCTCCTGCTGCTGCTGCTGCTGCTGGTCGTACCTTTTGCACTCCTCTTGCTCTCTCCCTTTCCCCACCCAACATTTAACCGGTTTCGTTTTTTGTGTTTTTATTGTTTACGCGAAACTTTTCGTCTGGCTGTAGCCTCACTTTACATGGGCGTGCGTGTAAGCATGCAAGTGTGTGTGCATGTGTGTGCTCGCCGGCATGTACGTACGTACATACATATGTGATGTATACATACGTACGTACATATGTAAGCCTCTCAGTCAGATATGTTTTCGCGGACGCCAGCCCAGCGCCATTACGTTTCCCACTGCGTGTGTGTGTGTGTGTGTGTGTGCTCGCGAGTATCCAAGTGTGCGTGCATTTTGTTGGCCGTTTCTTTTTCTGTTTTGTTGTTTCCATTTTTATATTTTATTCGCTTTATTTTTTCCGCTCCGACGCTCGCGCGAGCGAATGAAATCGCGTTTGCACGCACGCACACCAGGCAGGCACCATGTGTATCTGTGTGTGTGTGTATCTGTCAGATACGTTTTGCATTTTAATTTTATTTCCATGCCCCCAATGCTGGCTGCATGTGGCGGGGTGGAGTACGATCTCTGGCGACCACGCTGCACATGTTTGTTGTTGTTGTTTGTCCTTTTTCTTCTTTCACATCTTTTTCTTTTATACTCCTCTCTGTGGCTCTTCCCCCTTGTAGTTGTTGTCGTTTGCAGCGCGTTGAAATACATAATTCGCCACGGGGTATATGCGTAAATGAGCAATTTTTATTTATATTACATATTGTACATAGATACATACACATTTACATTTTTATTCGGTTACAAGATACATGCGATGCGTGCGAAGCACATGTGGCAGAGCGGGAACGGCGCACAGTGGGAGGGAAAGACAAAAAAGGACTGAATTTTGCATTTCATTTAAATTAATTATATTCCCAGTAAAATCAAGCTTAACTAGCTCCCAACCCGTGGTTTTAATAACTCAAAAATGTATTGCCTATTCCCTCTTGCCATTTGCTTAATGTCGGAATATGTCCGGCAATAATCCTAATAAACTTAAGACGCCAGCACGCCCCGAGCTGATCCTCAACAAAGAGAAGAGACACAAATGAAGTCTCTGCGTCTGGGATAACCCACTTGAGTCATAAGGACATTAGGTCTTTGGTTCGTTTACAGTTCAAGCTAAAAACAAAAAAATAACAGAGGAAAATGCAGTTGTAAAACACAAGCAAAGCCAAAGATGCAGATACAGATACAGATACAGATACAGCCACCGCTACACATGCATCGCCTGGCAATGCATAATCTTAATCCTTCACACAATAAACGCCCCTTGTGCCGCAGTGCTGGTGGTTGGCAGCCCAGCGGCTGATCCTGTTTAGCTGGCAGCGCCCTTCACAGCTTGCCTTGAGGAGTTCCTACCGGCGGTCCATTCGCGGACAGTCATTGTCACATTATGGATATCCGAGCGGTCGCAGCGGCGCATCCTTTTGTCTTTTAAATTAGCACGGCATGTTGCACATGCGGCACGGCTCGGCACGGCACGGCACGGCACGGGTTTCCGTTGTCCGTTGTCTGCTGTCCGTTCCCTGTCCGCTTCCTACAAATTTAGTACATTCCCCGATTGTTATACAGCAAATGGAAATTAAGCAAATTGCATTTGTCTGGGGGCAAATGCAATGATAATAAATTCGAGATACATTTTCCATTTCCAGCTACACTTCCATCGAAAATGTAATGTAAACTAATTAGTGATACAAAATATGAGGCTGGGGGCTGGGACTGTCAACGGCAAATAAATTAAATATTTTACCTACACTCGAAATTGCTGCACTCAGATAGTCGTCTCTGCGGTCTATCGAAAGCTATTACAGTAAATTGCATTGTCCCCGTCCGGGTCCCACATCCCCCACATATTTGTATTGCTTGTCGTATCCCATATCTGACACATGTACAGCGGAGGAATGGAGTGTGGTGTGGGTGTGGGCGCAGAGAGAGAGAGAGAGCTCTAATTGCGATTTAATGTCTTTTTTTGCTGAAAAGTCAAGCTTCACCTGCAGCTCGTAGCTGCACTTGGAGACAGCCGATAACAGTAGCGTTTTATCAATGCAAGAATTAATGGAACTAAGGTGTATGTGCCGCCCCAACCATCATATCGCCATACATAGCTGTGCAGCCATTAGCTATGGCTCTGTTTTCCCCCACGATGCATCAGCCATCCATTGGATGTGACTTGATGCCTGGCCAAGTGGAACACCTTATCGCTTCATGCTGATTTATGCGTCGCCTATTACAGGGCCACAGTCCACAGGAAAGTTCAGCCGGCAGCTGCTCCTCCTCCTCCTCACTGCACTTCGATATGTTCAGATGAAGTTTCATATATTTTTCCAGGAATTGTTTGCGCTTAAATTTCCCAAGAAAAATAAGCGCTGAAAATCAGAGTTCAAATAATTTATACTCCAACTAAATTTGTAGCATAATTTCCCCCATTCGCTGTTATTTTCCCATCCGACCATATTTTCGCAGCCATTTGCAACGTGCAACACAAAAGCGGCACAAATTCGTTGTGCATTAATTAGACATTTTATAGGTGCAAGTTGGCATGGCCTGCAAAAGCCCGCCCAGACCACAATTATAATTGTTTGGGCCTGGCCAACACACAGCAACAGAAACAGCAGAAAACCGCAACGAGGAAGGCGGCAGCCAGCAGCCAGCAGACTTGCATATATTTCGCATGGCTTCGATAACTTGCATTAATTTGATATACACACACACAGAGGCAGAGGCAGAGGCAGAGGCAGAGGCAGTGGCAGTGGCAACCACTGAGCCATCGTTGGAGCCAGTGCAAGTCAAGAGGCCACATCCCCCCATGGCAGAGGCGATCATAATGCTCTCATTTCGCTCAGCCACAGCCACAGCCACACACCCAGGAGTACTCGTACTTGTTGTATCTTGAAGCTTAATGCAAGTATCTGCCCCTTCACGTGGTGTGTGTGCAACATTTTTGCGCTAACTTCAAAGAATTCCGAGAACTCTCTTTTCCCTGTTGTCTATGCCTTGGTTTTGGTTGCGTTTATGAGTACACCCAAGCGACACCGAACAACACTGGCAACTGGCAACTGGCACTTGGGATGCCTGGCGTTGGGGCAAGGCGATAAATGTTGTACACATATCTACATACGCGGAGTACTCATACCTGTGACCGCGTCTCAGACTCGGACTTGGACTCTGACTCTGGCTTACTTTGTGGAACGCTGCTGCGTTTCTGGCTGTGTTTAAATTGAAAATTCCCGATTTGCACACAGTCACAGATGCGCTTAATTTGCACCTCTCCAAATGCATAAAAACCAAGAAGCCGTGATGGAGTGCCCAGTGCAGCAGATGGAGCTGTCGCTGTCGCTGTCGCTGTTGCTGCAGTTGCAACTCTCGGCCATGCGTGGCGCACTTCTGGGCAAAGAGTCACGGCTGAAAATGCATTCACAGTACGCTTTGACCACGGCTCCACATTGCCCCTTCCAGCGGGAGGCAGCAGAGAGTGTGAACCAGGGCCCCCGGGGTCTCTGGACTGTGTTCTCTGTTCTCCTGTTGCCTGATTGCCGTTTTGTGGCTGTGCCATTGTTCATTTATTAAGTGGTTGCCTTTGTTGTCACCCTCTACAGCTGTAGCCCTGGATCTAGCTCTTCAGCTGTAGCCCTGTTCCACCTCTCTGAATGCCTGAAGGAAGTGCCCCCTTCATTTGCTTTCAATTGAATTGTTTGCCAGGCGTGCCTTGGGGCCAAATCAATGACCATTTGCTAAGTGCTGCCCACGCCACAGGAAGATCTCTTTCTGATTTCTCGATTCTGATTCTGATTATGTTTTCGCCGCCGCCTTCGATCGTTCGATCGACAAAGCGCTGCCCATTAGCGTGTCCCAGCGGGCGTTCTCGCGGCTTGTTGACATAAGCGCCGCCATCAATCGGCCCAGCTCAATCCACAACTAAAACTCCTCTGCCTCCCTCTCCTCAGTCACATGGTGATCGAACGGACGACGAGATGCGCGACTGCGACTCCGTGGATGGGGAGCATCATCAGCTGAGCGCCAAGGCGGCAATTGCGGCCAGACTCAGTCACACAGCGGCCGGAGGAGGCGGCGGCCACAACTTTGCCAGTCCCGAGCAGCAGACAGAATTGTCGCTGAGGTGCGTAGCAGACGCTGCACCACCCATAGGGCTGCGACTTCTAATCTCTATCGTTGCAGCCATCATCACCAGTTGCCGCCAAATCATCCGCTCAATGCGCTGGGCAGCTTCATGGGCATCGGGGGACTACACAGCATTCCAAGTCTGCAGCACAGCGACGTGCTGGAGAAGCTAAAGATGCAGGTGCGCGACATGAAGGTGGGACTAATGGTGAGCGGAGCAGGCGGGCAGCAGCCTGAATCAGTGGCTAACCCTTGGCCCCTCTTTGCCTCTTTGCAGGAACAGGACTATGCAGCCGCGGCACATGCCGCTGCCTTCGGGGCCAATATGCTGCCCACGACAATTAGCGCGGGCTTCACACTGCCACACAATTCGGTGGCTGCAGCCGCGGCGGCTGCCTCCTTTGGCCATGTGGCAGCGGCGCCCACCGCCAGCAATGGTGGCAGCTACAATGGTGGGGGTGTCGCGACACCAGCTACGGGCAGCAATGCAGCAGCAGCCACCAATGGAGGCAGTCACTCCAGCCACAACAGCAGCAGCAGCGGTGGTGGAGGAGGAGGAGGAGGAGGCGCAGGACCTGGAGGAGGCAACGGCAACGGCAACGCTGGTGGACATCCCTTTTCGTTTGCATCGCCCACAGCTGTGGCAGGCGGCGGCGGAGGCGGCGGAGGCGGAGGCGGCAAAGAAGGTTGGTATCGTGTCGAGGGGCACCTCTCCATTGTGTTTAACTGTTGCACTCAGCCCGCCACTTTGCAGCCAATTCCGCATCGAACTCATCGACGTCCAGCGAGGCATCGAATTCGTCGCAGCAAAATAATGGATGGAGCTTCGAGGAGCAATACAAACAAGTCAGACAGGTTAGTGTACCAAGCACAATCTAAGACCCATTCGTACTCCCCTCTCTGTGTAAACAAGATGCAGGCACAGAAAAGAACTATCAATTAACGGCTAATAGCAGAAAACGCAACGAGGACAGGCAGGAGCCAAGCTGTGAGCTGTGAGCTGTGAGCTGAAGCAAGGAGCAGCACAGCGGCAGCAGCATCTTCTCCAGGCTGAACCAGTTCAAAGGCAGGCAGCCAGCAGACAGCAGCCACAGGGTCCAGTTTTGGCCTGCTTGGCGCTGCTTGGCTCTGGCACTGCTTGCCGCTGCTCTGCTGTCCGTTGCTTTTGCGCTGCTTTGAGGCGTTCCACTCGATAGTTCCGGTTTGCAATTGAGCAATTAATGAAGCCTCATCTCTTAAGGGCGTTAATTTGGTGAGAAAATAGCTAGTTTAACCCTCACTTCTCACTTACTCACTTCCCCCTGCTGCCTTATCACGTGGCTGTGTCCAGTCCGGTCCAGATGCTGACCAAGACGAGCAATTAGGCTCGAAGAATTCTTGTGCGCATCTTGTGCCCCTTTTTTGGGGTCGCTCTTAGCTGTTGCCTGATGTGTTGAACCCAGGGAAGTGCACAATATTTTGGTCATTAAATTGTGGTTGCCAAAAATGCGCCGTGTGAACCACAACAGCTTTTGGCTCGAGCTCGAGCTCGAGCTACGAGCGCTGGCTCGGGCTCGGGCTCGGGCTGGCCATAAAAACCAAATTTCGATTAACTTTAAATGCACACACACACAGACACAGTCCGACCCTTTGCCAGATACACGAGCAGAGGTAGAGGCAGCGAGGAGCTATCCATCAAACGGATAGCCCGCATTCTCTATGCACTATAAAAACTTTGACCCTCGCAATGCACTGCAAAAAGATACTTATGTATGTATCTCTCTCTCTCTCTCTCTCTCGGTGTATCGCTGTCCGTATCTGTCCGCATCTGTCCGTATCTGTATCTACGCTTCACGCTTAACACCTTCGCTTACACCGTGTGTGATGTGTTGTGTTGTGTGTTGTGTGCTGTGTGTGGGGCTAAGCCTTGAATGATGATGATGCTGAAACCGGCTGAGAGTCTCTGCCTCTGCCTCTGCCCGCCTGCCACCTCCCCCGCGGGCACTAGCTGAGTCTCTGGCTGAGGTGTTGGGCGCAAGATCCCTTGAAGCTGTGATCCAAAATGGCCTACCTGCCTGCATTAATTGTGAAAAAAAAGCGAAATGAAATAAAGCGAAATGTTAATTATGTTAATTGAACAAGAGGCGAACTATGAAGAGCCATTTTGTAAGAGAATTCACACAGATACACAAACACACTCGCCATCTGCGCCATTGCCTTTCCCCCAAAGTCAGATTCTGCTCTGATTTTTAGCCGTGTGCCTCGGTGCTCGGTGCTCTGTGCTCTGTGCTTTGCGGCATCCGTCAGTCAGCCATCTATCCATCCCGTCCCCATTCATCCAACCATCCATCTATCTATCTCGTATCTATCTCTTCCATCCATCCATCCATCCATCCATCCGCAGACGACGACCACGAAGACAACAAAAAAATATTATTTTTGGTACATTTTTCGCCTGCTTCATGGCTTGTACTAAAATGAATATTATTTAGTTTTGTGCCGTGCGCTGCTCTGCGCTGCTCTCATTAATCAATGTCAATTATCTGCTGTACATACTGAATAATTATGTTTAATTATAGAGACGGACCCCTGAAGCATTTCCCAATATTATTTTTAATTCTTTTTATTTCTTTGTACTTTAATTCTGTACAAATATTGTTCGTCTCTCTCTCTAGTGGAATTTCCTTTCAATCTGCAGTAATTAGTTGGGGGAAATCTTAGTCATTGCAGTTGGATTAGAGTCAAAGAAACGTTCTAAATGTGAGGTGGATTGGTGGTTAATGAAGTTGATGTAGAATTCTATATAAATTAGAGCTGCCTTTCCCTTTCCTTTACGTTCCCTGAAACTTGAACGAACTGTCCAAAAGGCACATCAAGTATCCCCAAATTGAAAGCTTTGTTCATTAACTTCGAAGCGGCAGCAGCAAACAATCTGTTGAACACATTTCACTTGAATGAGTGTGAAATTCTTGAATAAATATGCAAGCAACCTGCAGATGCAGCTACAGCTACAGATACAGATACAGTATCTACATATAAGTGTAAGTGGAAGCGTACAAATTATGCGCTCGATATGCAGCAGCAGGACAACCAACACTTATGAAGTGCAAACGGGAACCCGACGAATATCAAATTTAATGTACTTTTGGCCTGTATCCGCATCTGTATCTGATGGTTATAAATTACACCCACACACACACACACACACGAACAGTGGGCAGGCAACCAAAAATTGATCTGCTGGCGAAAAATGGATTTTTGTCGTCGAATTCCCAGAATCAAGGATTCAAATTTCAAGCAGTCTAGCGAGGGATTTGGGTTGCTTGGACTAGGTACTAAGTTCAGGCGACAAATAAGTGAGAGATTATTTTTATAACCCAAACCCAAAAGGACACAAAACACATGTTGGGCAGGACATGCAGCAGCAGCAGCAGCAGCAGCGGCGGCAGCGGCAGAGGCAGCGGCTTCAGCTTCGATAGTTATAAAAACGATTATGATTGGTCTACAAAAACTGCTGGGCTTAGGGTAGTAATAGTATTCATGTATTTTTCCGCTTTATTGCTTTATTGCCTGCGGATTTGTGAGATACAAACGGACGCTCGGCGGCTGCTGCTGTGATGCAAGTCCAGGGATCGGATCGGATCGGATCGGTGGCAGGTTTTCCAGCAGCAGCAGCAACCCTTGTGTCTTGTGGAAAAGCGGGACTTCATTTTATGATTATTAATACAAATACCCCAGACACGCAGGCAGGCAGACACACACAGACACACACACACACACACACACACACACACACACACACACACAGATACTTGTGTGTGTGTGTAAATGCAGCATCGTGGCCGCAGCTCTCAATCGAGACTCCTGCCATATTTTTAGTTGATAAACGACCTTTGATGGCGTTGCATCGTCGCGTTGATCAATGACTCGCTCTCTCTCTCGCGTGTGGAATAACTAAGCATCGAAATTGTCTACGCAGCGCTCTGGAATTTAGCAACAAACAAGTGAAAGAAGGAACGAGCAAACGCACACGACAAGCGGTTCAACAAGTGCCAGCAAAATGCTCATTTCGGAAGACCAAATACAGGAGGTAGCTAACCCCACCAAAACCCCCACAGACACAGAAATCTCCCCCAAAATGTTCCCAGTTAAAAGTGAATTTGAGTGCCACCAAAAAGGGATCTTTCAATAACCTTTCTGTGTGTGTTTGTGCTTTCCGAACACAAAGAAGTATTAGGGAATAAATGTAAATGCATGTAGAAATGTGTGTAAATATGTATGTATACATATGTACGTACATATGTCTGCTGCCTGCTCCCATAGCAGCCTCTTGTGGGCGTCGTGCATCATAAAAAATAAACCCCAGCCTGCATATTTGTTGTTGTTGTTGTTGTTGTTGCGTCTCGACTCGTCAGAGCCGCAGTCTGTGTGCCAGGGCTGACTTGGTTTTAAATCATTTGCGCGAAGTGCAGGGGGACGCAGGGTACAGGGGTGCAGGGGTGCAGGAAGGAGGAGGCAGTTCATCATTCGCATTGACTTAGAATGTGCACCAAGGAGGAGAGCGACTCCCAGGTCTCTGCAGCTCATGTCTCTCTGTATCTGTATCTGCTGCTGCTGCTGCTGCTGCTGCTGCTGCAGTAGGCGGAAAGTATGATGAATTCCGAATTTGATGAGTTCACTCCGATGTTGTCATTAATTTTGAACATACTCGTACACCACACTCCACACTCTACACAGTCCTGTAGCTTTGGCTAGTTTGAAGGCTTTCCTTTAGCCCGTCGGTCGGCTGGTTGCTTGGTTCCTGGTGGCAAAGGTCAAAGCATGAGCCTCGGGAGAGCAACAGCATTGCCTAGATGATAAATAATAATGAATAGAGAATACAGAATGGTACATACATTTATGTATTTATGTACATATTTATTATGTATTTCCATCTAACTGTCGTATCTGCATCTGTGGCCCTATCTTTGTCACCTAATTATCCATTGTGCTCTCTCGCACACTTATTCCCTGTTCCCTTTTCTTCCCCCCGAATGCCACTCGTGGCATTCCCGTTCACCCAGGGGAAGGTATTTCTCTCTCTCTAACAAGCAAGCAACCCCCAAAGCCACCAAGAGAGCGAGTGAGCGAGAGAGGTCGAAGCGCAACACGCGCCCCTGTCATCATCCCCACACATCAGCAACAACAGCAACAACAACAACAGCAACTACATCTACATGCACATCTACATGCACATCTACATCCATCTATTGTTCTGCCAAACAAAAGGGCAAAAGCGGCGACGGGGCCAAGCGCCATTTTGTGTCAAATCATTGGCCAACAGAGTCAAGTTGTTCGTTGATGTTGCTGCTGCCACCCATTGTGGCATTGTGCGCATTGTGTGAGCATATTATAAGGTTATTATAGCACCATTATTTATTGTTTGCTCACCGCTCTGTTCTTTTTGCAGCTCTATGAAATCAATGACGATCCCAAGCGCAAGGAGTTCCTCGATGATTTGTTCTCGTTTATGCAAAAGCGCGGTAAGTTGTAAGACAAACTGCGGGGCCATGGCTGGGGGAATGGTAAAAGTTATCCAGCTTGTGGCTTGTGGTTCTACATTTGCATATTCCTCGCCTGACGAATTGCTGCTGACTCAGCCAGCCAAGTGTTTTTGGGCCTCACTCAAATTATGTTAATTGAATCAATTGCTCGGCACTTTGACGTTTGATTTTGAAGCTGCGCAGAGCCATTAAAGTATGCAGAAATTCTAGAGAAAGAGCCAGCAAGAGACTTTTTGTCACTTTGTCACTTCAAATTACTGTCCAAATCTCACACACACAGCGAGTACCTTAGTGATGGGAAAGGGGTAGAGCATATTGGTACATAAATTTCGAAGGCAAATGCCTATGCAATGCGCTTTCCTGTACTCTTGTCATTAATTATGAGCATTAAGCCACACGCAGCTGGTAGCTTGCCGTGACTGTACTCGCTTTATAAACTCAATTGGCTGTTCCCCGAGCGTCCTTTTGGGTGCACAATTCTCGTGCTGCCCTGTGTGCTCTGTGTGCTTCGAGTGTTTGTTGCAATCGCCTGACTGACTGACGTCTTGAGAGTGCATTAAATTTGTTTGTATTTGCATATAGCGTACACAGACGATGCGCTTTATGGGCAGGCAAGGGTTGCCCAGAGGCAGCTTAAGTTGAAGCAGTTATATAGCGGCATCATGCACAGGACATGCATAGAGTTTGCAGCAGCAGCAGTAGCAGCTAAGCCAAAGGGAAGTCCACTTGTTGCTGTGCCAAAAGAGCATCTCTCAGTCGTTACTGGAGGCGAGAGCAGAGTCTAAGCCGCAGCTTGCAATTATTTATTTATTTATTTTATCTAATTTTAATACAAGATCCACAAATCTACATGCCTAAGTGTGTCTGTGTGTGTGTTTGTAGAGCATCTCTAGTGCTTGACAACTTAATGGATTTTAATCTGTCACATGCGTTCAAGTTTTGACATATGCATGCCTCAGCCACAGCGAACCATGAGGCAGCCTGGGGGCACTGCCACAGAACCACGAACCGACTGTCTAAAGTGTCGTCTGCCATGAGAAGGAAGCGCCGAAAATGCGACTCACTTCTGGGCCAACAAAAAGCAAAGAAAAGAAAAGCGAAAGAAAAAAAAGAGTGAGCTCCCGGCAGCTCTACAATGTATGTCCATGGCCAAATGATATTGTACAACTAACTAGCGGGTAAAATTGTGGCATGGGAACGGATTGGGTGGACTGTGGCTGAAGAGCCCCCAGACGGGGTGGCAGGGGCGGCAGGGGCGGCGCAATTCTTAATTAAAAGACGTCAATCACTTATCAACGCTGACGCTATTTCTGGCAGGAGCCACATCCTACTCTGGCAGCATGGCAGATCGGTTGGTGGCTCTCCCCTGTGTGCTCCGCGCTGGCGTTATGATTTCCAGACTCGATCAAATTTCCTTTAATTTCCATTCAAAACTGCCTGACAACTAGCAAAACAAATGCACACACACACACACACACGGATAAATAAATAAATGCTGCCTGAAAGAGTTTTTGCTTTTGCCTGAAAGCAGAGAAAAAGTTTGCCAAGAAAAATAATAATAAGTCGGCTGGCTGGCTGGCATGTGCGTGTCAGTGGTGCAGTTCGGAATTGGAATCGGATTCGGAATCTGAATCTGAATCCCCCCCCCACAGATTCCAGGAGAGGAGTTCAAGTCCAGACCCCAAGGCGACCACCGATCGACTGACTATGAGTCCCCGAGAGAGTTTAATGATCGCTCGATTCGAGGCGAGTGCCGGCCGGCAGGCCGGCAGGCAGGCAGCAAAAGTTAATCATTAAATTGCCCCATTGATTATGTGTACATTTTTTTGTTGCTCTGTGTGTGTGTGTGCCGTGTGGCTCGTGTGTTCCAATCAACTTTTTTGCTTAGCCAGCTCTTCATTTATGTTGTATCCCTTTTGATCCGAAGTCGTAGGCCCGCCTCACGCGCCCAATTTTGTTTATATGCATAAAAACAAAAAACAAAACGTATTTTCATTCAATCAACACGTCCATCAACGAGTTTGATTGATTCCTCTCGGGCTCATAAAAGAGCAATGGCAAGAGCAAGTCTAAACTCAATCGAACCATCGATCCATTCCTGGGGCAGCACTCTGCCACATGCAGCATTCATTTCCCTGGCTTGATATTGTATTTGGGGGATCGTAAAAAACCAAGGCAGTGCCTCTTGTTTTATACAAATTCAGGCAGCAATTATGCAAGTTGATTTCCTCTTTTATATGCTAAATGCGCTACACTTGGAGCGGGGAGTACATCAGCAGATGGGAGTGGAACACAGTGAAGAAAACGAATATCTGAACCGGAGCTAAAGAGCAAGGGGATTTCCCCTTTGTGTGTTGAATGTGAATGAGGATGAGATGATGATGATGATGATTAGCCGCCATAAACAGATCAACAAATGTACAAACATGTGCAGCCAAACATAAATACATACATAATACATAAATACCTAGCTGTATGCAAAGGCAGTGGAGGAATCGAGCAACAATTAGGATTCATTTCGGATTTTATAGGCTTCGGTGTGCACTCTTTGTGAGCCAGCTGGACGGGGGCCACAAGTGTTAATTGGTTCGTGATCGATGCCCAATGTGTGGAGAAGAGCGGGGCAAATATGTATCTGCTCCATTGTGCAGATAAATCTATTTTATGGATATTTTAATCGTGTTTTGCTTATTGGTGCATTTAACGAGCGCACTGGAAACATTTTACAAGTGCAAGGAACAACTTTTTAGTGCGCAAAACCAAACAAATCGAAGGAATCTCCCCGACTGTAGCTCTTATTATTTTGCAGGCACGCCCATCAATCGGCTGCCCATTATGGCCAAGTCCGTGCTGGATTTGTATGAGCTGTACAATCTGGTGATTGCACGCGGCGGCCTCGTCGATGTCATCAACAAGAAGCTGTGGCAGGAGATCATCAAGGGACTGCATCTGCCGTCGAGCATCACCAGTGCGGCGTTCACACTGCGGACACAGTAAGTGGACAACCCAGTCTGGCTGGCAACTATGCCCAAGACAAACACAAGCACAAACACACAGCGATGAGAGGGGGCAAACAGAAAACGGAGAATCAAACAGTGCAGCAGTTCCCCTACCCGCACCCTGTCCTTCCCGATCAAGCGGCAATCGATCAGCAGACTCTCTCTCCCGCTCTCCCGCTCTACCTGTTGCTCTGTTGCTCTGTTGCTCTCTCTCGTTTGCGATTTGTTTGCCTGTCGCTTTCGTATTTACACGATAATTCAAGTTAAATGCACGACAGGACAACAACGTACAACATCAGCCTGAAGTTTCGAGTGTCCACGCCCTGCACCCTTGCCTGTTTGGTCCCTTGTTTGCGTAGCTTATTAATAATTTTATGCATCTTGCAGATACATGAAGTATCTGTATCCGTACGAGTGCGAGAAGAAGAACCTGAGCACACCGGCCGAGCTGCAGGCGGCCATCGATGGCAATCGGCGGGAAGGACGCCGCTCCAGCTACGGCCAGTACGAGGCCATGCACAATCAGATGCCACTGGTGAGTGCTCGGGATGCAGCTTCTGCTCCTTCTTTTGCTAATCTTCCACTGCTTGGACAGACGCCCATTTCGCGGCCTTCGCTGCCGGGTGGCATGCAGCAGATGTCGCCACTGGCTCTGGTCACACATGCGGCGGTGGCCAACAATCAGCAGGCGCAGGCGGCAGCCGCCGCAGCGGCCGCACATCATCGACTGATGGGTGCGCCGGGTTTCGGCCAGATGCCCAATCTCGTCAAGCAGGAGATCGAGAGCCGCATGATGGAGTATCTGCAGCTGATTCAGGCCAAGAAGGAGCAGGGCATGACGCCAGTCCTGGGCGCCACACATCCCCACCATCAGCATCAGCACCAGCAGCAGCAGCAGCAGCAGCAGCAGCAGCAGCAGACGCCGTCACAGCAGCATCAGCACCAGCAGCAGCAGCAGCAGCATCTCCTTCAGCAGCAACAGCAGCAGCAGCGGCAGCGATCACAGAGTCCGGACATAAGCAAGCACGATGCGCTTAGCGCACAGGTGGCACTGTGGCACATGTACCACAACAACAACAGTCCACCAGGATCGGCACACACCTCACCACAGCAACGGTAAGAGCGAAAATCGAATAAGTGCAGTGTGTCGCCATCTACACTCCATGTGGCTGACAGTACTAGCGCCATCTGTTTGACATATTGCAAACCCTCAGCCAAGACAGCAACCGCATATAACACTTTTACATTCGCCCTTTACAGCGAAGCCCTGAACCTCTCCGACTCACCACCGAATCTCACAAACATCAAAAGAGAACGCGAACGGGAGCCAACGCCAGAGCCCGTGGAGCAGGACGATGGACCGCATCACCCACCGCCGGCCAAGCGAGGGGGCAGCAGCCTCCTGCCGCCCGGCTTTCCCGCCAATTTCTATCTAAATCCACACAACATGGCCGCCGTGGCGGCAGCAGCGGGCTTCCATCATCAGGCGAACAGCGGCCATGGACACGGGCACCAGCAGGACGCCACCTCCGAGGGTGAGCCCGAGGACGAGTACGGCCATGCAGAGCACAACACCACGGGCAATTCCTCGTCCATGCACGACGATGGTGAGGTTCAGCAGATGAACGGACACCACCATCATCATCATCATCATCAGAGCCATCAGCTGGACAAGTCGGATGATTCGGCCATTGAGAACTCGCCCAGCACATCCACCACCACAGCCTCCGTGGGCCATCGCCACAGTTCGCCCGTGTCCACGAAGAAGAAGAGCGGCGGCAAGGCGTCCAACCAGGCCAGCGGCAAGGATCAGCCTGGGGAGGAGAAGTGTGGCGGCAGCTCCAAAATGAATCCCCTGGACACGCTCAGTCTGCTCTCGGGCATGCAGTTCCAGGTGGCCAGGAATGGTGAGTACTTCGACTGACAATCCCCCCCCCCCCCCCAAGTACATAGATGTAAATAAATTGCCTTTCCCTTTTAGGCACTAGCGAGAACGGAGAACAGCAGCTCGTTGTTAATCTGGAGCTGAATGGCATCAAGTACTCGGGTGTCCTAGTGGCGAACGCTCCCATCCCCAGCCAGGCGGAGACCAGAACGGGATCGCCATGCGCCGAGCCAGCGGCCGATGAGGACGACGAGGAGGAGGAGGAGGAGCAGGAAGAGCAAGCGTCGCATGCCGTCGACGACGAGCCTCAACGTTCGCCAGTCAAAGAAGAAGCCAACGAGGAGACAGACCAGGATATGGACACCAGTGCTGCTGCCATTGTGAATGGTGGGGGGACTGTGGGAGTGGGTGGCGGTGTGGGTATGTCCCTGCTGAAGGATGCGGTGCTCAGTTCGTAGGCCAGCCAGGGGAAAAGTATCGAGAGAGGAATACCAAAGTCATATTTTTCAGAAAAATACAAAAAGAAGTAAAACTCACACACACACACACAGATGCATCAAACAGCAACCTACATATATGTATATACACACACACACACACACACATGCAGCGACAGAGCAGTAGAATAGATGTGAGATATTGTAAGATGGAAATAATGCATCCCATTGTTCGGTCGTAACAAGAGGCAGAAACGAATCGAAGTGGTTCGAATCAAAGGTTTTTATTTATGTACCCGCACCAAGACTAGCCGCAGATCATATATAAATAGCATACATAACAGATACATAAGATATATATATGGATATATGGATATAGATATGTGTATATGGCTGTACATGTCTGTTCAATTTCCACATTTTGCATAAAAGACACAAGCTGGGGCGAGCGAGCATTGATTGTATGTAGTTACTGATAGATTCCTACACATAAGCAACACACACACACACACACACACACACACATAGGCTAACCAGAAATCAGTTTTGTTTTTAGCCATTCAACCTTAAATCATTATTATGATTATTATTATTATTTTGTGTTAGGGCTTGAAAGCTTCTTCTGTACATATCAAATCAATATGTAACACACACACACACACACACACACACATCTATATATATACTTATATATATTTACATAATTATAAGCACACATTCATAAACCATTATGACCACATTGAGTACGCAGCATCAACATCATCATCGTAGACATATTTTTAGACGTAGCGCCTAAACAAAAGTAATAATTATAAATGTATTTGTCGTAAAATTAAATTGCGCTCTTGGCCACCACACCTCCCCCCGCTTACCTTGAAGCTGCGCCCTCCAAAAGCCAAGCAGAACGTAGCCGAACATTTGGACATATATTCATAAGCATAAGGCGTTCAATTTATTGAATAATAAATCCATTTAATTTTAGTTTGCAATACGCGTTCGTGGTGGCTCGAGGACTAATTAATAGACCCCCCAAGCAGCGGGTGCTACCACAAGTGGAGGGGATGCCCGAGGCATCGAAGTGGCAAGGGCAAACAACATGGGAGGCACTGGCACTCAAAGGAGCATTGCCATGGCTGTTCCTTCCTTCTGTTATAAAACAAAAGAAATATTTGCCCTTTATGTTTTTGTGGCTGGCTTCAATTTTCACAAGGCAAAAAAGTCATAAACACACAGAAGGGGCCGTAGATTATCATCATCGTCCTCAGCCCCTCTCCTCTTGCGGGCGAAACCCACAAAATGCACACCAAACAAAGTGATGAAAAGCAAATGTTGTTCAAAACAATGGATCCGTGAAATTGTTCTCGCCCAGAGGACCAGTCAGTCAGACAGCTGTAAATGGTGGCGCAGGAGGCAGGAGGCAGGAGGCAGGAGGCACGCAGGCCCAGGTGAGGTCTCGGGTGCTAACTACATTAATGCATAATGATGGTGTGCGGCGGCAGGCATCCTCCTCTCTGCTGGACCATCGGCATAATGACTTACGGACGCAACTTTGTTATGCCCCGGCAATGGGCCTCGGTAAGTGGCAAGTGGCTTTAGAACCATGGGCCATAAACGGATAAAGCTTAAGGCCAGAGAGGTTGTTGCTTTCACTTCAGCTACTACTGCAACTACTCCACAACTTGTACTCTGCTCTGGAAGTACCAACAGTGGTCTCCTTTGATTGAACGCTTCAAAAAGTTATCTAAAATGTATCGAAATGTATCGGGAGTCATCGAAATGCATCAAAAGTTAGCGAAATTCAGCGAAAGGCCATTCTCTTAATGGACCCTTTGGACATTTCTGAGACGCCATTTAATGACAAAACAACAGAAATTTATATGAAATTTATATTATGGAAATTATTGTGGCTTTGTGGGGGAATTCGAAACCCGTTTGAAGTCCACTTTGCGGCTGCAATTTGTACGGAATTCACATTTAATTAAATATCCGCTGCAATGAGAGTGAGGTCCTTGGTTATGCCTGTCATCGGGCAACCAGACTGCTGGTTTTTGGGCATTCAATTAGCTACGAATAAATAAATAAAGGCAACAACTTGTTGCAGATTACATCAACAGGAAGCCGCTGACAGGCAAGTAAAAAGAAAAAACAGAGCCCAGGGGATTTCAGGTCACGTGCTGGAATGTGTTACATCTCGAGTTACCGAACTAATCAGGACCCGCGGACCCGCCATAAATCGTTAATACGAGTAGATTGTGGGCCGGAGAGGAGCAGGGGAGCAATGTGGCATGGGGCATGGAAAACATTACGGAAATTAGCTCGAAGGAATGGAAGAAAGCGCAGGAAAAGCGGCAGGAAAATGTATGTATTTATGGATGCTGCATACACAAATATGTATGTAAATGTATATTGATGTCGCTGCTCAAATTAAAGGACAATAATACAGTAATAAAGTTGGCATCCAATCGGCCCCGGCCTAGGGCCACCCAAAAGCCAAGCCAAAACCCCGAACCAAATCGCCCACAGAGCCACGCACAAAACACACAAACACCTGTACTGGGGAGGGGAACACACACCACACACGCACCTTGACAGGCAGCGGCGCTTAAAAGTATTTATAAATTTTATATAATGTGCACAAGATACAGGACGTATCCATCCATCCACAGCCCGAACTCCAACCCTCAATGGCGTGCCAGCCCCCCCCCCACCAGCATGAGGTACATAAAGTACAATAGCGGTTTGCCCTTTTTGGTGCAGAGCGGGAAGTAACCTCTATTATTTACCAATACAAACTAAGCTTTAAAAAAGAAATGTAAAATTACCCAGCTGATGTTGGTGGGGGGTGAGAGCGGAGCGAAGCAGCCGAGCACGAGCACGAACATGGCAGAAGACGCACGAGACCCGAGACACGAGCACGAGCGGCAGAGACAAACATGTGTACGGGACACACACTCATGGCATCGCCTGTTTAATACAACAATTGTGTGGCTTTTTAGTACACACGCTGGATGCGCAGGGGGGGAGGGAAGCTCTCATGCATGTGTTTATGTATGTACCTAGCTCGCCTCGAACCTCAAACGCTTCTGTCAGCAAAGCAACAGTTGTCCCAGAGAATGTTGCTGAGCATAAAAGCTCAGCACTGCAGGCAGCAGCAGCAGGCAGGCAGCGACAGCGACAGCGACGCTTGCGCATTAGCAACATCTGCAGCAGCGGAAAATGTTGCCTACTGTTCAGCGGGGAACAGGCAAGGAGCAGCAGCAGGAATATGTACCCAAATATATTATTCATCCCTCCAACGGTGGGCTGATGCTTGGTGGCTGTGTGGGGAGAACAAATTCAAATTCACCCTTATCAGAAAGCTCTCCAACACACACATACAGGTATGGTATCCCCCACCGTTTTGTATCTCAACATTTTGCGGGCATGCAACAAGCATGCTTTTGTTTGTATTCGTTGGCCGCAGCAGCGGGGAAGCGTCTCCTGCTGCTGTTGCTGCTGCTCAACATAAGCGCTCGGGTGGCACGAGGACGACAACGACAACGACAACGACGACGGGGACAGAGCAGCACTCGACTTATGTAGAATTTTTTGCACACTTGAGAGTTTAGTTCAGTTTTGGCAGAATTGATAGATACTCGTGTACCCGCAGCACTCGCAGCACGCAGCTCGCAGTTGTAACGTTTGTGCGACTATATAGATATAGATATAGATACAGATACACACACGCACAGGCAGGGCAAACAGGCAAACAGCCAGTGGCACTGGCACAGGTTTTTCCCCCGCTGTTATTTTGGAGCCACTGGGCACTTGGCTAACTGACTGGGCCACATCGTGTCTATCTATCGCCACATCAGGCAGAACCAGAACCAACACCAACACCAACACCAACACCAGAGCCAAAAGTAAAAGCAAAAGCGAAAAGCTAAACCAAAATCGGCAGGCAGCACGCTTCCAGTGGGAAAACAATTCTGGCTTGTTCCCGTGGCGCTGCTGCTACCGACGACGCGTCGCTCGCCCCTCAATGAAATCCACGTTGATTTTTGTATCGCAATTGTGATTTGATTTACAATACAACCCCACCACACAGAAACACAAATATAAATACATACAATCCAACCACCGAACCCAAACGAGTGCATTTCGCGCATTAAAGTTCGAGTTAAAGTGCTAAACAGTGATCCAAGTGCGGCTCCTCCAGGTGTAACAGAACCCATCAGCCTGCAGTTCAACAGCAATTTGCAAAGAAGGTAAAATAGAGCACCCCCGAACCCCCGTCCCTGTCGTTCCACATTGCTGTTAATATGGTCGCTCTGTGGCTCCCCCTCTGGGCATGCCGTGATTTGACTCTCCCTCCCCCAAAGACTACAACCAGCTAATTGATAGTGAAGCTACTGGGAGCGCATGGCTGGGCCGTAGCTGGGGCAAAACGCAATTACAATTACCAAAAGCAGAAGCAGAAGAGAGAAAAAATTCTCATACTAGGATGAATATAAGCTCATCAAGTGAGCCAAGGAACAAGAACCGTACACCCCGTATACCGTATACCGTACACCGTGCTCCGCATGTACGTGTGCGTGTGCCTGTGTGTTTTTGTGTACTTGTGTGTGCCGGGGTCTCAGCAAAGTTAAGCTGCGTGTGGGATGCAGAGAATGACTTCGCTTCCCCCCGGCACAGCTGGAGTGGGCAAGGCTTTGCCGCAGGGGCACGGTCAATGATTGAATAGCCAGAAGAGAAGAGTTATCCCAGATTTTTTCCTCCATTGAGTAGCTGTAGCCTCCATGTTTGCCAGTTATCAACAAAGTGCCATCAAAGCTGGGCTACTGGTACACGAAATGTTTTAAAAGCCGAATAGATGAACATTTTTCCATCAATAGGGTGTGGGTGGAGGGTGTTGCTTTTAATTAGAGGATTTGATTCTAGTGAAAGTATGCAAACACACCTCCCTAGTAATAGGAATTAAAGCACAGCAGAAATTTAGTGTTCCTCAAATATGGTAAAAATATCTGCAACTTCAGTGTAGGATATTTTCTATAACCAATTAAAACTTTAAAATAAACTTTCCCCCAACTCCAACTCCAATTGATATACATATATCGCCTGCGCAGCTCCTCCAACTGCAAAAGCTACTCACGCGATCAGCTCCAACGCAATGTGCGCGCTCTCCCTCTCTCACTCTCAATCTTTACGCTCAGCATTTGGCTTTGATTTCTTTTCTTCGATGCATAAACATACATACACACATTCTGCTGCCTCTCACTGCTCTCTGCTGCTCTCAAGTTCACATACAGATACTTGTTGTACTCGTACTTCTCGTTCGCGCTGTTGCTGTCGGTATCGGTCGCTCTCCATCGCTTCATTCGCCCCATACCGTACGTACACACATTTTGTGTCTGAGAAGAGATTGTTTTAGTTTTTCTACCATTTGGGCTGCCGTTTGCCTTTCGTTCGTTTGCCTTTGCCTTTGCCTTGCCTTTGCGCTTTGCGCTCTTCCTCTTGATCCGGCTGTTTCTTTTCTTTTGTGTTTCGTACGAGCCGGAGAGCTGCGAGCTGCGAGCGAAATCATTTGACGTTTTGCTTTGACAGGCAACCGTCGTCGTCGTCGTCGTTTGCCGTTGTCGTCGCGTCGTCGCTGCTGACCGTCGCCGCCGTCGATCGCCGCTCCGTTTCGTTCCGTTCCGCTCGCTCATTCTCGGGGTCGGTCTGTCTGGTTGTGTCGTCTAGTTGTGAGTCCCGTGCATAGTACCGTACGAAGAAACCTATTACTATTCCACTCCACATCCACCCACCCAAGCAGTGCCAGACAGCAGCCCCCTGTCCCTCTCTCTCTCTCTCTCTGTGCAGTAGCAACTCCGTTGTAATCGAATATTATATTCATTCGATTGCTGATCAATATGTGTGTGTGTGTGTGTGTGTTGGAGTGTGTGTTTTTGTTGGCAGAAGTAGCAGCGGCAGCAGTAAATATGAGCCAATTGTATCTCTCAGATACTTTGCGGCGTTATCGTGGTGCTACTGGCTGCTACAGCCTACCGCTGCTACATCTGTGACGACACAGTGGGCGCTGCCGCTGCCGCCGCTGCTGCTATTATTATTTTTAATGCATTGCATTTACGATTCGTGTATCTACCATACATACATACATACATACTTACATATTTTGCAATATCTTGTGCGTCAACAACAACAACAATATTCGTGCGATGAACGTGACCTCCCGCGTATTAAAATAAATTCTAATTTGTGCCACAACGAAAAGAGCAACGAAAAGTGTACAAAATTCTTATTCTTATTGTTATTCGGGCGATTCTACATATCTACATATGAGAGCATACTCACGCGTGTGTGTGTGCGTTGTGTGTTGTGTGTGTGTCCCCCTAATATTTGTCATGAGTGCGTGCATATAACCCTCCCCCCTCCCCACACGCAACACACCATTGTTCATGTGTATTTGTTTAATTTATATCTAGAGTCTGATATAAATATTAAAATAAGAAAGTCTACGTATAGTACGTTGTATATATGGAAAATATCACCGGCCAACTAAGCGACAAATTTTCTGGTACGTCAACAGATAATGTATTGTGCGATATGTACATATGTATGTATACATACATTTGTATGTATTTGTGCACTGCTTGGACATTTTTGTTTTAATTTTTGCGGAATTTCGTTGGGGCAGTTCTTACACACTTGGATACAGCGGCTCCAAGATATAGTTAGCCTCCCCAATCATGAGTATACATTTCATTGTATCCACCTTGGAGTCGTCTGGCTGGCAGCTGCCCTCCAAAAAGATCATAAAATAACATAAAATATAATAATAAAATTCGGTTAAAGGCAGTTGCTGTGGCGCGGGGGGAACTTCTTCTCATGCAACTGGCGTCGCAAAAACATTTTCAGTTTTTAATTTAGCTGAATATGGCTCGTGGGTGAGGGGGGCATGAGGGGCTGGCTGGCTTCCCATAAAAATAACGCTTAAAATGTTGTCCCGTGTCCGTGTCCATGCAGGGGTGAGGTAAGGTTGCCATAAACAATGCGAAAAATATCGCTTCGTTGTACTTATAAACAAGCCACAATAAATTTTTGCAAGTGGCATTCACATTTGCATTTTTCATTTTTCATTACTTTCAGATTCAGATTTCGATTTCGAATTTTTGTATGAATCTCGGGGGAAGGTACTCACGGGGGGCGGGGGGGAGACTGAACCATTTCGGTGATAATCTAATGACTGATTTTCAATATACGCGTACGCCCGTACACACATTCATTTGTGGGACGGACGCCTTTTCATTTCATTTCCACTATCTATGCGATAGTCTTCTGCCACCCCGCTCCCCCACACGCAATCAGTACTTTTTTTTCGTGGGGCTTAATTAATTCTCGATTTTAACTGTTTATTAAAAGGGAATGTTTTCGAGAGGAGACTCTTGAGTCTGTTGGGGTATTGTTAACAGCAAATAAATCCAATCCGAGCAGCCAGCCCTGCATACTGATGGGCAACTCGCACGAGCAGCAGCAGCAGCAGCAGGGGGGAGGTAAAGAAAAAACGAAAAGCTGAAGCTAAAGAAAAGAGCGAGAAATACCTTGGAAATGTTTATTATAACTACAGTTATGCAACCTGCACACAGCCAGCCAGTCAGCCAGCCCCATGGGCATGCTAAATAGTTTCCTCTCCTCCCCATACACAGTTATCCTCATCCAGCAGCATGCCCATCCCCGCTCCTAGCTAGCCTGCAGGTTCGTCCAACCTTATGCTCAATTCGCTGCTTGCCAAATAGCTGTATTGTCAACTGCTTGGGGGCAATCAACACACTGCTTTACCGTCTCCTCGCTCTCCGCTATCCTCTTTCGCTTGCTCTAATCGCTGTTGAGGGGGGCGACTGGTTCTAGTTCTAGTTCTGATTCTGATTCAGATTCAGTTTCTGGATATTCCGCTGCGACACTCTGTGCCTGCACCCCCTCTCCTATGCCCGTGCCTTGTTCCATTCCTCGTTCCCCCCTGCCTTCTATTGTATTATCTCGCGCTGTGGTTCAGCATTTGAAATGCAAATTTTTAACTGGCAAAACTCTGTCAAACGGCCGGAAAAGTCTCCCATTGATATCGTTGAGGCAAAACTGTCTCTCTCTCTTTCTACTCTGTCTATTTGCGTGCTCTTTTCATGTTCATTATTAATTAGGCGAGGTCCAGCCCTTCCGCTTGTAAAACATTTAGTTTGTCGTCTCCCATTGTTGTGGCCTCAGCCACAAACAATTTCGAGGATGTTTGTGCTCATTTCGAAGGCCAAGAGGAAAGTTGCACACAATTGAAGGAATTCGTGTAATTTCAATTCTACATAGAGCCACCCAAAGCCGTAACGATTACAAAACTCTCATTACTTGTTTACCCTTACAAATCCCCCAAAGCAGTTGAAATCGATCGCCATAGACTGGCACACATCGTTCGATTGAGTGTCTGATAGCTGTACACATGTATCCATAAAGAGAGAGAGAGAGAGAGAGAAAAAACGCATAAAATATATGGATGTGTGTGTGTGTGTGTGTGGACGTAGCTGTGCTGGCATGCAATGTAAACAGAAAACAGAAAACAGAAAAGTGAAGCCGCGCGCCGCAGCCTGCAAAAGCATCATTTGGTTGCTTTTTGGCTTGGCAAAAACTATTAGCTACAAAATTGCTCAAATGCGTTTCGATGTTGGGCTGTTCCGATGTGCTGCTTATGGACTGCGCCAGCTACGTATATGGAGTGGCTCCATTTGGTACATACAGCTGCGATTATAGCTACATATATCTCTCTCCGAGAATACGTAAGTTTTGTGCTGGGACACTGAGACGCACAGCCGCAAGCACTTGCATACTAATCGGATTGTGCCAGGCGGGGCCCGGCCTGCATCCAGTGGGGCTAATAGAATTTGGCACTTTATGTGGCACATGCCGCACTCAAGCCGAGCTGGTTGCTTGCATACCGCGAGGCGCTCGATGCCACCTGTCCCCGTCCTTGGCAACAAATTATCTACGCAGACACAGCCGCCGCTCGTTATTTATTTGAAAAACTTAAATGAGCCGAAGTGTACAGCGAACAGCGAGCAGCGAACAGGCCATTATTTGTACGTTTAATATGGACAGGGAAGCTAAAAATAATTTGTTTAAATCAACAAACACCACCATAGACCCGATTCGTGCTCGATGGGGAATCGCTGCCTGCCACCCACTGCCCCTACATCACTGAGACTGCTGCTGTTGCTCTTGGGATGTGGATGTGGATGTGGATGATGCCTTTTGTTTGCCTCTGCCTCTGCCTCTGCCTGTTTATCTTCCTGTTTCTGCGCCTTCTGTAGTGTCTGACGCCTTTTGTCTTTTGCAACCGGCAATGCAACAGTCGGAGGGAAGCAGTTGAAAAGACAACAAGTGTCCTTATATTCATGTATGTTTTACTTATGTATATTTATGCAGCTGAAAGAAAGCCTTTTGCCTTTGCCTTTGACAAGTCAATCAATGTCGTTGGGGATAAGACCATCTCCGGTTTGGCCAGCAACTTCCTCTGGGAGCGGACGCCAAGTTTCACCAGCAGACATGATCAGCTCCAGAGGCACAGAGACAATCTTTGAGCCGTCAATGTGGCAAGGACTTTTGAAACTAATATCCGTTCCGTTCAATTACACTCCAAGCAGCCACACGCAGTTTCTTGCCTTGAAGTTTTGCTAGACCTCCAGTCTAAGTGTCCGCCAAGTGTCCGCTGCTGTCCTTCAGGGTCTGTCCGCTGTCCGAACTTAATATTTCCAACAGGCAGGAGCATTAGCCGAAGCGCAAACAAAACTCTGACTCTGCATAATTCATATGCAGTGGAACGCTGTTCGGTCACGTGCCGTGTCCCACCTTGGCTTCGATAATCATTGCCAATATTTGGGCTTTTATGAATTTATAACAATCACTGAGCCCCGCCAACTTTTTGACAATTATGCGGCTGTTCCAGCCATGGCTCATTTGCATTTATCATTGTCAGATAATTGGTTTTTTTTTAGGGTACGACAAGGGCCAGAAGCCAAGAGCCATAGATTTCCGCTTGAAGAACTGACGGCAATTGAACCAAATCGTATCACAATCCTATTAGAATTTTGTTAATATTTTTAAGCTTCTTTAAGTTTCTGCAACAAGAGAAATTGTAATTCCATTTCAATGCCAGTATTCATTCATGAATGAAAGTTCCGGGCATAATTAGCCGCAAAAGGAATGCTGGGGAGCTCTCATTTCACATTGATTGGGCTTCAATAACTCAACTGAACCTTTCACCACCACCTCTTCTCACACTCTCTGTCTCTCTCTCTCTCTCTCTTTGCCTTTTGCAGATTTGGGTAAAATGTGAGGCAGTTGCAGTTGCGGCAATCGTCAGTCAATCAATAGACCGCCTGCCCGAAAATGTTTCAATTATGTTACCCGCAACCACAAGGAGAGCCACAACAACAATTACAGCAGCAGCAGCAGCAAAATCAGCATCAGAGGCAGCAACAGAAGCATCAAAAAAATCTTCGAGAGCAATTCAACGTCAGCAGCAGCAGCAACAACCACAGAGCCGCATTGGCCGTGCACGGAGGAGTCGAGGCGGAAAAAGCGTAGGCCAGACACTCATAGAGGGAATAGTCAACCATTCATCCATCCAAGGGAGCAGCAGCACGGAAACCGAAACCGAAACCAAAACCAGCACCAGCAGAACCAAATTAATACGTAACCAAGAGCAATTTAGCATAGCAACGGACAAACGGACAGGGATACGGACACGCTCTGGCAGCTGTAGCTACGTTCAAAGGATTTGAGTTTAGAGCGGAGAGTAAAGTCAGAAGCAGGACTTCGACATGGGCTGCTCGCCAAGCACACTACCCCCCAACGCCTCCTCCTCCGCCAATGCCAATGCTGGCCCCACTGCAGCCAATTCCGTCCCACTGTCCCTCGATGCCACCGAAAAGGATGGCAGCCGTTTGTTCTGCATTAAGCTGCGTCGCAGCCGCCTGCGCCGCTGCAGCTGCGGCGGTGTTACGCTGCAGCAGGGCGGAGGCGATGGCAATGGCAGCACTGCGGGCAGTGCAACCTGCGGCAGCGGTGCGGGCGACAATCTGTGCCACCAGGTGCTGCTGAATCCGCTGCAGGCCAAAAACGAGGCAGACTACGAAAAGGTAACCCGATCCCCAGTCTTCCCCTGCCCGTTTCCCCTTTAATCGTTTCTCCACTCTCTCCACAGCTAAGCACCGGCAAGAAGGACTCGATTGTGACGGTGGCAGCTTTGGGCAACTTCACCCACAGCGTGGTGCGACGTGCCACTGGCAGTAAGTACCGATATTTAAATAACTCTTTGTGCCCCCTTTAAGACTTAATAAAAGCAAATATACTCGTAGATAAGTCTAATCTGAAGTGATAGTACTCCAACCTCAAGAGCTATAGTACCGTAATTATCTTGAGGCATCTGAGAGTTGCTTGAATCTGTGCTCGTTTCCTTTTGCAAATCATTGGGGAATCCATCAAACATCGTTCTAATCCAATCGACTCAAGTGGCAGTCATAAGTCAAACGCTAGATAAAAGTCAAATCATGCTGATAACTGCCATGCAGGGTATCCGCAGTTCGTTATTGTCTGTGTGTGTGTGCGTGTGTGTGTGTGGAAGGGCGCATGTAATACGATCGCATTGCTGAAAAGTCAGCTGGCGCTTGTCTAAGCTTCAAAGCGCAGCTGTTTTGTGGATGTTCAATTAACAGTTGCTCGCCGCTCTCCTCTGTCCACTGTCCGCCGTCTGGGCTTCTGCAGCAGCAATTGTCCAAAGAGCGTGAATGAGCTTTACTTTACTACCCGCTCCTCTCTCTCTCTCTCTTTGTCTGTCTGCTCACTGTGTGGTGTTGTTGTTGTTGGTTGAAACTTGATCGCTCTCTCAGCAAAGGTGAGATCGCCCAAAGAGCGCAAAGCTTGCGAGATAAAGCGACAGCGAAAGAGAGAGAGCAAAGCAGCGCAAAACAGAGCAGAGCTGCGCAACGCAGAGCTGAGCTGAGCTACAGCGGCAACGCAACAGCTGCTCCCCATTTATGGAGTCATTCGCTTTTAACTGTTTCGTCGCGTCGGTTGCGTACACGTAAACGTATATCACTGCATCGCATGTATACCGAAAACACAGCACACACACACACACACACATACTCGCATGTATGCTCCGTCCGGTCTCTCGCACTCTCCGCTCTGTGTGTTTGTTTGTGCATAAAGTCGTAGAATGAATCCAGTGTAACCGCTGTACGGACAGCAGCCTCGCACGCATTATGCAAATGTCAAGAAGAGTTTGACTTGATCTTGCGGGCGTGTCTCCGGTCGTTCCCCGCGTGCTGCGCGTTTGCTGCTTGCATTTCGTATCGGTTCGTATCGGTTCTGCTCAGTGAGAACTGGTCGCTACAATCGCGGCCTAATGCAGTGAGTGGCACACAAATTTGGCAAGTCGTGCAAGCCAGTGCATGGCCAACCAGTCCAGAGTGCAATTAAAACAACAACAACAAAAACGCATAGAGCAAAGCAATAAAACACAAAACCGAAACCAAAACCGAATCAGAATCAGAATCAGAAAAAAAAACAGAAACCGAAAAACAGCAACAACGTTGTCGATGTGGAAAAAAACAGCTTGGCATGCTCTAAAATACACCACCAACCACACACACACACACACACACACACACTCGCGGTCAGCAGGAGTTGGCGGGAGGGAGGGTATCAACAAAAAAAAAAATGTGTTAAAAATCAAAACAAACTTCACAGCTAAGTGTGCCACAAAAAAGCAAAAAGCAAAAAGCAACAAGAACAAGTGTAACGAGTAGCAATCCAATCCAATACAATCCACGACTACGATGCGATGCTGTGTGTGTGTGCATCGGTGTATCTCTGTCCATCTTTCTCTTTCATTCTTGATTTCTGTTTCGCTCTGCATCAGCAATTGTTTCGACTCATTAGCTGGGATCCGCATTCCCCAAAACCAAAACACTTTGATTCAAATATGCAAGAGATTCACATGACAAAAATCTGGTTCCAAAATCTGGTCGTTGAGCATCGCATCTCTCATCTTCCTCTCTCTCTCCTTTCCTCTCTTGCTGTAAACAATCGCCCACGATGTGTGGCGCCAAAGCATCAATCAAAGCCAAAAGAAAACAAACCGAAGCAGAATCGATCGCTCGACAACGATCAATTATGTGTCTCTAATCCCCACCTAGCCCCCACACCCTGTCTCACCCGGACTCCTGCAATTTATCAGTTTTCGCATCAATTAAATTCACAGAAATGCGAGTGAAATATGGTGAATTGATCACCCATCCCGCCCACTCACTTTCTCAGAGAATTTCCGATGCTACCTCCCAGTTTTACACTAAATCTTTTGCCTGTGAAGACCAACCACGCGAAGGCGAATTTCCACGAAAATAATGCGCGTAAAGTTAGAGACCAGAAGGCCCACCAGGCAGACCAGACCCAACCCGTCGTCCGGCACAGTTGGAGATTAGATTATGCCAAAAAGCGAAGACTGCTGAATACACAACACCCAAACTGGTGCTGGCCTGTCCCGGCCTGGCCACAAACGAGTTGGTATCAATATGGAGCCATTGTTATATGGCCAGTGGGTGCCCCTGTCCCCTGTCCCATGTCCCATGTCCCCTGTCCAACCGACTATCAGCGGCCGAGTATCGCTGAGCAAAGAAGATCGCGCGCTGGCAGATAATGTCCCTCCCTGTGGGACAGTTTGATTCCGATTTGGGGCTGGCCACCACTACACCTATTCGTAGGTGAATCCAATAAAGCACAGGCCCAACCACACTTATAGCTAGATGTAGATTGTGCACGCGTGTTCCATGAGCTCCATGAGCTCCATGAGCTCCTGTAGCTGTATCTGTATCTGCATCGGCAACTGTATCTGTGGCAGTATCTGCCCAGCACACACACACACACACACAGACACCATGCGGGGGCTAAACATCTGAATACTATGAGCAAACTTGGCTGATATTATCTTATCACAAATTAATTGGTTGCCATGACAGCGACACAAGGCGCAAAAGGCAACCCAAAAACTGATCGGACAACGTTGACGTCGCTGAGCCGCTGCCGGGCAATGCTCTCCCCTGCCTTGCGAGTGCTGGATAATCCGCTCATTGTATTAAAACTTAATTTTCTCCCGGCAATGCACCTGACGCCGCCTCTAAGCGCCTTAGCTACGCCTCGGTGTGCGCGGCAGCTACAAATGTGTCTGGCAAGCCCAGCAGACCGTTAGTTTACCCTGAAGCGCACCGTTGTCGGCGTCGCCGTCGCCGTCGCTGCTGCTGCGGCTGCTGCTGCGGCTGGCTCTCTGTTGGCTTCAGAATCCGTGCGAGAATTATCATCTGGCAAACAGTTCTTCATAACGGATTAGAGCGGACGTTGTGTCTAGTCAGGGGGTTGGCTCTCTCTCTCTCTCCATTTTGGCACTCAGTTTCTCAGTTATCCAGTTTCAAGTTTCAATTTCAAATTTAAGTTTTCTAGTTTACCCGTTTCAATTTTCATGTAAATTCGAGTGCAGCGCCGTGAATATTGCTTGCCAGTCGATCAACCAAAAGTCGAGTCTTTTTTTGTTGCCCTAATGAGCCAGTGTAGTAAGTATGTGTGTGTGTGTGTGTGTGTCTCGATATAGTTTACCAAAACTTTAAAAGTGGATTGAAGTGGTGCGGATGGAATGGAATGGAATGGAATGGGTTGCCAGTGGATTGGAGTGTCCCGAGTGGCGGTTCGGAGCCTGTTGCTGGCGACGTCAGCAGGCTGTGGGCTGCTGCCGTTTTCCCTGCTTTTATCTAAACAATTTATCGATTTTCGTTTAGATTACAACGCGTGTACCGCCAGCCGCCAGCCGCCAGCCGCTCACCTCCCAACTTCTCTCTCGTTCGCTCTCTCGTTCTGGCTGCCCAAAAATATATAACACAGACGATAAGATACACTCGACCCATTTGAATAAGCGCAAATATTCTGTCCCCACCCCCCCAATCTCTGTGGGTACATACGAGCAGATACTCTCTCTCTCTCTCTATCTCTGTCTATCTCTGTCTATCTGTATCGTTGGGCCCCTCTTGGAACCCACTTTTGTGGGTACTTTCCCGTTGGATAGTTTAGTTTTTGTTTATACATAAAATGTACATATGTATGCATTCCTACATGTATCTAGTACATAATGTATCTTTATTTATTTTTTGGGGCAGAAGTTCTCATGCATTGCATGTGGAGCAGCTTTTATCATTACGCACTAATTGTGCGAAATCAATGCCACAGGCAGATAAAAAACCACAACAGCAAAAACGAAAAACTATTGCGTACATAAATGACATAATTAACATAATGCCACGAAAATAATTGCAAAAACTACGCAGAGAAAGGGGAACAACAAAAAACAATTCATTTAAAAAAGAAAAACCCAACGAGCGTCGGTAAGGAAGTGCGCCTAGATCCCGCAATGATCGTTTCCAGTCAGCCAAACTTGGCTGGAAGCACGCCGCCTACAACAACAAACACTGACATTGCCAGCACCCTGCCCCCGCCCATGCCCAGCTCGGTCAGTGGCGCCCACACGAGTGAAGAAAGTGTTGAAAGTGCTCCAAGTGCTTGCAATTGTCTGAGGCAAGCGGGCAACGGCATGGGCATGGGCATGGGTGTGGGTGTGGGGGCCAGACAAACGCCAGCCATGGAGGCAATAACAGCAACATCGACAGCAGCAGCAGCAGCAGCAGCAGCAGGCAGCAGAGATTCATTAACGCGTCCGGCCTCCGAGTCCGAGCTGGCTGTGGGTAAGGCAACCCTCTCCAGAGGTTAAAGTTGAGGCTGATGATGCGGTTAACAAGTGGTAGCCAGGGGGTGGAGGATCTATATGTGTGTGTGTGTGTGTGTGTATATGTTTCCCCTTCAAAATGCATGCCTGTTTGCTTCTGCTACACAAAATGATGTTCCTAGCAATTAATTACTATGGCCAGAAATTTCTGTTGCAGGAGCAAATTTTGAACAATTCCCAGAAATATTTGCAACTGAAATGCAGCACTAACAAATAGTTTTAGCAGCACTTCAGCATGTATTCGAAATTGGAAATGATTACAAATTCTCATCATCAAATTCGTGCAAGAACTTGTCCTGCACAGCGCTACATGCATAAATGTAAATGTGTACATATTTACATACATTTATGTACGCCTGTTGTCTGCTTTTGTAAACTTGCCCAAAAACATTCCCATGAATGTTGGGGGTTGAACCTTTTCTGGGGGGTAACATTGTTACGAAAGTTGCAGGGACCGCAGCATTTTAATTTGGCAAAAACTTTAGGCTGACACAACTTGAGGCTGGCTTTAAGAACTCCCTTAGGAACTCCCTCGAGGAATGGCATTCCCCTTGTTTGAGTTTCTTAATATAATTATGCGCTTATAATTTGAATGGCAAATGCTGCAATAAAGTAGTTTAAGGGCAATTTAAGTGTTTCCAGGTAGCTAACTCCCAAGAGAAATGTTTCTTTAGTTTTTATAGAGCTATTCCTTCATCAGTTCGTTCCCTTTGCCACCGCCTTAAAGTCGCAAGTCTTCCAAGTAATAGCCCAAATGATAAATTGAAACACATTCGCTGCTAAATCATATTCCTCGGAGCTCTGAGCTCTTTGACCTGTTCCACTTTGGCTACCAGTTTCGGTTGTGTTTCCCATTAAATGAAATACAATTTGCCGCGCGGCTTAGGTTCCCTTGGTTGTCGTCAGTGACAGAAGATAGAAAACCTGCCCTGACCCCCAAAGGACTCGAGCGTACCCTTTGGGGGACTGCCTTAGATCTGCACGTGCGTACGTGTGTGTCTCACTTCGGTTTATAAAGTGTTTTTGAAATGCCAACGTTTATAATTAAATAAAACGTGCAACAAGAGAAATTAATGGGCGTGCGTGTGGGTTGTCCCTGTCCCTGTCCCTGTCCATTCATCTTGATTGTGTGCGTGCGTGCGGCCTGCCCAAAAGTATGCAGCACTTTCGCTGTGCCCCGATATGTAGCATACCTTCAAGCGTTCGAGCGTCATCTAAACTCTTTTGGTTTTGTGCTCTTTTTTTTTTTTGCAGGCACTGGCACTGGCACATCGGGCACCAGTTCATCCGGCGGAGGCGGCGGCAACAATCGCCCAGGTCATCGCAAGTCATCGCTCGCCCTCGCCCTCACACCCGAGGATGAGCCAATGGATGTGTATCAGGTGAGTGTCCAGCCAGAGGATTGGGATTGCAAATGGGTTTAGTTTTGGGTACGTACCGCATGGCACTGTTACGTCTTTTGATAAGATCTTATCTTATCACAACTCGTTATATGGCAGCAGCAGCAGCAGCAGCAGCAGAAAAAGTGCGAGGAGCGTGGCAATTGTTGCGCTTTTGTCGCTTTTTTACATTCCGCTTTAAATAGCCGCTCACCCATACCCACACACAAACAAAAAGCTACGATATGTGTGTGTGTGTGTGTGTGTGTGTGTGTGTGTTTTGCTTATAAACAATGAGCTACCAAGAGAAATCAAATCAATTAACATTGAAGGTGGGAAATCAAAAAGCAAAGAAAGAAAAGAAGAATAAAAAAAAAGTAGATTATACGCCCGGTTGGCTGTCGCTCTGTTCGTTGTTCGAGTTTCAGTTGAATGTTTGAGCGTCGCCGTGTCGCGTTTCCGTCACGAAACTGTGAATTATTAAAGTGCTCGCTCGCCTTTAGAATTGATTGAGATTTGGATACAAATATAGATTGAGATACAGACAGACAGATATCCGAGCACGTTCGCGAGAGTGTCGCATGGAAAATGCCAGCACCAGCACCAGCGCCTGTCTACGTTCGGGCTTATGCAAACAACCTGTTATTGATCTAAGACATTGAGGCACCTCCACCTCAAGTGCTCGTCGTCGTAATTGTTATTGTTATTGTTATAGTTATTGCCAGTGCCATTGCGATTCCGATTCCGATTGTGAGTGACTGACTGAATGAGTGTCTCCCTCGAGTGTAATTTTATAATTAGCTAAAAAATGCGCAACTGCTTGCCAAAACTCACGAATGTCTTTCGCCGCAAATCCCCTGCGAAAGCATCATCGGCCACTGCCGCTGGCCATGCCAATGATTGCCAATCGGATTCAGACTCGGAGCAGTATACCATGTCTGTTGCTTTAGCCATTCAGTCGCCGCAGTCCGATCCGTGCCGCGATAATAATCATGAGAATGAGAATGAGAATGGGCGACACACAGATGGCGATAGCAGCTACAGCCGGCTGATAAAAGCGCCAAACAGGAACATGGAGGAAAGTTCATTCTACACGGAAATGAGAGCGGAAAAGATTTCGGGGCTAGCTGCCGGTCCAGCTGCCGGTCCAGCTCCAGCTCCAGCTCCTGCGCCTGCTCCTGCTCTTCTTTCCATACCAATTCCCGGGCGTAATTCCATTTCGTTGGCATTTGGGGGTCTCAGCGCGAGCAAAACGCCCGAGGAAATGGAACTGGAATACGAGGCGAATGTGAAGGCCGAGGGCGGGGACATTGTGACACCGTTGAGGCGCAGCAATACGGGCACCGGCAACGCCACGAGGCCGCACGGCGTGTCCTTCACGGGGGGACGCAGTGCGTCGCTGCAGCCGGAAATAGTCGAGGTCATACGCAGCTTAGACGTCCAGGGGCTCTTCCTCAGCACCCACGCCATGGAGGAGAGAGCGGACCACGAGGCGGAGTGCCATGAGGATGCGGTGGTGCTGCGACGCAAAGTTGCGGGCTTGGAGCGCAAATCCTGCAGCCTGTACGAGCGGCGTATGCCCAAGATGCCAAAGTTACATCTAATGGTGGCAGGCAAAAAGCCGCAGCAGCAGCAGCAGCAGGAGAAGCCGAACGATGACGATGATGAGTACAAAGTTTTTCAGGTAGTTTACAGTACTCCCCCTCCCCATGCTGCTCGTACATTTTCATTCCCACTGATTGACATGGAGCTCAGCTCATCCCACACCCGTGGCAAAGCTCCTGACAGAAAGACGTGGCCATTCCGTGTACAGCCAGTCGCAGAGTCACCGTCAGCGTCAGCGTCAGAGTTGGGGAGTCAAAGCCAGCGATTTTATTTTAATTTATCATCATTTAAGCGACACGAGCGTCACACAGACACACACACACACACACACACACACACACAACACACACATTTACACTGACAGCCCTGTCTGGGGGGGGCATGATCTGAAGCCAGGTTAAGCCCTCTTATTTTGAGGGAAAATCCAGCGGAGATGCTGTAGATTTTTATTTAATTTTACACGTTGTTTCACCTGTCTCTCTCTCTCTCTCTCTCTCCCTCTCTTCCTCTGTCTGTGCAGCGAAATCTCATGGACTTGAAATATCCAACCGTGCTACCACCGAATCCTCAACTTAAGGTAAGCTTCAACGAACCTGCCTGTCCGATTCAATCAATGCAATGCTGCTGGCTCAAGGTGAATTTACGGGGAAGGTGACGCTGCTGTGCTGCTGTGGGGAGAAGCAATCACTTATTCACCACGCTAGAAAGGGAAAGAAGTTCCACTGTGGTGAAGACGTCACCTTCCCAGCAAGTGGACACCTTGGACTGGCTCTTGTGGCTCTCCTTGCTCTTATTTCTATTCTCCCACTGCTCTTTCGCAGGCTCTTTTAGTTTTCCACAAATCGGATAGCATCTGTGAGGCGGTCGCCTCCGCCTGCCAGCGCCACCAGCTGGACGTAACGCTGGTCAAGTCAAAGGAGGAGGCCCTCGACACGCTGCACAAGTCGTATGCCACCGCCCAATGCTATCATCTAATCATAATTGATGCGCGCTCCTCGAAAAATTTAGATGCCGAGCATATTGCAAGGTAAGGAAGGTGGCCCTAAAGTTTGCTGCTCAAAAGTTTTTCTGTCGGAACTTTTGCATTTTGATCAACTTTACACTTTGCCATAAAACTTGCCTCTCTCTGCCTCTTAGAACAATACGTCATACACATGGACACCATTTAACGACAATAATTGCCGTCTGCAAGAAGAGGTAAGTGGCAGGGCAGTTGCTCATCAAGTTAAGGGTTGGGACAGTTCCGTCCTCACAGCTAACGAACGACTTTCTTTGCAGTTTCTTTGAAAAGGATGATGTGCTAATTGCTCTATTGGACGCTGGCGTTAATAGAGTAAGTTTTTCCCAGTTAATTGGGCCATCAGCAGACCCAAGAAGTAGCAGAAGTAGCAGATAGAGTGCTCATCGTCTGTTATTCCACAGTGCATAGCCGAGACGACTAACCTGGCCATGTGCAGTGTGGAGCTGAAGCAAATACTGCACTCGATCATACGGCCACACAATGTCATGTCCACTCAACAGGTAATCAAGTTAATGTCCTTTTACTTGGGAGTAGGGGGGAGAGACTTGACAGGCGAATGTTCTTGTCTCGTTCAGGAAATTAATTCAATTAAATGGTCCAAGTGAAATTGTAGACCACAAGCTGAACGCTAGTCCTCATTGTATACCCTGTAGAGCACAAAGTGGGGCATATCTTAGTCACAAACTCAGATAAAGTTTGGTTTACACAGATTAGTTCCGATAAAACCTAAACTATCTGTCCGCTAAAACTGTATCCTATCCCCCCAACAGGCACTCTATACGGCGTTGCATCGGCTGAAGGAGGTGGTTCTCATCACGGACGATGTGCTGCGCATCCAGTACGCGAATCGTGCCACCGAGCGTCTCCTCAACATGCGGCTGGTGAGTGGCATGGCTTGGGTGTCCGCAACCCTTGGGCTGGGGTGTTGTGTGTGTGCTGCAATTGAGGCATTAATGGGATTTGCTTGTTTAACAAACAGGATGAAATCATTAGCAAGCCACTGGCGGACATTTTCGTGTCCGATTTGTCCACCATCAGTGAGCAGGGCAAGAGCATCAAGGAGTTCGATGGGATACTGACGGTGCGACGGAAGAACCAAGAGGGCATCCCGATGCACGTGCGCGTCGTGCCGGTGGCCTGCATTGGCAGGTGAGTGTCATCGCAGTCCTCACAGTCCCTTTTGCCCAAGGGACTACTCCCCTCTGGTCCACCACTCGACGCTTAATTGGCAATTTCCCGTTTGCGTTGGTGACGTTTGTTTCTTTCTGTTTTTCCCTCTCATTTCGCAGTGCACCCACTCACCTGATTTTCAACTTTGATGTGCCCGGCGGGCAGATGGACTTCATTGCCACACTGCCGCAGCCAAAGGAGGCGCCGCGCGGCTCCCTGCACTCGGTGCGGCGCTGCAGCTTCGATGTGCGGTCCATTGCCTCGGACGGACTGCGAAGGACCAGCCTGGCCAAGCTCACATCCCTGCCGCTGGAGGCGCCAATCACTAAAGTATGACTCCGCTTTGTGCGCTTTGTTTGGAATTGAATTGGTTTATGGCTAAAACACGGGAATGCTTCTTGTGCCTATTGGAATGCCCCCCAACCCCCACCTAAAATGTCGTCCGTGCTTGTGTCCGTGTGTGTTTGTGTATGTGTGTCTGGTGTGCGTACTGTGTGTGTGTGTGGTGTCCTGGTGTCGTAGTGTCCTATCATGCCCTGTGGCGTAGCAGCAGCAGCATTAGCTTTAGCATTAGCAACAATATTTGCACAAGAACACAAACCACACACACGCCGTTCCACCACCCTCCCTCCATCCACACACACACAGACACAGGCACCAGCGATCAGAGAGAGAGAGAGTCGACCCTCCTCCCTCCTAAATGCATTTTCAGCAGTAGTCGCATGTAGTTCATGCTCTTGCTCTCTGCCCACAAATGTTTGCACTCACTTTGCTTTTAATTATCGAATCACTCAATCAATTTACGGCTAACATAGTCAAATGGGAACTAAAACATTCCACCATATCCCCTCTCTCCTCCACCTGCCTCCGTTTTGCATACGGCAGCTGCAGCTGTGTGACGCGCTCTCACTCACTCTAATTATGCGAGCTTGATGTTGTTATGGGCACAAAATTAGCCATCGCAAAGAGAGTGAGTGCAGGCAAGCAAAGTAAATTACGCCATGGTGGGGTGGTGGGCCGCTCTCTCGCGACCGCAGCTGTGTATGCAGTTTCGCGTACGAAAACGTAACTGAAACCAAATTAGCTGTCGTGAGAGCGCTTTTGAGTGAGAGCCTCACCTCTTGCTCACACACTTGGAGATAAGCAGTTACTTTGCGGCTCTCTTTGCAACTGCTTGGCACGTGCTTTAGCACCGGAGAGAGCGGGAGAGCACTTACGATTTTACTGTAAATGCATTTGCAGTGACACCATCCATCCATGTTTCATCTCACTCTCTCTCTTTCTGAAGCTCCTAATTTGACATCAAACATTTCCGCCTACTAAAACCAAAAATCAACGCAAAACCGCAACAAACAAAACCTTAATTGCACATCTAAAACAACATTATTTACATATATTCTCTTTTTATCTCTTATTTGTTATGTTCTCTTTTTTACTTTTATGTTTTGTGTACTCGAACAATGAACCAAACTCATCAAAAAACAAATATTAAAACAAAATATAATGTACAAAATGTTCGTTCGCACGTTCGCTCGCTCGCTCGATTTTGCTCGCTGCGCGTCGCTAACCAAAAACAAAACCCAAAAAATACAATAATAAAAAATAAAAAAATGAAACAACACAACATAAAACAAAACAAAACCCAACAAAAAAACGAAAAAAAAAACAACTGCGCACTCACTCGCACATTAGATAATCAATTTACTATCACAAGTACAGGAGAATTGTTCGGCCGATGAGGCGCGGCTCATAGACAAGGTCTTGGAGTTCCTAAAGCGCGAGGGACTCTACAGTCCGCAAATGAAGGAAATACGCACAGATGATCCCATAGCCACCGATCTAATTGGTGCTCTATTAACGGTGAGTCCTTCAGTCTGGACTTATGCACAACTCGTGATAATCTCTCCTTTTTCGCTGCTGCAGGGACCGAGTGTTTACTCTTCGCGGCGCAGCTCGAATGACTCCATCATTCGCACAGGCAGCTCAACACGAACGGCCACCATCGTGCCCGCCAAGATGAAGGTAGGAGTGTGATTCACTTAATAAACATTTAAATCATTCCCTTATCCCCAACCCTATTCCAGGCCAATCCCATTATAATGGAACTACTTGAAGAATCTCTCAGCTGGGACTTTGATATTTTCAAATTGGAAGAGATCACCGACTACCATCCGCTGCTCTATCTGGGCATGGAAATGTTCCGACGCTTCGACGTCTTTGCCACCCTGAACATTGACGAGAATGTGTGCAAGGCCTGGCTGGCCGTCATCGAGGCTCACTACCACAAATCGAACACCTATCACAATAGCACACACGCCGCCGATGTCATGCAGGTGAGTGTTTGTGTGTGTTTGGCTGGCCTTCTGGCCATCTGGCCCTACTCCAATTATCACTTATCTATGTTTATGCTATCAAATTGGTTTATCGTTTATCTGCAGGCCACTGGCGCGTTTATTACGCAGCTGACCAACAAGGACATGATGGTCATGGATCGCATGGAGGAGGCCATGGCACTGATTGCGGCTGCCGCACACGACATCGATCATCCGGGCCGCTCCTCCGCCTTTCTGTGCAACTCAAACAGCTCTCTGGCCATACTGTACAATGATCTGACGGTGCTGGAGAACCATCATGCAGCCATCACTTTTAAGCTAACTTTGGGTAAGGAAAAGGACTCTTACTCTAAGGGAAAATCATCTCTAAACATCTCTCTCTCTCTCTCTCTCTCTCTGCTGCAGGCGATGACAAGATCAACATTTTCAAGAACCTCGACAAGGAGACATACAAGTCCGCGCGCAGCACCATAATAGACATGATTTTGGCCACCGAAATGACGCGACACTTTGAGCACTTGGCCAAGTTTGTGAGCGTCTTTGGTGGCGAGGAGCCGCGCGAGGTAAGAGCTGGAGTAACCTTCGAATATAGATCGAAGTAATGGCATCCTTTGAATCTTCTAGCACAATCCACAATCGGATGAGGAGACCTCGATACTCATGCGCCGCATGCTCATCAAGGTGGCAGATGTGAGCAACCCCGCACGGCCCATGCAGTTCTGCATTGAGTGGGCGCGGCGCATCGCCGAGGAGTACTTTATGCAGACGGACGAGGAGAAGCAGCGGCATTTGCCCATTGTAATGCCCATGTTTGATCGGGCCACATGCAGCATACCAAAGAGCCAGATTGGCTTCATCGAATACATAATACAGGACATGATGCATGCCTGGGAGAGTAAGTATTAAAGGTTTATCTGTGTGTCTGTCATTCATTGACTGATCTCTCTCTTCAGGCTTCATTGACATGCCCCAGCTCATCACGTACATGCAGATCAACTACTCACAGTGGAAGAAATACGACGAGCAGGGCGTCAATACGTTGGCCGACATCATGGCCAAGCAGCCGCCGATGGGAAAGCTGGGGAATTCCAAATAGCATACGGCCTTCCGGAGATTATTCTCGGGTCTACTAAAGCCACTGCCGGCCCAGGCGCCGGGCACATCCACAATTGGCGAGAATGAACTGGAGGATTCGCTCTAGTGACGGCGCAGACGGGCCCGTGGCCCCACTTGGCGGCGCAGTCACTCTGCATAATAATTCTCTCATTCTTGTTGTTGTTGCTCCCACACAACTGGGACACATTTCCGCTCCATCTGTCATACATATCTCGGACTAACAGGAAGGCGTATGGGTGCAGTGTCAGTGGCAGAGGTGGTGCAGTGCTGCCACAAAGCCCACAAAAACACACAAGTGGTGCCAAGCGGTGTCGCAAAAGCAGAGAAAACAGAGAAACAAAACAAATACCTAACCTAAACTAAAGCAAGTTTAAACAATTATTGGGCTGGACTCAAAATTTAATGTTTAAGAAGCATCACAAAATGCAAAAAACAAACAAAACAAACAAAACAAAAGCGAAAATCAATACAGAATCGTAAATGTATATCAACCTAATGTAAATGTGAGTCTGTCTGTGTGTGTGCATGCCCCCTGTATATGTGTGTGCTTAGAGGGTAATGCAAATGCAAATAAAGAATAAAAAATTTATAAAATAAACAAAATACAAACAAAATCCCACAGAAATTGGAACAACCACAGAGGAACAATAGGGCGTGCGCTCAAAAAAAGTACCTAGCAAACGGTACAACGGTATATGGAAGCAGTATAGAAATGTTAAGCAACAATTATGAGCAAACACAAACATTTCTCTTTGCCCAACAAGAAGACAATCGATGTTAAGTGCTGCACTCAAAATTGTGTCTAAAGAAATAAATGTTAGTCGTTGTCCAAAGCGCATAAACCTGAACGGGAATGGCAGGACTTTACTACTATAAAAACAAAAAGAAACAAAAAACTGAAGAAAACAAATTCGAATCCACACACATGAGACATATGAAATTGTATGGGGCCCCTTTTTACTACTACTACTACTACTACCATCTACCTACTAATTAACTAGTTACCTACTTTCCTAAACTAACTAAAAAGAAAAGGAGCAGCGGAGAGGAGAGGAGAGCAACTTTCCTAACTAATATTATTAATGTTGTTTAGCTTTCTAAGCAAAACTAAGCCCAAGCAAATGTTTTACAATTAAGTGAAGAATCCTTTTTGAAATCTTTTTATCTAATTGACTGAACAAATTACACATATATATATATATATATATATATATATATTATATATTAATATACATAACTGTATAAACCAGATCTATTCGCGTTGATAATATGTTCTTGTTAAAAAGCAAACAAAAAAGGAAAGAAAAGAAATGAAAAGCAAAATAATATACAATATATATACAATTTATACAAGTTTTACGAAGCATATTACAAGAAAATACATATATATCTAGTATATATATTTATGTGTCCTATTCGGCATTCATTCACACAGTTACAGTTATTTGTATGTGTTACAAAAAGTGTTTTATTCTGTGCTTCACGATGTTTTGATAGAAATTATATACAAGTCAACCAAGAACGAACGACCTTCTCAAACAGCAGAGGAAAAAGAACTGTGTAGGTAGTCCCATTCCCCCAAATCCTTAGAGCTATACCCCACAAACTGATTGAGTACCATCGCCCAGAGTGTTTGTTGTTATCGTTATCGTTTTCACTTTCCTCCCCAAAACACACACAAACATCAAACTGAGCGATAAGAGAATAAATATATCTGCATATTTGAATATTGTTAATATGTGTGTGTGTGTTTAATTGTATGTGTATTGGCGTAGAGTAACAAACAAAACAGAGAAATAAATTACAACAGAAATACGAGAAATACGAGAAAATATTGGAAATGCAAGCGGGCAAATAATTTGCAATAATTGCGAAGCGCTAAACAATTTATGTGTTATATTAAATACTAAATGAAAACCTACGATAACTACATAATTATATGTTTCTGAACACACATACATGCATATGATAAATCTTTACACACGACTATGTATATTTGTTACTACATCTGTTTGCTCCTTGCAGGTTAAGGATTATAAATGTTAAGATTTAGTCAAATTTATTGTAAAAACAACAAAACAAAACAAAACAAAAACACAACAAAACAAACCCAAACAAAATGAAAAACAAAATGCAAATAATACAAATAAAAATTCAAGCAAAAAAATAAGCTAAAAGCAAACTTTGAGTGGGAAATTTCGTGTCAAGGTGGGAGAACCAGTTTGAAAATGTTAGAGAGGCAAGCAAATTCTAGATATAAACAAATGCCGAGCCTCATTCATATTTCACTCACTAATGTTTGGCCAGACATGATCGTTTCTTATGGCACTCGACGACCCACGCTGTGCATTCAAATAACCTGTTTTTGCTCCACCAAAAACTTGGAATTCTTCCAATTCCATTTCAATGGGTGCGTGCCCAAAAAGAGGGCCTTAATTTCACTTGCCATCTGCCAGTCAAAAGGTAAACAAAGCCAAAAAAAACTTTCTTTGGTTCAACAGCCAGGCGCTAACAAAGAAAGTCTCTCTTTTCCGGTCCAGCGTCTTGGTCTTACAGCATGCAACACGATCGATCGCTGGTGGGAAACGAGTCCGGTTACGCGTCTCGGCTCGCATTGTCTTGTGTGTCAACGGAGCGAGGGGCTGACTAATTGCATAATCTTAATGGGTGAAGTTCGAGATGGCAGCGTGATGCATCATTTGATCAACGGATCAGTTGTGTTGTCCCATTGGCTTTCGTGTCACTTGGCCAGCGCTGACAAACTCAAAGGCGAGAAATTCTGCTGCGATCGCTTTTGATTTCTCAAGCTGCGTTTAATGCGGTCCCAACTGCCGAGACGTTCAGTTCGCTTAGCAATCGCCATGCCCCAGTCGAGTTTCTTTGCCAAGAGCGTGCCCTTCGAGCAGATCGATAAGCTGGCCATCAGTGGCGGCTACTCCTCGATCTTTGCCAGCCAGGAGCCCTCGGTGCCAGTGGTGGGACAGTGGGAGCATCGCTTCTGCCGCCTGGCGGACACCTTTCAGCCCGTGCTCGATCGTGTCTATGAGTTTGAGGTGCGCGCGGACGATGTGTGGATTGTGACGCTGCCAAAGTGCGGCACCACCTGGATGCAGGAGCTCACCTGGCTGCTGATGAACAATTGTGACTTTGAGACAGCCAAAAGCGTGGACTTGACACTGCGATCGCCCTTTCTGGAGTGAGTTTTGTGGCAGACATTAAAGTGGAATTAACTAATTCTTTTCCTATTCCTAAAGGTTCAATGGGGTTGTGCCAAATGTGCCTCACGACACCATTGAGGCAGCCAATGCCATGCCCTCGCCGCGTCTCATCAAGTCCCATCTGCCCGCCTGGCTGCTGCCTCGTCAGATCTGGACGAAGAGGCCGAAGATCATTTACGTTTACCGCAACCCCAAGGACGCGGCCATCTCGTACTTCCATCACTGGCGCGGCATGGTCGGCTATCAGGGCACCAAGTCGGACTTCATGCACTCCTTCATCGATGGCTACGTGAACTTTACGCCCTGCTGGCCGCATGTGCTCGACTTTTGGCAGCTGCGGCACGAGCCGCACATTTTCTTCACCAGCTACGAGCGCATGAAGGCCCAGCTGGGTGAGGTGATACGCGAGGTGGCGCAGTTCCTGCAGCGATCGGTAAGCGCGGAGCAGGTGGAGCAGATGTCGCAGCATCTGTCTTTTGAGAGCATGCGCGACAATCCCGCCTGCAATCATGTGAAGGAATTTGAGAGCATGAAGGCGGCCGCCGGCCGGGAGGTGGAGGAATTCAGGTGAGCATTGAAAGAGAGAGAGAGTAAACAGGATGGAGATGGAAATGGAGATGGAGTTCCTTCTTAACAGCTCCCCTAACCATAGATTCGTGCGTCGCGGCGTTGTTGGCAGCCACAAGGATGAGCTCACCGCTGACATCATACGGGAGTTTGATCTCTGGTCGGACATCAATCTGCGCGACTACAAATTGAACATGGATGACTTTGCCAACTACAGCAAGTACGCTGCGTCGTTGTAATTGTCCGAGTTAATCGTTTTGTATTGTATAACCGTTTTGTTAATAGTGTGTAAACTGTGTGGTGATATAACTATATATATGTTTAATAATAAATGATGGCAAACTGAGCCCTTCCCCAACTAGAAGTCTCTTGTTGACATTTACCGTTTTATCAGCCACCGAGCGTACAGCCGGAGGCCCCTGTAAATGATTGACACGCTCTATCACCCACCACTATCTGCACAAGAGAGCACGAGAGCACGAGAGCGCGAGAGAGGCACGCATCATGGGTTACTCCAATTACAGCACATTCACAGCAATAACAACTTTATCAGCCGCTAAATCGCTGCAGCGCTGCGAGATCAACGAAAGAGAGTGCGAACGCCCAAAGAGCGTAAACTTTCGCTCATTTTTAACACACACGCATACATATAAATATACATATACACGCAGTGCTTTCGTTTTAGAAGCACAGTTAGTCGCCGCCATGGAACGTGAACGCGTTACGCCCAAAAGTTATCCGACCAACCTCATAGACAAGGACTGGTCCAAGCGGGAATTGTTCTTCAGAAACAACTCGAAGGCTTATCTGGATAGTGTGCACGATCTGCAGCTGCGAGACGATGATGTGTGGGTGGTAACGCTGCCAAAGTGTGGCACCACCTGGATGCAAGAGCTCTGCTGGCTGCTGATGAACGATTGCAACTTTGAGGCTGCGCTGGCCCAAGATTTAGAGCTGCGCAGCCCGTTTGTCGAGTGAGTGGGATGTTGGGAGATATCAAAAGATAACCCAGATGCTAACACTTTTATTGGCAGGTTCCACTTTTATACACATGGTGATGACGGCAAGGTGTTTGCCCCCGTCCAAGACATGACCTCGCCACGGCTCATCAAGTCGCATCTGCCGCTGCCGCTGCTGCCTGCCCAGCTCTGGCAGGGGAGACACAAAGTGGTGTACGTGTTCCGCAATCCCCTCGATGCACTGGTCTCGCGATACTATCACGGCGTAACTTTTGGTAGCTGCTACGGCAAGACGCTGTCACAGTACATAGAAGAGAATCTGGCCACAGATGCCGCACTCAGAGAGGCCATCGAACACGCCCACGAGTTCTATCAGCTGCGCCACGAGCCGTGGCTGTACTACACGAGCTTTGAGCTCATGAAGAAGGATCTCCGCGCTGTGGTCGAGGACTTGTGTCGCTTTCTGAACAAGCCCATAGAGGATCAGCCCATGGAACAATTGCTCAAGCATTTGTCGTTCGAAGAGATGAAGAGTGAGTGTGGAACTTCGGAAAAGTTGACCATTTCCAAGGTTTTTGTTTCTATTTTGTGCACAGACAACCCAACGACAAATCATCTGTGGGAGCTCAAGCAAATAACGCACAAAGATGCGGGCAAGGAGAAGCACAAGTATGATACAAAAGTTTCCCATTTGTGGTATCAAATGTTATGCGTTGCTTTCTCGTTGCAGCTTCGTTCGTCGTGGCAAGGTGAATGGCTACAAAGACGAATTGCCCCGCGAGCAAATAGAGAAGGCGAACGACTACATGAAGCAGTGTCTACTGGAGAAGGGGATAACTCTGGAAGAGCTGCTGCTGCCGCCTAGTGCCAAGTGATTCGCAGATTCGCAAAATTTCATTTTAATTTTGTATAAAAACCCAATATCAGAGGGACACACATAAATAAATAGATGCATAAATACTAACTATTGTAGACCTTGACCTTAGTTCGTTGTGGTTTCCACCTTCTTGGCATTGTCCTCCTTGGAGGAGGGTCCAGTCTGTGTGATTTGCACGACGCGCTCAGTCGATGGTGGAGGCAGCTTCTTCATGGGCGCAGTGATGGTCAGCAGACCATCCGAGGAGAGGGAGGAGGTGACATTATCCGGATTGACATCGCCTACAATGAATGGGGGAATATTAGCACTGGAATTAGCTGCAGTGGGGAAACACTTACTGGGCAGTCCGTAGCGTCTGGAGAATTGACGGGAAACATATCCATGCTCATCCTGCTTCTCCTCGTGCTTGCCCTCGACAATGACATATTTGTCAGCGATCTTGACTGTGATCTCGTTGGGCGAGAACTGCTGCACATCCAGTATGACCTCAAACTTCTCGCTGTCAATGTTCAGCGTGGAGCCGGACTCCTGCTTCTGCAGACTGTTCTTCTGTGACCAGGGACGCAGGTAGCCCGAGCGCAGGACTGTGGGGCGGGAGTTCCACACCGACGACATCAGATCGTCGCGCTTCATGCCCTGTCCAAAGTGCTGGTCCAAGAGGCGCGAGGTGCGCATTGGAAAGTCAATCTCATCCCACCAGTCGCGGAACATTAGGGGCACAACGGACATCTACGTTGATGAAACGATGAGAAACGAAACGCAGTTCACTAAAAAGTTCTCTATTGTATTCTATATCCTCGATTTGTACCTTTTTGATTGTTTAAATTTAAATTATATTCCCGATCGCGCGTCTTCTTTGATTCGCTGTTGAAGCGTTTTTGATGGAACTGCACGAAAATTCACACGGTTTTATACCCTCACCAAAATGTTTACAATCTGCGCTAAAAATATGAGAATCTACATATTTCCCATCTAATTTTAGGCGAGCGTCATACATTCTGTATAGAGAGCAGACACCCTCTGTCTTTGTACATATAACCCACGTACAATATCATATATAGAATACATTTTGGTGCGAATATTCCAAAGATTTCTTTGCGTTTTCGTTGTTGTTTTGTCGTGGGAGAGACGCTGACGCGAGACCTGTGGAATATTCTACAACAAACAATATTAATCATCAACGAAAGTCTCTCGTGCTAACCAATATTAAACACTCTTTTTGGGCTTTGTTTGCTGCATAATACTTTGTATTTGCATTTGTACCCAAACACACCCACACACACTTGCTATTTGGCCATGGGAAATGTTTTCCAGGGCAAGCCATGTTGATTTTGTGTGTGGAAAATGCCAGAATAAACGCCCTGAAAATTCCTAATAAATACATTTGAAATCTGCATGTGTAGGTGTACGTATATTAAGAGATTTTCATAATTTTCTACCTGTTGTGATTTCTAATTTGACGTGGCCAATATGAAAATACTTTGGCTGCCAAAATGAGTTTTCAAACTATTTAAAGCAGCTGCCAGCCAGCGGCGGGGCGGGTATGCTCTGCTGAGTCATGTCGCGTGCGCGTTGTTGACAAACAAAAGGAAGAAGGAATTTGATGTTAAGATTTCATCAAAGATGTATCCCACTCATTCATAGAAGTTAAACAAATACTTGCAGACAATCATTCACCCTGTAAAACTGCATGCGGCCACAGCCACAATGCAGTGGAACAGTGGGACAAGAACACGCCAAAAATAACACAAAGAGAGAGTGCGAGAGTGAGAGAGCGTGACTTCTGCATGTGCAAGAGTACCGAAATGTGTGCCTGAGTGTGTGTGTGTGTGTTTGTGTTTGTGTGCCGCTTCTAGTGAAAGCTAAAAGCCGACGCGACGCGACTTATGTTGTCGCTCCCGAATATCCATTTCAAGTTGCAGCTGCCGACGCCCAGCCGCCGCAGTTTGCTGCCACGTGACACTCGCCACAGGACATGTAACACGTGAGCAAGTACAGTGAAAGTTATGAGGAAAAGCCAGTGAAAACGGAAAGAAAAATCAACTACAACAAGTCATTAGCCGCTGGAAACGATGCGAAAGGTCAGCGGAGTATAATGGAGCAAATGGGAATAGTTTGAGAAATGTTACAACATTTAATTTAATTATGTTGTTCCTGCTCCTGTAATTGTGTTTAGGTGTCCACGGGGCTGTTGCTTCTGGGCAGCTGCCTGCGACTGTCGCTGCTGCTGTCGCCCGCCGACGCACAGGCGGCGCATCTAACGAAGCGCAGCTACTCGGACCAGAGCGTCCACGGCTACATGACAGAGGTGTGTGCGGGGGTGCGGGTGAGTGCTGCCGGGAGATTGGCTTGGGTTAACCCGTTCCCTTTCCGTTGTCTCTTTTCGTGATCAGCGCACCTGCTGGTGGAATGAGGTGTGCAAGGAGGAGTTCCAGAGTCTGTTTCGGTGCAAGTGTCCACAGTACTCCTACTGCCGGTGAGTGTCTGTCAGAGCATCTCCATCTCAGCATGGTAACTGTTGTTTCTTGCAGCTCCCCGGGTCGCTACTACAATGCGTACTGCTCGATGACGGATACGGGCTATATTTGGACGCAGCCCAACTGGGATTGGGGGTCGTAGAGCTGCACGGATTACGGCAACCCTACACCTACGCCCACTGCCCAAGATAACCACCCGCTGTGACGTCAGCGACACTGACTGCAGAGTGTATGCTGCCAGCCAGCACTCCAAAATCGATGCTCCCAGCTGCAATCGAAACGAATTTTGTCTATCGAACTGTTGTCGATAGACACACGCACCATACATAATCGAAACGAATAAAGCTTTACTTTTGGCCTTCACTGTACGCACATTGGAAAATCAATAAACGCTTTCCAATCTCCAACAGCTTGCGGCAGGGCCACAGTGGGGCAATCAGCCGTACACCTGAATATTTGCATAGCATTGGGTACAAATAGGCTGAGGCCCAGTGTGCCGGGTAACGGTGAGGCGCAGGCGCCGCAATGAAAGCGAAAAGCGAAAATCGAAAAGCGTGGGACTATCAGCGTCAGTACCATGCGTGCGCGGGGACAGACGGGGAGTGCAGTAAAGTGAAGTTCGTGGTCGTGGTCCAAAAGTCAGTTAATCTATTTGCCAGCTCAACATATAGACACCGCCAACAGATGTTGGCAGAGCTGAAAATCACGCAAGCCGAGCAGAAGTAAACTTCTGCAGAAAGAGAGAGAGGGAGAGAAAAACGCCAAAACGCAATCCAGAGGACTTCCAAATGTCGTGCATGCAACATCTTGTGGCGCTGCTGGCGCTGTGCCTGAGCCTGGGTGCCGTGGCAGCGAGCAGCAACCACCTGCCAGGCGGTGTAAACCTCAACGAGAGGTTCTTCAATCAGGTGAGGGCGCTCATCAAGCGTCGCATGCAGGAGAAGAACGTGCAGGTACAGGTGAGTGTTGGACTGCAACCACAAAAAGTGTGTCCGTGTCCACTGTCCAGTGTCCACTTGCAGCCCCCACTCGTGGACGATGAGGTGGCGCTGCAGAATCAACGCAGCTACGACAATGTGCCCATTCCGGCCGCCAGTGTGCCCACACCGGTGCTCGTGGAGAATTGGCCCACCGAGCAGCACAGCTTTGGTCAGGTCACCGCCGTCTCTGTGGATCCGCAGGGCAATCCCGTTATTTTCCATCGCGCCGAACGCTACTGGGACGTTAAGTAGGTCAACAGCTGTCGCCAGTTGCATAGTAACAAGTGTCTACTCTCACGTGTATACATTGCTGATTTGGTGATTTGTTGTCCACTCCCTCCTCCCACACAATCTGCTTGCAGCACCTTCAACGAAAGCAATATCTACTACCTCATCGAGTATGGGCCGATCAAGGAGAAGACCATCTACTTGCTGGACTCCAAAACGGGCGCCATCAAGTCGGGTTGGGGTTCGAATATGTTCTATATGCCACATGGCATGACAATTGATATTCATGGCAATTATTGGATTACGGATGTGGCCATGCATCAGGCATTTAAGGTACACTATCCGGGAGTTCCTTGAAACAGCGACTTTATGGTTGGTTTGTTTTTCTTTTGCAGTTTAAGCCCTTTGGCAGCAAGCCGCTGCTGACAATTGGCAAACGCTTTAGGCCCGGCTCCTCCGTCAAGCATCTGTGCAAGCCGACATCCATAGCTGTGGCCACCACGGGAGAGGTAAGTGCATCATTTATCACGTCTTCCATGCTCAAGTTATTGCTCCTTCCCTAGTTCTTTATTGCCGATGGCTATTGCAACAGTCGCATCCTGAAATTCAATGCCGCTGGCAAGCTGCTGCGCACAATTCCACAGCCACCAGGTGCGTACAGTCGTGGCTCAAGTTCCAACATTCCAGCATTCAGCTTCTCTTTTCAGAGTTTCTCTCGCTGCAAGTGCCGCATGCCATTACTCTCTTGGAACACTTGGATCTGCTGTGCATTGCTGATCGCGAGAACATGCGCGTTGTCTGTCCCAAGTGAGTAACACTTACACTAGTAGAACTTACAGCAGAGTGTAACCGAATCCCTTGCAGAGCTGGCTTGAAGTCTTCCCATGGCGAGGGTGAGCCCGCAGCTACCATACAGGAACCCGACTTGGGTCGCGTGTTCGGCGTTGCCAGCTATGGCGACATTGTGTTTGCCGTGAATGGACCCACTTCGATGCTGCCCGTGTGTGGCTTTACCATTGATCCGCGCTCCGAGGCCATCATTGGGCACTGGGGTGACTTTAAGAATCCGCACTCCATGGCCGTCAGTGTGAATGGTTCGGCGTTGTATGTCACGGAGATTGGCAACAATCATCAGACAAATCGCGTGTGGAAATATGTGTTGGCCTAAGTCCCACACTGAAACCCAAAAAGCCCACAAAGCTCTCCTGCATATCCCCATAACTGTGCTTAAAACCCTAGAAATAGTAAACAAAAAATAGAAGCAAACAGAAACAGAAACAAATAGCTAACAAAACAGAAGCAGGACACAAAGATACATATTTAATTGTAATAGTTATTGTTAGATGTAACAATGTAAACTCTCGTACATAAGTATGTATGTAAATTTGCTTGACACATACCACAACAAACATAACCTCAGATATTTATGTTTTTCTTGCACTTGTAATGAGCAAAAAACGGGCCTCAAAAACCGTATTACAAAGCAGGCAGCCTTTTGATTGAATAGTACTGATATGCATGTACCGTACTGTACTGTATTCGTTAAACATAAACTAGGCACGAGTGTGGGTTGGTGGGAGAATGCGCTTTAGACTAAACCTAAAACCATAACATAACCAAACAAAACACACAGAGACAGCGGGAAGAGAGCACTTGGAGCGGACACACGAAAGTAAACACGAAATAATGTACCATATATAGTAATCTATGTAACCAGCATATATATCTACATATATCTTATGTATAACTTAACGAAATTTATTATTATAACCAAAATGTACATTATGTATGTAATAAAGTGTTGTTGTTGTAACGTATACTACTACAGCCCCATAAACAAATGGCATGAAAAGTGTGTAAAGGGGAAGGCAACGTTTGGCGGAATGTTTACTTAACTTATACCTAATTCCAGCAGTTAATTTACAATTCCCAGATAGAAGATACATATATATGCAATTAGTGACTACGAAATATAAATAGAAAACATGGAAAAAACATTAACTAGTAAATGCATAAGCTGCGTAAAGTCAACGCCAGCCAACGAGTGCTTCAAACTTAAATCAGTCAACGCCAACGAGAAAGACTCAAACTCCGCTTATCCAACTCCTCATTCTTTGTTCAGCCAACGCTTGGCAAATGCCAGCGCCTCGTTCAATTGCAAGAGCCATTCGTCCAGCTCCGCTTGAGTGTCGGCCGCAAAGCAGAAACCGCCTAAATCAGACTCGCTTTCCTGCAGCAGAAAACTTCTCGCACGAGCACACAACTCCCGCGGCGCCACGGTTATCGTAGCCTGTGTACATCGCTGCAGCTTCAGAGAGAACAGCGGCGGCTGCTCATTGAGATCAGCTTCATGCTGCCACACAGACATCTCCATACCATCGAGCGTGCACCAGCGTCGATTCCAGTGATGCCTGCGCTGTGGCTCCTCCACATTCAAGTAGCCCGCGTAGTGGGACTTGGGCAAACGCAACTCCACACGGCCCGTCACCGTTATGCCAGCCGACAGATTCGTGGATTTTGTGTGCGTCGTCAGTGGCAGCTGCCAGGAGCGAGAGCTGCGCAGGCACAAACGATCACTGGACTGCGACTCGCTGGTTACGAGCTCAAAGGGTGCCAAATCCATGGCACGCAGGCAGAAGGAGGCGTGCAGTCGAAAGCGCGAAACAATCTGCTCACTGCCCGAGCTGCCGCAAGAGCTGCTGGATGGGGATGAGCCCAGCTGGCAGTTGCCGCGTTTCTGCAAGAATAGAAAAGGGAATCAGCGACTGGCAGCGAGTGGAAGCCGCTAGCAAGCCCAGCTTACCTGTGCCTTAGCTGGATCCAGCGACAGCGTGGAGATCTTACGCAGCCGAAACATGAATATTTGACAGCGCAACTCCATCGCCTCCACGGGGCCAGCGCTGTAGAACTCCAATCCACAGTCACGGAACAGCGCGGCGCCATTCCGGCACTCCACCGATTGTGTGGAGCAAATGCGACCCTCAAACTCGTAGGTGCAAAAGTAATGAGTATTGAAGAACATGTCCTGACTGGCATCCGATCTCACGGGCAGCTGCATGCCGTCGATGAGGATGCACTGTCGCCGCGCAGCGCTGGACTGGCAGGGCGACGACTCCACGGGTGACTTTTTTCGAAGACTGGAGAAGAGCAGCAGCCGCTCGGCCTCCACCATTTCATTGGAGATCTCCAGTTCGGGCAGTTTGCGGCAAATGCTGACAGCCTGCGCCAGTTGCTCGCTGGTTGTGAGCGATTCATTGAGCAGGCCGTCGAGATTGAAGCTCGCGTAGTAGCTGCTGCTGTCCAGCTCCCCGTCCGTCTGGTTGGACTGATCGCGTGACATATTGAGGCTGTGCGTCAACCGCTGCTTCTCCGCCATAAAGAAATCTTTGCCCTTGCGGTAGGAGCGACGCAGGGCATCCTTGAGCAGGCGATAGCGTGCCAGAGCGCTCACCGACAGCAGCTGACTGTCCGTGGGACTGGGCAGCGACTGCACCAGCTGCCCCAGACTTACGCTGCTGTTGTGGGCGACTGGCGACGCTTTGCTCGGCTGCTGTGGTGTCGTTGGGCAGCTATGACTGAGATTTTGGCCAAAGGGATGCGCTGTTGTGGCTGATGACTCGTTGATGTCGATGCTGAGGTTGTTCGGTGGCTGCAAAATCAAGTTTTAGATAACAAAAAGAGAAAGCAGAGAAGAGCGGCTTACATTTATATTTGTGAGAAGCGTTTAAGCAGCGAGCGAGCGGACAGTGTGTATGTAGAGTGTATGTAGTACGTATGTACAGTGTATGTAGTTATTTATGTACAGCGGGAAAAGCCTTAGGGCACTAATAGGAATCAACAAAAATCTCTACCTTAGTTGTATATCGCTGATTTTGGTTTTCGTTTTGGTTTTGGTTTTGCTTTTTGGGTGTGCTCTGATTCTGCGATGGCGGCGGCGGTGGTTCAATCTGGCACGAACCATAGTCGTTGGTGGCAAAGCTGCTGTTGGCATCCTCCAGGCCATACTCATCGTAGAGTCCCTCGGGCATGTCGTAGGACACAGCATCCTCAGCGGCTCTAAGGCAATTCTGCAAGTGGTTCGAGAGGGGATTAGTTGTCTACAATTTCTGCCCTGCTGCTACTCACATTTGGAATCTTCTCCAGCCGCGCCTTGGCCTCCTCCTGCTGATCAAGCACCAGCTCGCTGCGGCAGAGGTTGTCCAGAAAGATTTGACTGCGCTGCAACGAGAGCTCGGACCGCGATAGATTCCTGTTCTTCTTGGGCGGCGAATTCCGTTCGTTGATGTTGTTCAGCGACTGGTGCAGCGGTGGCGACATGGCCTTTGGCTTGCGTATCACCGATGAAGCATTTGTGGCTTGACTTGTGGACTCTGAGCTGGAGCAGGACTCGGAGCTGCTGGGCGCATCGGGCAGCGGCATGAACTTGAAGAAGCTGCCACTCTTGAGCGACTCCTGCAGACACTGCCCCAATGCCAGGGGCTGGGCGGGCAGACTGGGCTGCGGGGCAGGCACACGCTGCGGCGGGGCCAGCGCCTTTTTGGGTGTCTTCTGCACCCTGGCATAGAGTAGAGTGAGATCAACAGGCGCACTCGAGTCCGAGACAGCTGCTGGAACACTTAAATCAGAGTCAACCACAGGCGCACTCATGTCAGAGCCAACCGCCGTAGACTCACTGCCAGTTGCCGTGGAGCTGTAAGCCTGCCGCTGCACAGCAGTTCGCACCTCGTACTGCGGACTGCCCCTCACGCGCAGGCAGTCCTCTTCGATCTCTGAGTAGATGGGTTCACAGTCAAGATCCCGCTGATGTCGCGCAGGCACCACAAATGTTCTGTCACGTGGATATTGCGTGGTTGCCGCGGAGGTTGTATCTCGTGGATATTGCGACGTGGTCAGAGATGTCGTGCCCGAGCTATGCGGCCCGTCAATGCAATCGAAGCTTTCCTTTTGACGTTCAAGTGGCTCAAAGCGTGAACAGTCCTGAAATATAAATAAATAATGAACTCCAATTTCAATTCAAATTACACCGCGCAATTTTGCAATCGTTATCGATAACGCGCGAGAGAGCAGCCCTGCGAAGAACAGCAAGAAAGCAACAAGCAAACAGCTGACGAATGGACGCGTAGTTTTTCTTATTTTATTTCCCTCTTTTTGGCTTGGCACAACCGAATAAACTGTGGCGACGTACACTGAATGATATGTACAAATTCCTGCTACGAATCCTGCCAAGCCAAGCTTCACACATACTCACACTCGGACACGTCAGGAGGAACACAAGCGGAAGCGACATGCAGCGATACGACAGAAACCGACAGTGGAGTCGCGTAAAGGCAGATGGACAGGGGGGAGGACACAGGTTTAACAAGGACTCCAGCTTCAAAATCCTCTCGTACAACATACTCGCACAGGATTTGCTGATAGAACACTTTTATTTGTATGGAGAGAACGCCACCAACTGCCTCAACTGGCGACGCCGCCTGCAGAACATTCAGCGTGAAATATTGACACTCGATCCGGACATACTCTGCCTGCAGGAGATGCAATACGACCATATCCATGATCTAATGCATGGCCTACGCTTGGGAAATCAGCACAGGAGACTGGAGTACATCTACAAAAAGAAGACTGGCCACCGCACCGATGGTTGTGCCATCATCTACGATGCCTGCAAGTTCCAGCTGCTGGACCGCAGGCCCGTCGAGTTATACGATGTGAATGTGAAGCTGTTGAATCGCCAGAACGTGGCGCTATTTGCCAAGCTCGCGCTGAAGGGGCAGCCGCAGAAGGAGTTCATTGTGGCCACTACCCATCTGCTGTACAATCCGAAGCGCGACGATGTGCGCTGTGCGCAGGTGACGCGGCTGCTCGAGCAGCTGCAGTCATTCTCCGTTGACCCAAAGAGTGGCCAAACAACGCCCATAGTATTAACTGGAGATTTTAACAGCCTGGCAGACACATTGCCCATGGAAGTGCTCACTGCCCCGACCAGCGGCGGCGATGGCCCCGCGCAGCTGCTCCAATTTGAGAATTTATACATGGGCCCGCCAGTGCCACAGCTGGCAGCGTCCACACGGCAAGACCCCGGCTGGATCATTGTGGACTACATTCTGCGTTCCATAAGCGACAAAAGCACGCACAAGCTGCAGCCGTTCAGCGTCTACGACCTGCCCATGGTCAGCGATTGCCACCGCATCGGACCCATACCCAATCACTACCTAGGATCAGATCACTACTCGCTGGGCGCTCTGTTTAGCATTGTTTAGGAACATCTTTCGACTCATCCAATAAAAAGATCCGAAATTTCTTTGTGTAACTCACCCGAAATGTGCGCATGGCGCGCTCATCGCTGGCCTCCAGCTTGGCCCGTATGTTGCTCAGCAAATAACCCATTTTGGTGAGGCTCACATCCTGGTCGAGATCCTTGTGAAACGAACGATATGTGGTGGGCGCAACTGCCTCCTCCTCGGTGTGGAAGTCCAGCTTGCGTGCTCGATTCGCGCGCGGCAACTTCTTGGGCGGCGTGGGAGCCTCGATCTTCCGATCGAAATCAAAGTACGGCTGATCGCTGCTCTCCTTGTCCGGCTGCTGCTGCTGCTGCTGCTGCTGCTGCTGCTGCTGGCTGGTGGATGTCGTCGATTGCATGGGTGAATGATAGCTGCCCGGCGGGGACTGCGACTGCAAATCCAACTGCGATGCGGATGTCTGCACGCCCACGGTGCAGAGTCTGGGTGTGGGTGTGGGCCGCCTGGTTGGGTTCTCCCGCTGATTGTTGGTCTTCTTGGGCGACACAAAGCGCAAGATTTTGTTCTTGGAGCTGTTGAGAAAGTTCTTGGACTTGGTCTTCAGTGTCGGCAGCTTTGTGGTTGGCTTCAGTGGCGAAAAGTTGCGCAGCTGCTCGCCCCAAATGAACTTTTGGCTGCCCGCTGGCTTGATGCCACGCGGATATTTGATGGGCGTGTGCTTGCGATCCATATTGGAGGCCAGATTCTCGCACATGCTGCCATCGACAGTGTCCAGCGAGATCTTGGGCACCACGGGCTGCGGCAACTGCCAGCCAATGGCCACCTGTGGCTCTGCCAAGGGTGCTTGGCTCTTGAAGTGTGAACGCCGCTTGTTCTCATAGTTCAGCATTTCGTTGATCTTTGGCTCTGTCCAGCCTAGTATTATCTCCTTCGTGGGTTTGTCCTTGCCCTTGCTGCTCGCCTGCTGTATATTTCTGGCGTAGTTTGAGCCACGCTTCGACTCCACAACACGCTCAATGTCGCTCAACGAGGGACACGTAGGCAGCTGCCTGCTGGTTCGCGTTTGTTTCTCCACTTCGGCTGCAATTTGCGAGGAGTTAAAGAGGTGGAACAGAGGGCAGAAACCGTAACTCAAATGTTAGCCAATACAATCTTTTTATTTCCACAACAAAGTTAAGTTTAATTTGCATTTTGATTTAGTTTTTAATTCCCTTTGGTTACGGTTTCATTCTTTGGCTTCGACTCGCACACTTACCCATCGGATAGGACTTGCGCTTGCTCTTCTTCTCCTTGCGGGGTGAGTTGTTGCTGCTGCTGGGCACTGGCACGCCTCGCTGGCGCAGGAACTCATCCAGCACACGCTCAGCCGCACGCACTGAGGGCGTTGTCGAGGCCAGCGAGGACAGCGACAACTTCCCATCGAGACTCTGGCAGCTGCGGCGCGGTGGCTTCGGTGGCGGCTGCTCCGAGTCGCGTGTTTTGAAATTCACCAGACCCTGGGATAGACGCTTCTGTAGGAGACGCCCACCGGCACCAGAGCTGCGACGCGAACGTGTGCTTGGACGTGCGGATGGCATACTCGTTGCCTCCGTTCGCGCCGTCTGTGGTTCCTCTTCCACGGCAGACTCCTGCTCGCTGATGATGGACAAGGCTGGGGCAGTGGGTTTGTAGGCAATCGGTTCGTGGGCTTGCACTTTGGCTGTCTTTACCGGCGAAGACCTTGACTGGCAGCTCGTTCCTTGCAGCTTTTGTCGATTCACGCGCACCTCGGACACCACACAATTGTCTCGCAGCTCCTGAATGATGTGAATGAGCGGCGCATCATCGCCCACAGCACAAATGCTGCTCACGGCAGTCAGCGGAATGTTCGAGCTGTGTTTGGTGTTTGCTTTGGGCGGCGGTTCACTGTGACGACGCCCCGTCTGCTGTCGCGCACTGTCGAAGTGGTTCCTGGACACACTGACCGCCTGAACAAGCACGCGTATCATGTGGATGGAGAGTTGAGAGAAACAGTTGAGAGTCTGAACTGAAATGCTTTGAGGTGCTGCTCCCCTACCTTATTGCTTTCGGAACGCCTGCTGCGACGGGGCTGGCGCACGTGCGACTCACGTGTCGGCGCTGTGGAGGCACAATCGCCACTGTCGCTGGTGAAGCAGTAGCAGAAACCATTCTTGCACGGCTTGCCCTTGCGCTCCTGCGCCTTGTTGCAGCGATTCTGGTTGATTAAGTCCGCATCGACGGCAGTCCGTACGGGCTGCTCCTCACCTGGCATGTTGTTGTTGTTGTTGTTGTGGTTGTCGCAGTCGCGGCTATGGGTGGAGACGCGTCTAATGCGGCGTGCTCGAAACTCGTTTATGCACTCCTGCAGACTGAATGAGGTTGTCGAGCCGGATTCAGCAGAATCTTCTTCTTCGTCGTCATCATCATCATCCTCCTCCTCCTCTTCCTCCTGCTCCTCCGCCACTGCCAGCTTCGAGAACTTTGACGCCCCAAATGCCTATACACACACACATGCAAATAGAGATGCTGTTTACCAAACTGCCGTTGCAATAATTACAAAATAAATGCTTGCTTACTGTGGCCATTTTATGTTTTATAATTCACTGATAAGCCACGCGTCGAGGCCAGCTCTGTGCGCTGCACTTAACACACACGTTGCACGCTTTCTATTTCTATGTCGCTCGGTATTTTCCAATCAAAAGAAAAACGACGCGGCGACAAACGCTGCCTGCATTTTTGTTTTCTCTTTTGTGCCGCTTCTTCGCCGTTATCAACTGGCGGCTAGAGAACAACCCTGCTTTCAAATAGAAATGACGGCTTAGCTTGCTTGGACGAGTTTGCCGACAAAAACAAGCTAAGATCAAGCCAAATTGCAATGACAGCAAATAAAAGTTGATAACTATAAAGTTGAACCTCATGAAATAATAGTTGATTTTCCTCTAAATATGCACGACATTTGAGCTTAGATTTTTTTTACTTCGAGCTAAATCTAGCTAGTTCTCCTTATTTGGCTCTATAGCTAGCCTGGCAACACTACAGCTAAACAGCTGAAACAGCTGGCTGGTTACGTCGATTTTAATTACGAAAATCTAAAGAAACTTTGTCCAAAGCGTGTTATTGAATTAAAAACAAACACAAAATGTCCAACAGTCATTTGTTTATGAAGTCTGGCTTTCCACGTGCACCACTGCAGAATGGACTGGGACGCTACGTCTGCCAACTGCAGCGAATCACGCTGAAATTCTGCAAGAACAATGGCTCCAGCAAAGGCATGCGGTAAGAAATGTATTTAAACTTGTATGAAAACAAAACTGAACTCTTTGCAAACATTAGGGATTTCATTGAGAACCATCTGGTGGACTTTGCAAAGGAGAATCCCGGCATTGTGGTCTACGTGAAGCCGCGTCGCCATCGCACGCCGGTGCTGGTTGGCGAGTATTGTGAGTACAGTGGAGCAATTTGTCTATTTCACTCGTTAATTGCTGATTTATTGCAGTGAATGGAGATCGTGAGTGGATGAGCTGTCGCAACAGCACCGAGGCGGATATAACCAAGTGGGTAGATCTCTTAAAAACACAAAACGGCAGCTCCAGCTCGTTGCGTCTGCGTAAAATGTGGCACACCGATGTGCCCTCCATTCAGGGTCCCTGGACGCCGTTCCTGCTACGTGCGCCCGAAACCCATGGCCAGGCATATCCCAGCGTGGATGCCTCCAAGCCGCTGGATGCGCCACAAACAGCCACCGAGAAGCTCATTGAACTGTTTCGGCAGCAGCAACTCGAGACGGAGGATGTGTTGAGCCAAAAGCGCGCAGAATGAAGGAACGGGGAGGAGAGGGAACTATTTTTTGGTAATTGTTGCTTTTATTTTCTTGTTGGTAAAACAATAATAAATATTTAAAATCTAAACGACTAAAATTTGTGCTCTTCTCCTCACAAAATGCAATATCGAACGAACGAACGAACAATTTCTGGACCAAAAGTCATACAAAAATCAATCAACTTATTGTCCCATTTACATGTGGGATACATTATGTCCCACACGTTTCGATATGTTTTGGAATATCATAGTGAAATATCATAAATAATGCTTTAGGGTGACTGACCGACCGACCGAACGACCCCAGGCCTTTGGCTCTGGGTCGGGACTTGGTCTTTGGAATACATACAAAAAATACAAATACAAATCAATGCGTGAAACTGGCTAGCAGACACAGGTGTGTGTGTGTGTGTGTGTGTGTGTGGTTAAACAGGTTCGTTCTAGTGTCAACTTAGCATTAATAACTAAATATAGACTTAACACTTACAACAAAGTAATATATGTGGTTTCTGTGGGTGCTGCTGGTAAGTGGCGGAAAAAAACATTTTTTTTTGTGGAGATCAGCAACGATTTAAGTACGTGAGGGTTATAGGGTGGTATAGACACAGCGAGTATTAGAGTATCAAAAAAGGAGTATCCTTTACATAACAGATACACATTCGTAGGCCATAGAATTAATTGTCTAATTGGTACACATTTAGACAGACTTTTAGGCACACTTAAAGTAACACACAGATACACAATCATGCACGCACACTCGCACACAGATACATCGAGCATTTTGCTAGAGTTTACAATTTCCGTTTTGGTTAATTCCTTTGGCAAAATGCATTAAGGTTTTGGTTCTTACACTAAGACTTTTGAGTACACAAATTTGTTAACAAATCAATACGAACATGGACGTTTCTTCACTTTTGATATTTGCTGTGTTTTGTCGATGATATCACTATCCCAAAAAACTAAACTAAACTCTGCCCCATGTCTTTTTCTTCGCCTTCCTACAGATAGTTTTTTGTGTGTGTTTTGGTTTGTTGGTGGGTGTGAGCCAAGCCTTACTATTGTTGCAGCTAGCTATTTAGTGTCTTTTGCTGAGTTTTTGGTTGCTTTCTGAGCGCTCAGATATCACCCGTTTCCATGGCTGAATTAATATCCGCCACAATCTTGCCCATGGTCTCGCGGTAGGGCGAATCCGGCTTGAAGGCTGTCTCCAAAAGCGCAGCATCGCCAAAAAAATCGAAAACCTCATCAATGCGGCCCAGCGACTTGTCCGTCAAATGCGGCTGCACAATGGACTTTAGGGCCACACGCGATTCCGCTATTGACTTTTGCAGATAGCCCAAATCGAAGGTGTAGTCCACTTCGTAGAATGATATGATGGACAGCTGTGTGTTCTGCAAAGGAAAAAGGCAATTAAAAGTGAACCAAGAAGGGGAAGGTGTCTTGGGCTTACCTGAAATTTGCGCTTAAAGTTGTCTGCCCTGCGCAGCTCTTCGTCGCTAAACTGATTGTTTCGATGCAGCACGCCAATCTTGATGACTATTTTGATGATGTTCTTGATGAGCTTCTCCGCTTTGGCCTTGTTGCCGGTATGCAGCTTGCACAGGCGGTAGAGATTATCCAGCAGCGAGGCCGTTGTACCATCAATGAATGTCTTGGCAATGTTTTTTGTTGCCATGCGTGAGAGGATTTTCTTTTGAGCGCGTAGCCCGATATCTTGCGACTTGAACACATTGTCAGCCATGACTAATGGGGGAGGGAATATGATATGTTTATTATTATTATTGTTATTATCGTTGCATATTCATGTTGAAAGCTTGAAACTGAACGCACAGCTGGCAAAACCATAAAGAAAGAAAGATGCAAAATCGAAACCAAAACACACTTTTACCTTCCAAGTTCCAGTAGTCCACGCTCCATAGGAGCAGGCACTGTCGCAGACCTGCCACCGACATGGCCACTGCACACACACAAACACACATCAATCCAGTTGCAAGCATGATAATTGATAAGGAAAGATATATAATATACTTAAACAGACTTGGTTTTGATGTAAACAGGTACATGCACGATTAGAGGCAATGTTAATCATCGTCGTTGTCGTTGTCGTATCTTTAGATAAAGAAAACCTACCTACCGATTGCGTTGCGTTGCTTCTGCGTTCTGTCTTTGTGCTTCAATCAAAAGTGTTGCCTCTGCACCCACAGGGAGAATAATGGAATAATGGCTGGAATGTCGACAAGTCAGCGCAAGTCCGCATGGGTTATTCATAAGGCTGTTCTAACGGCACGCGCTATTTGTACGTGTCTATGCCGTAAATGGACGATGCGGCGTTGCGGTATGGCTCGTGCGGCCGCAAGTTTTCCCCAACTGTCCAAAAAAGGAGCCGCGCCTCAAACCGTTACTCAAAGCCAGGGACGGGGCGGTGGGTTTACCGCTGGGAAATGTTAGGTTCAACAGGGGTCAAACATGTGGAGAGCAGAGATAAACCGCTAACTTCCATTCCCCCAATTCCCGTATTTTATTGTCATCGAGCTAGTTGTCTTTCTCCAGCCCTAGTCTTTAATTTAACTAAGTGAATGCCGCATCTGCCTGCCAGTTCTAGTTCCAAATTTGTTTTTTTTCTAGCTAGCAAAACCGTACCATGACACGCGGACACCAACTTCAAATGGTTAAGGTCACGCGAAGTGCAATATAACGGTCCGACAAATGGACATAGCGGAAGAGAGAGAGAGAGAGAAAGAGCAGAGTGTGGAGCAGCCAAGGACAAATGGGCATTTAGACAGGCCCCAATGCGGAAGTGCCGTTATACTAACTACTCCTCTAACTGGATTAAATTTCTTGGGGTTTTTGGGTTTTGCATTCGAGACCCACAATCACTGAAGCGTCCACAAAAAAAAAATGTCTTACGGAGCGGAATTTGTGGGCCAACTTATCGCCGTTTCCGACGCTGTCGTGGTGCTCATGCATTTGCGTGTTTGATATGCTCGTCGTCGTCGTTTTCTTATTGTTGTTGTTGCTGCTGGATTTGTTTTGCTGCCTTGGGAGTGTTATTGATTGCAGCAACAACAGGCTCCCCCCTCCTCCTACTGGTTGGCTGGTGGGGTGGGAGTAGAGGGTGGCCAAGTTTGGCGCTCAACCAAAGCTCACCTGCGTTTTTGTTGCTGCAGTCCTGTGTCCGAGTATCCTTGGAATTCCGTTCGAGTGCCTTTTGTATGAAGTTCGTCCTGCTAATCTCCTGCTGCGTTACATAAGCAAACTTCCAATGAAAACTGCATTTACAATAGCGCAATTATTAGCTGCTTCTTCGCGTAGTTCCAATTGTTTAAATAAAAGAACTCAGTCAGCAGTGGAGCAACAAAACAAAAATTATGATGGAGCGCAAGAGTGTGTGTGTGACGTTTATGTTTGGACCAAAGCGATAACGATATGTCAGCTGCATGGTGTGTGAGCAACTGAGGGTGGTACAGTTGCAGAGTTACAAGGTGTGCGAGCTAGACGGGGTGGCAAATGTTGTTGAACTTCGAAAGTTACCGCCAAGTTTTGTATTACTTTTATGCTTTGTTGTCTGTTGATTAAAAATGGCTATTATTGACCCATAAATGTTAATACAAGTCTCTATTCGTTTAAATATGTTTGGCTCATTCCGTTTCCCTCAGGTGGCAACCTTCCACATCGATTGGCGATAGCACCTGCATCGATGATTTTTTTGCCGCTCCACTTCCATCTCTAAAGTCCAGCTGCGTCGTTGAAAATATGTGCTAGCATCGTTTTTTATTGTTTTATTTTGCACAAAATAGCAATTAGATTAGTGTAAATCGATTGGAGAGAGCTGCATTTGTATAGCTGGCATCAAAATGAACATATACAACAAATTACGCAGCCGAGAGCATGGCTTCTGTGAGTATTTCGAATGGCGGGAGAATTTCACTTTTTGGCGGTCGAATTTTCCGCCTTAATTTGTGAACAATTTCAAAAACTTGCCATCAAATGCTACGACAATGGGTACTACAGTGGCAATGGGACTTGTCAAGGATCGTTTTGTGATGCGTCGATTCAATATCTAGGGAGGGGGCTTCGTGCCTCCGCCCAAAATTGCTGCGCAAGCGGAAAAACTCAGCGAAAATTGTAGACAAAGCCACAGCCACGGTGGTCGTTGATTGAGAACTGCCACTAAAGTCTTGTCTCTCCATTTACAGCGAACGAGCAGACCTACGACTTTGCCCTGCGTCGCCTGTGCGTGGCCAAGGAGGACAGCTGGCGGGGCATTGCTCCAGCGAATTATTGCCCGGACTTCAACCCGGAGCCGCCCATATTCTCGGCAAAGTTTGCCAACTGCAATGGCTACAGGCACATACTGGCCATTGCCAACGAGGATGGCAAGATAACGCTGCAGGACACCACACAACGCAACCAGGAGCCGGAGGAGCAGTCCCTGCCGGGCCCCCAGTGCCATTACAATGCAGTTTTCGATCTGGAATGGGCCCCAGGCCAGATGCGTTTCGTTTCCGCCTCTGGGGATCACACAGCGAGACTGTGGGAGGTGGCTGGCTCGGGCATACGCGGCCTCAACTCGTACATTGGCCACACGCGTTCGGTGAAGTCGGCAGCGTTTAAGCGCACGGATCCCGCGGTGTTTGCCACTGGCGGACGGGACGGCGCCATTCTCATCTGGGACATACGCGCCAACCTCAACATGGATCTGACATCGCGCGTGGACAACTGCATCTACAGCGGACACACAGGGGGACCGGGCACACCCGTCTCGCAGCGCAAGCAACGCTCCCGCACGCCCAAGATGTCCGCCAGTGCCACGTCGAGCAGCATCACGGGTTTGGCCTTCCAGGATGACAATACGCTGATATCCTGCGGCGCTGGCGATGGCATCATCAAGGTGTGGGATCTGCGACGTAACTACACGGCGTACCGTAAGGAGCCGCTGCCCAGGCACAAGCTGCCCTACGCCGGACACTCCACCTTTCGGGGGTTCACGAACCTCATTGTGGATGCGGCGGGCACGCGCCTCTACGCCAATTGCATGGACAACACCATCTACTGCTACAATCTCGTCTCGTACTCCCCCAAACCGTTGGCATGCTACAAGGGTCTCCTCAACTCAACTTTCTACATCAAATCCTGCCTCAGTCCGGACGGGAAATATCTGCTAAGCGGCAGCAGCGATGAGCGCGCGTACATCTGGAACTTGGAGCACGCAGACGAGCCGCTGGTGGCTCTCTCCGGCCACACGGTGGAGGTGACGTGCGTGGCATGGGGCTCCTCCCACGACTGTCCCATTGTCACGTGCAGCGACGATGCGCGGCACAAGATTTGGCGCATGGGACCCGACCTGGAGGGCCTCAGCGAGGCTGAGCGTGCGGAGCGGTATCGCGGCCATGCCAGCTATGTGCGGCAGTTCAGCAAAAAGTCCACGGCTCCTGCGACTGGAAATCACAAGTACAATCTGCGGGATCTGGAGTCGACGCCGCGCTCGCTGAAGCGACTGATGGATCAGAATGAGCGCACGCCCAGCTCTGTGGAGAAGGTGCCCATGAAGCGTTCGTTTCTGGACATGCTGGGGGTGGCCAGCAGCGAGACAGATGCCGCCGAGCAGCAGCCGCACAAGCGGGCCAAGCCGCTTGAGTCGCGGGGCAGAAGACTCTTTGGCCCCGCCAGCCAGGAGCCTGCCAGCAGCTGCCGGCACATTCATCTGGCGACAATTGGCGAGGAGGAGGCCTGCTGTTCGCCCAGCAAAAAGCAAAAGGAAAACGCCACCGAAGATAGTTCCCCGGTGGCCGCCAAGCTGCTGAGTCTGAACTCCTCGCCAGTTGGTTCGCCGCTCAGCGAGAATGTGAATCACATTTATGCCTCACCACCCACCACATCCGCTGCGGCGGCGGCTGCTGCTGCTGCTGCTGCTGCCGCTGCCGCTGCCTCTGCCTCTGAGGGTGCTGCAGCACTGTCCTCTGTGATCTACTCGCCCACCTCGAACCTGCCCAACTACGTGCTGGATGGCGAGGCGCCGCATCTGGCCATCATGTCCCCGAAGCGCAAGGCCAAGGAGAAGGTCGATTGGCTGACAAACATCCGCAAGCAGAAGCTGATGAGCGGCCGTGCGCATGTCTCGCTCAGCGACAAGATCAACGAGGAGCAGCAGGCGAGCACAGCGGATGTGCTAGCCTCACCGCGGCTGCAGTGCCTGCGCCAGTCCGAGTGTAGTCCAAGGCTGAAGGCCTCCCCCAGGCGACGCATTTCGCACACGGATGCCGCCGGGGTGCCAGCTGCTGCAAGCGGCTCCCAAATACAGCCACGCACACCCACCTCCAGTCGCCGCAACAGCGAGACGACGCTGCTGCGCTTCTTCAGCGTGCAGCGCAGCAGCAGCGTTGCGCGGGACGAGGAGACAGCAACGGCATCGGGGTCCAGCGATCTGGCAACACTGCGAACACCCACCACAGCGGTGGGTGGCAGCGATTAGGAGAGGGGTTACGCCCCTTCCCCTGTAGTTTTAAGCGGACTTAAATTAAGTTATATTTTAACGTCTAGTTGCTAGCTTGAATCTTATTTCGCTTCGTGGGAGAGAATTGGCAACCAATTCCCCCTCCGGCACTGTGTACAGAGAACCATTAAAAAAAAAACTAAAAATAATTCATAAATCTTTGAATCTTTTACATTTGGCACAAGTACAGTAGGGAACACAATTGTATGACTAGTTATTGCACTTTCTTCTGCTGTTGCAGCTGCTGTTGCTTCACTGCCGCATTTATCCTCATCGTCTGATAAATCTGCCGAGCCACACCCAAGAGCAAGACGAGATGACACAAATGCAGCGCCGCGCTGGACAGCTGCGTGCTTGGATAGCTGTTCCAGCAGTACTCAATGATGCCCAGGATGAGGTAGCGCACGCCCAGCGAGTAGTTTGTGGACCACACCAGATAAGGCAGCGAATGGAAGTACCAAACGTAGAACTGATAATGCAGCGAGCGGGCGCAGGCGACGCCAATAAAGTTGCACAGGAAGAAGGGCAGCAGCGCCAGCTGTGTGCAGCGATCAAAGTGGATGTCATAGCGCTCGGACTCCGGCTTAGGGGGAGCTACAGGTGAAGCGGTTGGGGCTGCCGTGCCGCCTGCGCACTTTTGCAAACTCTTCTCGAACGCTTTCAAAAATGATTTCTGCTCGCTGCTTAGCTCCTCCGTGTCCTGCTGTTGCTTCTTGGCTTCCTTCTTGGCCCTCTTCTGTGCCTGCACTTCGCTGTTCTTCTTGGCTAATTGCGGCTGCAGTTGCTCCTGCACGCTGCGTAGGCGCACGTAGCTCTGGAAGAAGGTCCATGTGGGCTTGGCAAAGGCCAAAAGGAGCAGCAAATGCAGACCCAACAGCGACAAATGGAACGTGCGGTTCTCAAAGAACTCGCGACTTAAGAACCTATAATTCACCGTCCACTTGTGCTCAAAGATGCGGCCCAGATCGAAGCTGCCACGCAAATACTCCACGGGATGGGAGAGCAGAAAGGGAGCGCCAAGCAGCAGCTGAATGACGCCACAGACTGACAACTGCAGGACGGTCTTAAGCACGCCCAAATTAGCCAAGTAGAAGAGCAGCAGGGCCGGGGCAAACAGCAGAATATTCATCTTGACGCCGACGGCCAGGCTGAAGAAAATGCTGCCCCAGGTCCAGCGGCGATCCATGAAGAGATTGAGTGCCGCATAGAGCAGGAGGACGGCCACGGGATCGTTGAACAAGCGCAGCACATAGATCGAGTGGATGCGGTAGGAGGTGAAGGCACTCAGGACGAGCACATACGGCGGCACCTTGCGACTCTTCGAGTACAGGCGCAGCACCAGGAACATTTGCAGCAGATAGATCCCCGCAAAGATATACTGCGCCACGCGCACATTCGCTCCATGTGACGTTATGTAGTAGAGTGCCGAGTAGATGTACACAAAAGCCGCCGGATAGACCAGAGGACCGGTATCACCTGCAATACAAAATAATCTATTTAATACAATTTATTTTATTTGCCTCTGTAACGGTTTGAATTTGAGCGAACAGCTGATTTGAGTGCGACCGTCATTTGTTTAGTATTTATTGTATTTTCTAATATACCGCTGAGGAATACTGGGCTTTAGCTAGAACGTTAGTTTGTAAGCAATCCAATACAAGAATGTCATGAAAACAAGCCAGAAAGATTAAGAATTGGTTCAACAATCGAATAAAATTATTACTTGTAGGCTGTTAGTCCTAACTAGCGGGTAATATCTAATGGAATATCAAAATCGATGAAAATCTTATTTGCTTCGGTATATTTTAAATTCGAGAACGTATATTTTGGTATATTTGTGAGTGTCATCGATAAGTCAAGTCACACATGGAGGTTACGGCATGTTTTTAGCAAAGAAATAAAACTTTTATGTAAAAATGATTTCGTGTAAAAATTTGTTCGTACTCCGTGGCCGACTGCCGGCGATCCGCGGCTGCCGCCAGTACCAACAATATCTGCGTGCAACGCTGACACCACACAGCTCCTCCAACAGCAGCTCCTGGCGCCCCACGGCACCGCACGCCGCCACCACATTTAGGACACGCGATGAGGGGCGACAGACAGTGCGCAGTTTTCACACCTCCGGCCGGTTGCTGGCCAAAGACTACTACCAGACGCTGGGTGTGGCCAAGAATGCCAACGGGAAGGACATCAAGAAGGCCTACTATCAGCTGGCCAAAAAGTATCATCCGGACACGAACAAGGAGGATCCGGATGCCGGTCGCAAATTCCAGGAGGTCTCCGAGGCCTACGAGGTGCTCAGCGATGATCAGAAGCGACGTGAGTACGACACCTACGGCCAGACGGCGGAGAACATGAGCCGCCAGGGCGGTGGATTCGGCGGAGGAGGCGCTGGCGCCGGTGGAGCAGGACCCTTTGGACCCGACGGCTTCTCACAGAGCTGGCAGTTCCGCTCGACCATCGATCCGGAGGAGCTCTTCCGCAAGATATTCGGCGAGGGAAACTTCCGCACGAACAGCTTCGACGACTTTGCCGACTCCAAGTTCGGTTTTGGGCAGGCGCAGGAGATGGTGATGGATCTGACCTTCTCGCAGGCAGCGCGCGGCGTCAACAAGGACGTGAATGTCAATGTGGTGGATGAGTGCACCAAGTGCGGCGGCTCCAAGTGCGAGCCGGGCACCAAGCCCGGCCGCTGTCAGTACTGCAACGGCACAGGCTTCGAGACCATCTCGACGGGTCCCTTCGTCATGCGTTCCACGTGCCGCTACTGCCAGGGCACGCGCCTCTACATCAAGTATCCGTGCAACGAGTGCGAGGGCAAGGGCAAGACGGTGCAGCGTCGCAAGGTGACTGTCCCTGTGCCGGCGGGCATCGAGAACGGGCAGACGGTGCGCATGCAGGTGGGCAGCAAGGAGCTGTTTGTGACCTTCCGCGTGGAGCGCAGCGACTACTTCCGCCGCGACGGTGCCGATGTGCACACAGACGTGGCCATCTCGGTGTCGCAGTCCGTGCTGGGCGGCACGGTGCGCGTCCAGGGCGTCTACGAGGATCAGTGGATAAACATTGAGCCCGGCACCTCCTCCCATCACAAGCACACGATGCGCGGCAAGGGCCTGAAGCGTGTGAACGCGCACGGCCATGGCGATCACTATGTGCACATCAAGATCGAAGTGCCGCGCAAGCTAACCAAGGAGCAGCGCGCCCTCATCGAAGCGTTTGCCGAGCTAGAGCTGGACACTCCGGGCCAGATCAACGGCATCACCCAGCGCAAAAGTGGCAGTAAGAAAGCAACGTAAATACACACAAAAAACAGATAGAAAATTCAATCTCAGTCAGTCACCGCTCATAATTCATTAAATTCGAATGTATATCCGCTCGTGGCCCCATCCGAATCGTTACTCAAGCGACAAATCTCTCTGTTTGTTGTTCTTTTCCGTTGATTGCAGGTCGGGTGCGAGTGGAGCAGCTGGAGGGGCAGCAAAAGCAACAGGAGCAACCGGAGAAACAGCCAGCACAGCGAGCGAAACCAGCAAAGACAAGGAAAACACCGACAAAGAATCCAAACCCAGTGGGGGAGCAGGACAAAGCGAAAGCGAAAGCGGAGGAGGCGGAGGCGGCTTCTTAAGCAAAATCAAATCAATGTTCAACTGATCAGCCGATTGTGTTACGTTACGTTACGTTACATTACGTTATGTTTAAGCTAGAACAAACAAAAACACTGTTAAAGTTGCTCCTAAGATTATGTTTTGTTTTAAGCCTAAGTCTGGGGTAGGAGCAGCAGCAGCAAGGAGACTCAAAAGAGAATAAAACAAATTCACAGAAGCAACAAAAAGCACAGCCAAGTGGGAAATGGGGCACATGGTTAGCCGCCGCCGCCGTTGCTGGTGTCCAAAAATAAACCCGCAAAAACCTTGGGGGGGGGGGGAACTCACCGCGCAGCTGGGCATAATTGGTTGTGCCGTTGAGGAAGCCTTCGCACTCCTGCATGTAGGCCACCCAGTCAATTTCCGTATATGGCACGCGCCGTATCACAAACACATTGATGGCTGCCTCCGCCAAAATAATCAAAACACTAATTATGGGCAAGGCGGCCGGCTCGAGCACCAGGTACCGGAGAAAGGCCACATTCAGGTATTTATCCACGAGCGACGGCAACAGGTTGCTGGACTTTTTGCGCCGGACCGCCGGACGGTTGTTGTTGCCTTTTGGTGGGGCCATTTTGTGTGATCAATTTATTAATTCGGCAAAAATTAACTAAATTAAATCAAAAGAAACGACACGACCAGGGGTGGCAAAAGCACACGGTAAAAACAGCTGTTCTGGAGATGACACTTGCATTGCCCGTTGATAAGGTAATCGTTAATCGACAAGCAGTCGAATTTCAAAAGCTTTGTTTTAGAGGTACGGAGTTGGTACCTGACCAGCGTCAGTTTGGCTATTCCTGGCTTTATGGATATTCAATGTTACTCTATCTGCGCTTTTCCCTTCCTCCCTTAACTATAATTACACATGGATTAATTACAATGGAGTACAGGAGCTTATCCTTAGGGCACTTGAGATCTGCAAATTAAATAATTTATTTCCCTTGATTTGAAATAATGAGTCCGGTGGGTGGGTGTTACATTGCATGCAACAACTGTTGCCCTTGGGCAACAGGCGACAAACACAGACACAGTGTGTTGGGAGGGTGTGAGCAGTTTTAGATGCAAAATCGTAAATGGAGATTAAATCAAATGTGCTTAGGGCTAATTGGTGTGGCAGCTGAATGGTCGCTCATCATAGATGGATGCATGGACATCCGAGGTGGCAAATGGTTCTCCCCACCCTGCACAAGCACAAGCAAATTTGCCCACAGCCAAGCTAACACGGGATGGATATTGGTTCTGGTGGTTTAACGCATCGTTGGTATACCCAATTGATGGAGGTAAATGTTGTAAAGCCGCCCGGTAAACGCGAGGGGGCGGAGCGGCGCATGCACGGACATGTTGCACATTAACAACCACACAAAAAACGGACAACTGTTGCAGCTTGTCCTCCCCCTGCCACCCGGCACATGTCATCGTCATCGTCATTCTTTGCATGTCCCCTCCACCTCACTGTAGATTTGTGTGGAATTAATTACCAACCGGGAGGAAGGCAAATGTTTCAGTTATTTTCTGATACCCGCCCAACGGTGGGGGTTTCCATGTACCCTTGCAGAGGGTTGCAGGTAAAAGTTGCAAGAGAACAATGCAGCTGCGAAGGGTGTACAATATTTCGGTCCTCAAAAATGGAAGCTGTTTGCTTTTTGTTGTACTTTAATTGTGTGAACTGCAGCATGTACACCATATTTAAATATGTATATTCGGGAGCACAAAAGCAATGACAGAACCGTACTCCGGGTAAAAACTATTCAGGCAGCACAGCCAAGGCATTTCAAAGAAATCCTCCGCCATGCTGCACCGGAGATTTATAATAAAAAAACATGGAAAATATATTTGTAACTTGTTGCATACAGAGATTTATATTTTCCAGAATTTTTGCATTGTCCGACATTTATTATGTTCAGCTGGAACCTCCTCTGATGCCATCTATCAGAATAATGAAACCTTTCGCTCGAATAAAATATATTTTTTGTATTTATTTAAGTAGAATTTCATTGCATGTCGATTCAGCCATTGCATTGAATGCCCACAGGGTTTAAAAGTTAGCTGTCGCTGGCCAAAGGAAGAGCTTTCCACACTTAGAGTAATATTCATAGATATGCATGTATGTAGGTACATATAAATGTAATATGTATGTATACATTTTTCAGACACAATCATCTTGATGTTTGTCGTCTCCACTTCGTGGGTCAATTGAGTCTAATGTTAGTTATCGCTGTATGAACTATAGAACTAAATCGGTCATTTCTTATCAGTAGCACCGTTTGCCATTGTATGTGTGTGTGTGAGAGTGGTTCTGCAGATAGCGAACGAGGAGGCAGCCTCAGAACAGACTGAAAGCCACGAATATACGAGAATTCTTTGGTATGAGTGAGAAAATTGTTTATTAATCAATAATAATCTATATATGTACATATATAAAACATATATATGTATGCATCTGTTATCATGTCCGTTGGGTTGGTCTACTGATAAGAGCAAGCTATTAAATGCAAATCTCACAGCTTCGCCCCATACTAACTAGTTCCTCAACAGAACTTTGCACTTAAATGGTTTTTATGCTTATTCATTCCTTTGCCATTTAATTCTTTCTTTCACGAAAAGTGTCTAGAGGGAACGGAGGGATTTGGAACACAGGCTCAACGCCTTGCCTTATCCATCCCATTTCCACACACTCGCGATCTATCGCCGTTGCCCGTTGTGCCGTTATTTGGTTTGGTTTGCTTTGACTGGACTTTTCTTTGAGCGCCGCACCTCATGCATCAGTTGCTTTGTCGGTGACGCCTATTTTCATATGATGGCTGGCCCCCTTTCCTAGCGCTGGGATGGGGCAAACAAACTGTTGATAATTGAGAAGACGGCACACAACACTTTCGCATAGGCCCCTTTGTTTGTGTTCGTTGGACCAGATGACGGCTGGGTGGGTGTCAAGGGGTTCTCTTTGGCCATTTAAGAGTTCAATCATATAAAGCGTTGTCGTTGTCGCGCCGTTGTCAATTTTATATTTATTGTTGTTGCTGCCGCTGCCGCTGCAGCTGCTGTTATTGTTGCCCCACACACCCCGCTCAATACATTGTTTGTGCTTTTTACATGTGCACTTCACACATGTGTCCATACATGCATACATACACATGCATATGTGTACAACAGAAAAAAACAACTGTAAACTTGGGCTAGGTTGTCTGCCGAATAGGCTTCTAGCATATGAGCGCAGACAAAAAGCTGCCATTATATGTTTGCTAAGCGTAAACAGTCTAGCGCACTCCCAGGTTCTTCGTTTAGTGTAGGGTACAAATGCAGGTAGCAGCTAGTTGAGCCCAAGGTGTTTTCATGTGAGGTGACGGACAACCTTCCATGCTACAGCAAAAACTCTTTCAACATCAACTGAGCTTGAGTTCCGCTTGAGCGCCTCGGAATATTCGTCACCCTGTAAATGCACACCATGCTCATTGGCTCTCCCACTCTTCTGACATTCGTTGCTCCGACATTAACAGCTCTGACTGTCGCCTGTTGCTGCTCCACTCTCACTTCCCTTCCCTCCCTTCGTCTATTCGTAAGAAGATTATTGCATGCAAGAGTGTATGTGTGTTTGCATGCTCTTCGTGCTTCGTATGCGCAAGCTATAACTATTCGGGGTGGCTGAATAAATTCAGAGCTCATGTGTAACGCTTAGGCACCAAGAGAACGGACCGGATGGCCCTACCTTTGTTTAGTCGTACCCTGGCACTACGAGACAGCTTTTGTCCGAGTGAAAACGACTCTGTTTTCATTTCTGTTTTCGACTTGCCGCGTAACGGTTTTGTCATCGCTCGCGAGTAACCGCACACACAGCGAGGCTCGCACGCAACAACAGCAGCAGCAGCCCGCACCCACTCTTCACACCTTTTCTGGAAGACTCAAGTCTAGACTAAGCTTAGCTTACAAGAGAGTGTTCCGAAACAGGACAACGGTTTTTCCTTTTTTTAGTTTGTTTGATTTGTTCGTTTAGTTAATCTGGTAATTGCCCCAAATATCCTTACGCTACGTTTAAGTGTGTGAGTGTGCTCTCGGTGCGGAAATTGGTGATGTGTTGTTGTTCTTCTGTTCAGAATTAGTCAAATTTTGAAAGAAACAAGAAAAAGAGCGCGCGCTCAAGATAATAAGCCGAAAAAAACAGAGAATCATTGTTATTGCATGGAAAATTACTAAAGAAATCAACAACAAGCCAAACCGAAACACAAAAAAAGAGAATATAAAAGAGCAGAAACAGAGAAACAACAATAACAAGAGGAAAGCATAAATAAGACAGACTGTGGGCCCCACAGACGACGAGCCGCATAAACAAATTAAGTGATGCTCCGCCCTGCGCCTCTGCCCCTGCCACTGCCCCTGCCCCTGTCGTTCCCCTTGCTACACGAGCTCTTTTTCGAATTTAAATTTAAATTTAAACTATTATTGTTATCGGTGCGGTGCCTGCCTGCCTGCCTTCTCTCTTGATTTCTATTTGTTTCGCGCCAAATGCAATCGAATCTTACATAATTAATATGGTCAAATCCAAAAACTATTCCTAAATGTATGGGCCGAGCGCATATCATTTCACACCCGCGCAACTTTGCCCCGTTTTTCTAGTTCTTGTTGTTTCCATTTCGAAACTGTTTTCGAGATTTCCAAAATAAAACTATTTGTATAAAGAGATATCTATAGATTTCTGATTAACGCATTTTTATAATTTATTCCACAGTGTTTCTTCCCTCGTTCGTATTCTGTTCTGCGGCTGTGAAAGACATACTGCAATTAGTTACTCTCTTCTGTTCTCCACCCATCGCGCCCACAACCAACTGTATTTGAGTGTGTGTCTGTGTTGTTATCATCGAAACACACATTTAACTCGTAAATAAATCAACGCGCGTGTGTGTGTGTATGTGTGTCGCTTTATCAGAGAAGCCAAAGCAGGCAAGCGCACATAGAGACAAAGCAACAGAGAACGAGCCGCGCGACTCGATAAAGCAAAGTCAAGAAGCAGCAAAGTAACGGAGGTCGTCATTCGATTCCCCTGCACTTTTGCCAATTAACCTGCATTGAGAGCGCCACAGAGCAGCGCAGCGCTAATCAGCGAATCAATCAAATGAAGCAAAATATCCGTTTTACCGTCGCTCTCTATGGGTAAGTTTCCAATGATGATGAAAATGAAATTTCAAATTACATGCGTCTCTCTTGAAAACTAGTTTAAGATTTTCTCTCTTTTCTGCGAACAACAAACTGCAATCGGGGTGCCGTATTGCTGGCGCTCGCCAGAGGCAGCATTTACAAAGGCTCACACACACACATATGTAGGCTTTCTGGGCAAGCAGTTCACATGCACAAGTCCAGAATCCCAGGCAGCTTTGGTCTTTTCGGTGCCTTAGGAAATGGAAATGCGAACGGATTGGGAATCTGCCAGTTTCAAATGAAACCACTAAACTGCTTACCTTGTACAGAACCCGCAGCAGAAATCATAAATCCAAAAATACACAAACAGAGCAGTAGGAGAAGAGTCTGTGCCCAGTTGGAAGTCAAAAGGTCACTTGATTTGCGGTTTGAGTGATTGAAGTCAAGCATAATTAGTTTTTGGCCAGAAAGAAAAGGCTGTCGTTTCCTTTCATCACAGCCACAGGCGGCAGCATACAAAACACACAATTCTGAGCTGAGGAAATTGGCACATGACCTGACCTACCGCAAGAAAATCTAAATTAGGCACGTTTTGTGCGTTCTCTTTTGCTCACGCTCGCCCGCCCCTTCTCCCCACTCTCTTATGCTTTGGCACCTTGTTATACACATGTTTGTGTGTGCATATGTATGAGAATTTTGTCGAAACATTTCTTAACGTTTGTTGTTTGTGTATGCACACCATCTTTCCATCTTTCCATTGTTTCATTCTTCTTTGTGCTCTCAACATTTTCATTATACAAAACACACACAAACACACACTTAACTTCAACTCAATTCTTTTTGCTTCTTTATGGCAGAATACGCGAGAATTTCAAGTTTGCTTTTGGCTGTAGTGCATCTGTCAGCACAAAGTCTGTAAATGGCGGCAATAATTACATAATTTCGCTATCATTTTGTTGATTTAAGCCGGGGGAGAACTCTATTACATTTGTTATAATTGGAAATGAAATATGCAGAGTGTAAAAGCAAACACTAGAAGTGATTGTAATTAAATTGTTCAGAATTAAAATTGCATTTTAATCCGATGGTTGAACATTTTTTGTGTGAGATAAAGCACGAAAATAAAAATAAATTTGAAGGGTTTGGGCAACTGATGAACTGCTTGCTGTTTGGGTTGCGGTTGCTATGCCGACTCGCACTCACTCAGCGCTCACTCAATCACTCATTGATTTGCACACTAATACACACACACACACACACACACACACACACTCACTGCACTGCACTCTCCACGAAGCGAACAACTGTTGCTTGAGAACGGGCAAACGAACAGAGAACGGACTGAACTGCTTGCTTGCCGCTGTGGTTTCATTCCATTTGCTGCTGTTGCCAGGCGCATTGTAACAGTTATGTCGGTTATGTCTGTGTGCGTGTGTGTTTTCGGGCAGGCACTAGAACCTATGCTTGAAGTTCGAGTGATTGAAATTGAATGTTGCAATCAATTTTAAGCAGCTTTTCGTGTGGCATCTCCCTCCAGTTGTCAGTTGGAAGGGTCAGTTGGGTGTGGAATTTGAGCTCTTAAAGAAAACACATCCATTCCTGCTCACATTCCATTCAATTCCACCAACGAAATGTAATTGTCATTGAGTATGCGACCTGTCCGACCGACCAGAGTCGTATATCAAAACAGGCCCGCTTGTCGGCGCTTGTGCAATGTATTAGTTAAGCAAATAGCAACAATTGCCAGCTACAAAACAACAGCAGCAGCAGCGGCAGCTACAACTATTATTTGATGTACCTACAATTACAGTCGTCACTTCTATGGCCGCAAAAACGAGGTGACTGAACTGCAGCTGCAACTGCAAGTGCAACAGTGTAGCTAGCGAGGCAGACAGCCTGCAAAATGTAGTTATTTTGTAGCAATTTTCCACTACAATGTATCGAGTGGGTATCTACAATATCTATTGATTGTGGAGTGGGATTCACACAAGTTTCATCTTGAAAAACTAAAACTGCCAAAGGAGCGGAGAAATGCTTCTCAATGCTCCAGCAAACATAATCCAATAAACTTCCATTACAGCGAGAGACAGAGAGAGGGCGTCTCATATTCGTTTTGCTCTGATTTTGCTCTGGATTCATTTGATCGGAAAGTTCTCATAACTAAATGAGTAGTGGGTAAGGTGGACAAGAGGGTAAGAAGATTATTTTGGGGTCCTTCGTTTTGCTACAAGAAAACTTTTGAAAGTTTGCTTTTAATTATAGAACATTCACTCAACTGCACTGCACTGCTTTATGGCTTTGACACTGGGACTGCTTGCCCGGATTGTTATTGTTTGAAGTTCATGGAGAGCAACCCTGAATGTGATTTAATTAGCAGATGAAAATGCCAGTGAAAAGTGTTTTGTGTGGTCAAAAATAATTGTGGAAACGAAACCCAAATCTAATCTAATAAACTTAGTTTATGATCCCAAAATGATGTAATGTTATAGAACAAATTGTAAGCCACCAAATGCTGCACTGTTTTTCAACGCTGAATCATTTTAGATTTGATTTTTCATTTGCATTTCATTTCGTTGTTGTGCTTATCAGAGAAGCGTCATAAAACAACGCCAATGGACAACTTTTTATAGATTAAATATTGCTGCCTTAAGCATTTGTTTTGTGATCAAAAGCAACAGAGGTTTTCCCCTTTGAGCTTCACTCTTTCAGGGCAGTCTTCCCACCCATTTGCACTACAAAGCTCTCAAGTTACAGCACGAAAAATAATACGTAAATATTCAACAGCAGCAACAGAAAGTATAGCTAGAAATGTGTCAAGTTGATTGGATAATTGCCTCAGGCCCAAGAAGTATTCAATATTTTAGTTGGAATATATAGTTAGTGGAAGCATTTTAAAGAGCCAAATGCCAAAAAGCACAGACTTATGGCTGCTTTCATCTGTATCTACGTGATAGCTATCTGTATCTGGCAATCAGCTGCTGTGGCAGTTGCATTTCAATCGCTGCCACTCTGTTATTCACGCACAAATGCCTCGAATGCTTTTGATAAAAATAAAATTAAATGCAATGCCACAGTGCACTGAACTGCAACCAAAAAAAAAAGCAAAACAAAAAGAGTGCTGCCGGCGGGCAGATGCACACAATCAGCAATCTGCGGATAGATACTCTCTCATCTCGTGTAATTACTCGCGGATAATTTCAATAATCATATTTTCTCGTGTGGTTCATTGAACTTGACGCATCTGAAATGTGAAATGCCAAATAAATCACACGAGGAAAGCGAGAAAAACAAATTGCCATAAATAAAATAAAATAAAATAAAATAAAATGCGCATTTCCCCCTGACACTCTTCCTATACATAGGTAGATATATAAGTCTGTTTTTGCATTGTATATTTAAACAATCAGCGTCGAGTGTGTGTTGGCTAATGATTCGGCATCGTCTCTGGCTCCCTCCTGCGCCTTAAACAGAGGGGGATACAGTGATCAAATTAGTAACAATGTGACACACAAAGGAGGCAGAATGAGCCAGAATGAGGCACTCGTAATCGTACTCTTAACACAATAAAAAACGTTGCAAAAATGGGCCAAACTATAGGGTGGAACTTTACAGGGAGGTGGTACGCCAGCTGGAGGGTAGCTCTTTTTGTCCGTGCTTTCAGCCAGAACTCCTTCAGGTGGTTGTAGCCTTGGAAATCACATCAGATTTGTCGTTGGATTACTACTGGACTATCTTTAGTACGCAGCTCTTCTCGTACATAAAATTGTAGCTAAAAGCCGAGTGCTGCTGCTGCTGTTTGACAGTTTTATCGCTGGCCATTTGGGCCATTGGGGACAGCTTGACACCGGGCACACTCTGCACACTCTACACACACCCACCAGCCCCTGCAGCACCCCTTGAGAACCCCTTTTTGAGGCAACAGCTGCACCTGTCGCTGCTTCCGCGTTGAGAGCTTTTTCTTGGCAACAGTTTGTTGCGTTGTTGCAAGCAAAAACAAAACCCAAAAGGAATCTATTTCTGGCGCAAATGGAAAAGAATCTCAGAGATCTTCGTTCTGTATAGAGTAGATGAGGCGGGCGATGAGATCGCTGCAGACCTGCACGCTTTGCATGGACCCGGCCAGCGCCTCCGTCTGCGTCTCCTCCTCGTTGGCGGGCAGCGTGATGATGCCCAGGGCGAAGATCTTCAGGCCGCAGTGATGGGCCACAATCACCTCGTGCACGAGGGACATGCCCACAGCATCGACGCCCAAGCGCAGCAGCAGCTGCCCCTCGGCATTGGTCTTGAAGGGGGGGCCGCACAGGCAGGCAAAGACGCCCGTCTGCAGGATGTCCTCGAGGCCCAAGGAGCGGCCAATCTCCAGGCTCTTGTCCAGCAGTCGCCTGTCGTAGGCGTGGGTCATGGCCAACTTGCGTACGCCAAAGCGCGGATCGTGTGCACCCGTCAGCGGTGTCCTGTCCAGCATGCCCAACATGTTGATGTGATCCTTGATGAGCACAATGTCGCCGACGGCATACTGCGGATTGACTGCCGCCGCGGCACATGTCAGGAGAATGTGCTGCACGCCGCACATTTTCATCACGCGCACCGGCAGCACGCTGCTGGCCAGCTGGTGGCCCTCGTACGTGTGAAAGCGATCCTGCATGGCCAACACAGTGGCGCCCATCACGGTGCCCACGATCATTTGATTGCAGTGCCCCTCGAGAGATGAGACTGGGAAGTGCGGTATGTCCTCGAAGGGTATGAGCAGCGGCTGCTCAATTAGGTCGATGAGCTGCCGCAGAAACTGGCCGCAGATCAGCCCAATCGTGGGTCGCATGTGGCACACGCTCCTGATGTGCTGCGCCATTCGCTCAATCTCTGAGTACGCATACAGCTGAGCCTCTGGCGTGCAAATCACTGCCTTGGGTCTCCGCTTGGCCTCCTCCTCAGCCAATCGCTGCTGCCTGCGCGCCTGCAGTCGCCGGGCAATGGGCGACCTCCCCGAACAGCAGTCGGGACTGCACATGGCTGGCTGTACTTTAATTTGTTTGTAGTTTCAGTCGGAAATAAATACTCACACATGTGAGCGTAGGGGCAGGGCTGGCTCGATGTGGCAGCACAGAATGGTTGCCTCGTGCATGTCCTTCTGCCACGTCCTCCAATGAAAGGTCCGCGCGCCATGACGTCTGTTCCTACTGCATGTTTGGTTGGGTGTCTAGTTGCAGTTTTCTTTGAAATCATTTCACAATTCTGTCCGCGGCTTTTGTGTGCGCATTTTTTCGGTTGCCCCAAACAACCTTTGTCCATGCTGCACGGACAGGGGGACAGGGGGACAGTGGGACACTGGGGCGCTGCCGTGGAAGTTGCAAAACAAAAGGCAAAAGCCAAAGAGCAGTGCGAGAAATTGAATTGAATTCCAGTGTTTGGGTGCGTATACGTGATGTTAATAATCATACGCAAAGGATAACAATCGACAGGGAATTATGGCAGCAGGCAGAGCAGCAGATGGAGCACCAAATGTGACTTTGTGGCATGTTTAATTCTGCCTAAATAATGAACAATTCATATTTATTTGAGCCACTTGCCAAAGCCAAAGCGGAGTCAAATATAGCTTAAACAATAGCTAAAATAATAGTGGAAAAAGCAGTGTAGCAGCCGCCTGGAGGTCATGAAAGTTTCCCATTTAATTGGTAATCCGATCACGAAGTGTTTGTCTGCCGCATAAATAGATTCTCCTTCTGCTCCTCCACAACAATCGCTGAAGCACTCACATTATTCACGTATTATTCACAAACATTCACGCAATATTCGGCCTGGCAATGGCAATGCTTTGCTTTGCTTTTTGATTATAATTTCAAGAGGGAAAACTGTGTTGTGTCATTTGAGTGCGCAAAGAAATGCGCTGCCCCGTTTGATGACAATGTGGATGGCAGTGGCAAACCGCAGCAGGAACATCCAATCCAGACAGCGGGAAACTCTATCAGCTGCCACACCCCAGCCGCAGTTGCAGCCACGCAAAACGCTCTTGTGTCTGCCTCAGCCTGTTCACCGCTTGTTTGCTTTCCACTTGGCGTCTGCATGCCAAAAATATGTCTGAATATTTACACACGGCGTTCATTTCTGGTTCATATATTTTTTGCGACTGTTTGTTACCTCGCCCCCAGGCAGGGTGGGGTCGGGCCTTGTTTTGGAATGTTTGTTTGTGAATATTTTGACTGGCATTTGAATGCTAATTGCCAGCTTGGCGGCAAAAGTTGGCCAAAAACTACTTGCCAACTTGTTGCTGTGGGAATAACGATATTTAATAATGATTCCGTGGCACATTGCTAGTTGCTTTGATTAATGCTAATACAAGTCGTTTCTCCCTCTCCATTTTAGTTGCTGAGTAAAAGGCTCGCCCCAGTGCTCACACAGAGGGAACTCGCGGGAAACAGCTTCCTCCACAAAAGTCAACAAATGAAAACCAATAAAAACAATATAGAAAACAGCAAGCGCTTGAGTGTGAACAATCGTCTCAGGAAACGGGAGAATCAAAGCATTTTGCGTATACAAAGCTACACGTACAAGTGTCTGAATCATAATCCGAGCACCGAGGCACTCACTTGACCAGAGACGAAAGCCAGCAGCCAGCGGCCAGCACATTGATTCGTGTGTGTCGCAAGACTTTGCCAGTTGCAGTTGCAGTGTGGCTTCAAAATCAAACTAAAGAGAGAGAGAGAGAGAGAGATAGCGAGACCCTGAAAACTGAAACTGAATCTAAAGTGCAGCCAGCAAGCAAAGCAAGCAACAAAAAACTCTAAGCTCAAAGCTGGTTTGACTCGATTCGACGGACGAGCCTCCTCCGAGCTCCGACTTGCTGCTCCACTTTCTGCGGCTCTGTCGACTCTGTCGCTGACTTTGGCTCTGACTCTGGCCCCGCAGCCGATAAAGGCAATAAACAAAAGACAACAAACAGCCCACAGACGTACGAATCGAGAGAGTTGCTATCGCTTTTGCCTGCAAACTGGTTACAGGCCTGCCAGCAGCTTCAAGTTGCAACCTGATGGACTACGCTGTGGATTTTTACGCGGATATGGGACAAATCGCACGAGATGTAAGTACACAGCAAAGCAGCTGCAAATATACATAAAATAAGAGCCTAAATGTAATAATTGTTTGCGTATTTGTTGCCTTCATCGAAGGGAAGAGCACAGGGATTTAACACCTTAAGCATAGTTTACGGCACTTTTTGCCTGATGGGAGCAGCTTCAATGCTGATATGGAAACAATGTTTGAAGGAAATTCAATATCTTTTGGTGGCTGCACAGATTTGCCTGCAGCTGCACAATTGCAAGGATTGCTTCCTGCTGTTGCCAGGACAACAGGCAAAATGCAGGCACACAAAGGGCAGACAGAAAGGGCAATGCCACAATGCCGCCTGAAATATAATAAAATAATTATGCCCAGAGACAGTTGCAACAGGAGCAGCAGCAGCAGCAGCAGCAGCAGCTTGGTTGGCGCATTCAGTGTATAATTTTCTACTAGTTCTCGAATGGAAATCATTTTCAAAAGCAGCTTAAGGGCAGGAGCTACTCGTATCATGCCTGACTTCTGTTGCTGCAGGGCTACAGACACAATTAGTGACTTTTTAATGCACATAAAAATGTATGAAATAACAAATAAATGAAGGCGGATGCGTGGGAGCCCATGTTCATTTATGTAAACCATAAAAAAAGGTGAAAACTAAGAAGGAAAAACCACGTGGCACGCAGCAGCAACCAGAGGGAGACTCAACTTTTGGGTCATGGAATGTTTTGGCTTGCTGCTGCGGAGCGAAAAGAGTTGTACATTCGTACATAAAGACACATGTTGGCTTGTGGCACTGCTTTACTTAATTAGCAGCATAGCAACAAAAAACATTAAAACCAAAAGCCAGCAGGTTGCCGGGTGCTAAAGCTCTCGCCCCCCGATAAGCAACACCCAGGCCAAGACCCTCCGGCCGTCTGTCTGTCTGTCATGGAATAGTTTCCACAAAGATAACACACAACAACAAAAAGAGAACTTAAACAGCAACAATAACAAAATATTTTGCTTTGTTTCGCGCTCATAATAAAATATAAAATAAAACAAAACAAAATGCTGCAAAAAATATCTTTCTGGGTCATCTAATCAGAAGCGAAATGTAAGCAAATGTTTTGAGCAAATTGCGACTTGGATTTAATTGAAATTGAGAGCAGCCAAGAGACTATCTCTAGTACATAAGAAATATGTAAATATGTGTACATAAATGCACATGCATGTACATACATATTCGTGTGTAATCTATGTAAGTTTTGGGCCAAAAGTTCTGCCTGGGATCAGCGTCTTTCATCTGTTTGCACAGGGGAAATGCACTCCAAGAAAATAAAATCATAAAAACAATAAATAATTGCACTTGCCAGCCAGAGCCCGAGGGATCAGCCCAGGCAGCTGGCCAAGAAAAAGAGAGAAAAGAATTTTATTTACGCAATAAATATAAATTGTATAAAAATACATTACCAGCGGGGCGTGGCAGGGGGTGGGGTTGTTGTTTGACTACTTGGGACAGCGTCAGGCCGACAGTCCGACAGTCCGACAGTCAGTCATTGTGGCATGGGAGCAGTATCAAAATAAACAGATGTGATGTGACCCGACCCGCCGCCATCTGGCAAGTGTCCAAAAAGGCTTTCGGCAATGAGTGAATGACTGACTGAAGGAGCTACAGCAAAACTGTAGCAATGTGGCACTGATTGAAGCAGTGTAGCAACTGTTGAGTGATTGACTGACTGAATTACGCTTGGAATGCATAATTGTGGCACTGATTGAATGAGTGATTGAGCCGAATGCAATGAAATTTAGCAGAAGAAATTCTTAGCCGAAAGCCGGAAGTGGAAGAGATTTTTGTGCATAGCATTTGTGTTACGAATCAAATGAATACAATGTCTTACGCCTGTCTCTTGTTATTCATGCCAAATGAGTAACTTAATTTAGCACACATTTGGGACGTGTTTTTCCTGCGCAGGATTTAGTTCATAAATTAAACGAAACAAGTGGAAAGCAGCAGAAAATATATATAAATATCTATGCACATTTGTGTGTAGTTCTGTTGATAGTTCGTTGACCGGGCTATACATAGAATTTGTCAGATCGTTTGCCAGTTTTCCAGCCATTTGCATTGTCCGCAAAAAGACACAGAGAGAGAGAGAGAGAGAGGCAGAGACAGGCCTATCAGTGTGCGGTTATCAGTGGAGAGACAGACAGTACGCTGTAAGTGCTACAAAGCGACTTGCCGACACTTGATATTGCACAGACAAACAATATCCTACAGCAGATGCTTTGGTATCAGCAGACAAAGTGTCGCACTGAGTGGCAGGCAGACAACTTGAAGTTTGGATAGAGCCCCAGACAGCACAGCTAATATTGAGGCTGGCCAATGTATTGTTGTCCGTGGAGGCAGCAGCTTGCATTTATTAAATGCCGCTTAAAAGTGTTGTAGACAGCGGCTGGAATAAAGCTCAAATATTGGCATTTTCCTGCAGCATTCCCCAGCGCGTGGAAATTGAGAAACTTTAAGGTAAAAGCTGGCAAGAAAAATCCAAGCGGAATTTGATATATTTTTACCCCGAAGAGGATGCAATTTCCCTCCACAATGGCCTGTCCTGCAAGCAAATAATAATGGACTGTTGGGCACGGCGGGAGCTCTGGGAGTTGGTCTGCGTCTGCGTCTGGTTCTGGTTCTGGTTCTGCTTTTGGCCATAAAATGTCAATCAATAAATGTGAAAACAAGACAAAATATTTGCATACAGTTGTTTGTTCTATTTATTTGTGTATTTTATTAAAAGAGAATTTAAATCATAATTATTGAACAGCCAAACAATCAGTAATCATTTTTTGTTGCTGTAATTGTAATTGTATATTCTGCTCAGTGCATTGCATATGTAAATAGTTTTGTGTGCTCTTGCCTATGGGGAAAATAGTTTATCACGTCTAGACATGTCTTTATTATTATCTACACATACTCGTAGAGAGACACAGACACAGACACAGACACAGGAACAGGGCTCAGGGCTCAGGCAGGCACTGGAACTATCGCAGACTCAGGCAGGGCACACGTTTGCGCAATTATTATTAGTGTGGCTGCGCCAGTGTGGCTGTAGTCAGTGTGACCATACTTTGCGCCTATTTACAGAAGAGCAGAATAAAAGCAGACTGCTTGCGTATGGGGCTCAATCTCTCCATTGATTGGACTTAAATGGAGCCTGTTTTTGTCTTATAATTATTATTTGTACCTTTCCTGCTTCCGAGCTGCTCTGGTTTTGCTTTTATTCACATAATTCGTGCAAATTAGTGTTAGTGTATTCCCCGCTTCGTTCTGCACTGTACCTATTTTTTCGCATTTACTTTCTTGTGTGTGCGTGCGTGTGTATGTGTTGTTTTGTTTTGTTCGCGTCGCCGTCGCCGTCGCCGTCGTCGTTGTTATTGTTTTTCCGTGTGCACTTCTACAACACCTGACGTTTTTTCCACTTTACTTGTTTACCTACTTATTGGGGTTTGTGGCGTTGCCCCCCCCTCCCCTTTCGCACCACACCTCCCTCCTAGCATCGCTATCTTCATCATCGCCCCTCCCCACCATATTTATTATAAGTCTATCTCTCTGTTTGGCTATCTATCCCTGTCGCTGTCTCTGTTCCACTCACATTCTCTCTCTCTCTTTTGTTGTCTTCTTTTTTTCTATCCATGGCATTCTACCATTTATGCTAATTTATTTGCCTGTTTACCAGCTTTTGTTTTAATCTGTTTGTGGGCCGTGTGTGTTGACACTCTGTTTGAATACAACGTAAGTATGTGTGTTCGAGTGTGTGTGTGTGTGTGTGTGTGACTGCTAGTGTGGATGGATGGATGGTTTGGCTGGAAAACAATGATACATATTTCAGAGCTAAATTACACCGCACAAATATATTGTTGTTATTTTTCGCCATGCTCGGCTCGGCGCGCCACTACCGCTGCCTCTGTCTCTGTCGCTGCTCTGCCTCTGCTTTGATCTGTCTCTGATCTGCTCTGCTCTGACTCTGCTTTGCTTTGCTACTGCACTGCTTTTCCACTGCTTTACCTCTGCTCTGCCACCGCTTTGTCTCTGTTCTCCTCTACTTTGTTGTTAATTATGTTAATTTATTAATTTGTCTTGGTTTTTGCTGCGCTGAACCACGCCTTTGTCTCGCTTTGTTTGCCCCTTGCCCACGCAAAACAGAGGAAATCAAAATAGGCTCTAAGACAATTAATAGCCAGCAATTAAAAAGCGTAAAAGCTTTCCGGCAGGGAAAGAGATTGCTCCGTAACGTGTTCCACGAACTTGCATGAAGTTTGGGCGCTCTAAGCTGGCAAATTATCTCGTTTTTGTATCCAACAAATCAGCTGCAGGCTTGCCACTATCTGCATTTGATTTCCACGAATCGATTTGTGGCAGTTTCAGGCACTTCTGGCTCAAGTTAGCCAATTAATTGGTGCATTAATTATGCCGCATTATCTCAGCATTATTTATACCTTATGCAATTGTTGTTTCAATTCTAAAGATGCTGATGGGTCGTAATGGCATTAATTAGATTTTATGTGCGTGGTTTTGTGGGGTAAAAGCAAAGGATTAATGCACAAATATCACGTATGCGCACAGAGTTGCGTGTTAATGTTCGAAGCTGATGTGCATAAATACATATTTATTTACATGTACATACACTGCATGTATCTATGTCCGTTAGCTACAAAGCTGTGCCCATTGCCCATTATTAAACTTGGCTTGAGCCCCTGTCCCTGGTTTTGCCCCTGCCCCTGTGCGAACGGGTCTGGCGCTGGCACTGGGTCGTGTGTGTATGCCAGAGACGAAACTAGTTTGATTTTCCAAACGGGTTTCTCTTCCCCCACCAGCCCCAGCCCCAGCCCCTTGCTATGCCTTCAGTGTTTGTGTCTGTGTGTTTGCGTGGGTGTGTGTGTGTGTGTGTTTTGGGTTCATAATTTCCATGGCAGAACTTTTGCTCGTGAACTAACCAGCCAGCCAGTGCAGTCAACAAGTGCAATCAAAAGTTGTATATTATTAAATCATTTTCAAGTGCAATTAGCGCAGCTACACCTCTGAGTCTCGAGCTCTAAACTGAATTTAAAACGAATTTAAACTAATTTTTAACCAATTTGTTGTTCATTTGCACACCTTAGATCACAATTTGTGGCTACATAATTGAAGTATATTTGGGGCTCTTCCAAGTGATTCACTCTGGCCAGTGGCTGTCGAGTGGGTGGCGTGGGCGGTGGCTGTCTCTAAGGTTAACACTAAACTTGTTTATGCAAATATATCGAAGCTAATGAACCACTTTTGGTGGCAACAACTAATCAACTCGAATGGTTAAGTAACTTATATGATGTACATGATGATACATAACTTTGTCGCCTATTTTATGGTCACAGAGAGAGCGAGAGAGATTGTGCGCTATCAAGAAAATGAAAATAGAAATAGAAATACTCTCTTGATGGCTGGAGTCATTGAACGTTTAATAACAACGACCCAGTTTGTGGCCAACAACAACTGCAATCGGCAGCGCCAGTTGATTAAATTATGAAAGAATGGCCAACAGGAAGGAGCGTGTTGCGTGCTCTTCGTGCGATAATTATAGCAAACTGTTGGCAATTCGATTTGGAAGACTTTTGTCTTGCTGCCTTTAGCCTTGCACTTTTGCCGTGCAACTGTGAAGAAATGCAATAGAAAATGCCTCAACCTTGGAGCCTTTGATAAGCGTAGGAGCTGGAGAGCAGCAGGAGCAAGACAATTGCCATGCCAACGGCAGCATGAATGCTGCAGCCCAATGCAATGATTTGTAATCCTTTGGAGGCTTCCTTTTCATTGAAAGTGCTTCAATTGGCAGCCTGTGGACAATGGCAGCTAGATAAAAATATTGTAGATGCAGCAAGGAGATTTCATTGGAGAGTTTATTAAAATTCCACTGAATTCCCATTCAAATGTTCGTTGTTGTTGGAGGCTTTAAATTAATGAATCCATCAAGGGGGAACAGATCCGAGCACGGAGGACGGAGCACGCAGCTGCCGTGTCTCGAATATCAAATTAGTGAGGCCAAAAATTGTGCAGACAGCAGCCACAAGTCCTGTCTGCGTTGCGCACTTTTCTGTCTAAACTTTTCAACTAATGTTCACATATTTTCTCTGATGATTTCAGTGTGCCACCACAGACTTTGATATGGATGATCTCGATGATTTGGATCAAGTGACGCAGGTGATCGGCTATCATCCACATTTTCACGATCACTTTCTGCGCACCCAGAACTTCATAATGAAGGGCGACGGACCGCTGCCCAATGACTACAGATACTATCTGGCCATAATTGTGAGTAAATACAAATACTGGCTACAAATACATCATTCATGTGTGCCAAAAGTGATTCAATTAACGCCGAAAAACATTGCACACTGCACACTGCACACGGCCATCTGTGGCATCTATAATTGGGTTTGGGCTGCAGCTTTTTCTATTGTTTTGGCAATATCTTGTTATGCCCAGCGGCTCTTGTGGGTTGCACTCCATCGTGGCATTCATCGCACGGACCAGGCTGTGTGTCGGAAACAAAACAACATACATACATATGGGCTTACGTGACTTTCAGGAGCACACTGCCCGCAGCTATCCTTCCCCCTCTCTCTCTCTATTTTGGATATGCAGCAGCAGGAAATTAGTGCACGAGCAAAGGATGTGGATACGGATACGGATACTGCTCGTACTTCTGGTTGAGAGCTGCTGCCTCATCAACAGCCAGTGGGCCACCTAGCATCGAATTATTTGCACAGTTTGCTAACAGGATTGGGCCCTTGGCAACTGTCTGCCAGCAGTAATAAAATATTTATATGGCCACGAACTGCACTGATGGACAAGTTGAATATTGCATGGCCCATCCCAGCCATCGAAATGTTTAGCTTTAGTTTTCAGTTGGCAGCGCACAAAGGACAACGCAATAGATGATTTTTGGGGGCAATGGGGCAAAACAATGAACAAGTTGAGAGTGAGAGATACAAGTAGCAAACATCATAAGTGGAGCATCAAAGGAGGAAAGGAAAATTACGGTTAAAGTCTCTTACCCGTTCAATGAATAATTCTGAATAGCTCAATTTCGTTTTAATTGCATAATTAGCCATCATAATATAATGCACATTGCTGTAATAAATGTGAGAAAAATGTGTAATTAACATGGATTTATGGGGATGCACTCGATTGCAGCATTCCACGGCAAACCAAAGTGAATTCGAGGGCGTTCCAAATGGACTTTGCACCCAGCATTCCACTGTCCCATTCCGCTCTCCCATGCCACTCTCCCATTCCATTCCGCTCTCCCACTCCGCTGCCGCTTGCAATATGGAAAATGAAAAGCAAAATAAATACGCGGAACGCGAGTGTAACAGATTACCGAAAATGCATTAGGCACTTGTTTTTGCTCAACTATTTGGTGGATCCATAAACTGCTTGTTCCTCTGGCAGCCTCCGTGAGCGGTTCTGAACATGGGAGGGAGAGGGAGAGAGATTCCTAATTTATAGTTTTAGCTGTGCGTGTGCCTATAATAATACACATAAATTCGATAAATTATGTATCTATCCCACAAATATGTAAACACAACTGCGTGAATATATCTGCACATATTTGTCATATCGGCGAGGACTCTGGCATTTGGCATTTGGCATTCACTCCTCTGAGCAAATAATAAAGACATTCGTTCAACTCATGTCAGAGACATTGCAAACACAATATGTGTGTGTGTGTGTGTGTGTTTGTTCTACGCATCGTTGCGTCCCCAAGGGAAACGTGTGTGGAGGAACTGGTGCGAATAGCGAGGCGCGCACGCTGAAAATTATTTAAGATTTACGATGCCCTGTCTCGGGGCACTGTGCCATGATTAGGCACAGGCTACTGCTTCACACACAAGGAGACAAGAGGAATACCCCCCAACCCCCTCACAAGAAGAGCAGATCGTAATGAACAACAAGAATAGAGCACAAACAACAGTGGAACGACGGCAGCCCAAGGGGAGTTTGCTTAGAAGGTGACGTCTTTACCACAGCGAAAGAGATTTCGCGAACAAAACAACAACACACGCTTGACTCTCTCTTGAAGCCGAGAGAGCGGGCGGCTCCACGAGAGCGCCAGAAAGGGATAGAGCTAGTGCTATTGGCCCCCTAAAGAGACTCCCTTGTGTTGAAGACGTCACCGTTACAGTTAACTCAGCTTGCGGTGGCCCACGCTCCTCCGCTTTGAGTGTTTGAATATATTTTGTCTCATTTCGGGTCACACACAAAGAAGATTTTAAATATTTTTAGCACATTTAGGTGTTCATCATGATGATGATGTTGATGATGTTGATCTCGCTGCCAGGTCCCGCACTCTGGGAGATCTCTTTTGATTGTGGGTCACTTGGTTTGTTGTTGTTTTTCTATTTTTCTGTTGGTTTAGGTCTGCCTGTCTACTCGTACGAGTGTTTGTGAGGGGGTAAACTGAGGCCAAGGCTATCAAAACAAGTTACGTAATGCGTAGAAAAATGTTACCTGAATCGCAGCTCTGAATAGTTTGCTGATCCTCTGTTTCGCTCTCTCTCTCTTTCTCTTTTTTGCAGGCTGCTGCTCGACATCAGTGTCCGTATTTGGTGAAGCGCTACGAGAAGGAGTTTATCAATCAGGGCGGCAGCAGCGATTGGCTGCGCGGACTGAACCATATACCCGCCAAACTACGTGCCATATACGATATCAATAAAATATTAGCCCATCGCCCCTGGCTGTTGCGCAAGGAGCATATTGAGGTAAGCACCAACCGAAACAAACCAACCGATATGAACTTTGAATGAGTTTTCCTTTTCCCTTTTCAGCTTTTGACAAAGGGCAAAAATAGCTGGTCCCTGTCGGAGGTGGTGCACGCAATGGTCCTGCTATCACATTTCCATTCTTTATCTTCATTTGTGTTCTCCTGCGGCCTCACACAAAAGCTGGATGGCTTGTCTAGTCCGAAATTGAAGAGTGCTCCTGCTGCTCTGGTGGGTGCAACAGCAATAACAGGAGAAGCAGCAGCAGCAGCAGCAGGTGCACCAGTGCCGGTGTCGGTTGTGCGCCAAACCACAACAACTCCCATTCATCAGAAAACAGTTCTGGGTGAGATATCGCTGAACAACGGGAGCAGCGGCGTTGGCGGCACAAAGCCGGATTACAATACCCAAAACGCAGCAAGAAACAATGGAAATGCAGCCACAACAGCACCTGGTGATGGCTCTGCTGCGAATGCGGGTGCTGCTGCTGCTGCTGTTGGGGCAGGGGCAGCGGCTCTCAACGGATATTTGGGTGAGCAATAAGCTGCCGCTGCCATTGAGTTGGTTGTAAACTAATCCGCTTGAATTTGCAGCAACGGCACAGCAGCTGCCACAGCAGCATGGCATCAGTGTGGAGGCTCTGATGGAGCGCATGAAGGTGCTCTCCCAGAACCAGGACGAGTGCAGCGAGGCAGAGCTGAGCAGCCGATTCAAGAATGTCGAAATGCAAACAGCTGAGCTGGCTCCAGCTGTGACGCCAGAGGCAGCAGTGGCACTGCCACCGAACATCTCGCACTACGTGGACGATGCGAACTTTATTTACCAGGACTTTGCGCGTCGCGGTGCAGAGAATGTGAATACGTTTCGCATACAGGATTACTCGTGGGAGGATCACGGCTACTCGCTGGTGGATGGGTAGGCAATCGGATACAAGTTCCTGCTGCAAACTCAGTGCTGACTTTCTGCTCTCTCTCTCTCTCTCTCCCACAGGCTGTACAACGATGTGGGCACCTATTTGGATGCGAAATTTCGCTCGGCCTACAATCTCACGTACTGCACGATGGGCGGCATCAAGAATGTGGACACGTCCAAGTTTCGGCGTGCCATTTGGAATTATATACAGTGCATCTATGGCATACGACACGATGATTACGACTACGGGGAGGTGAATCAGGTAGGATTTTACATTTATCGATTATTTATCGATGCAAACTCATTGGCAAATCCCGTTCCAGCTACTTGTGCGTCCGCTGAAAATGTTTATTAAGACCGCCTGTTGCTTTCCCGAGCGTATTACCACCAAGGATTATGATAGTGTGCTTGTCGAGCTGCAGGACAGTGAAAAGGCAAGTCCATGAGCATAAATCAGGCATAATTTATCAGCCAATTCAAACGATTTCACTCTCCGCAGGTTCATGTTAATCTGATGATAATGGAAGCCCGTAATCAGGCCGAGTTACTCTATGCTCTGCGCGAGATAATGCGCTATATGACTTGATCTCATTAAGTGAATAAAACTCTACATCTACAATATACGTAAACCACACCAACACAAACACACACACAAAACACACACACAAAACACCCACACATGCACAGGCAAACATGAAACATTTTGTTATTTTTGAAAGTGCTACAGAAACGCAGCGAAGGGAAGAGGCAACAGAAGCAGCAACAAGGAACAATGATTTGTGCAATAAAAAATCAAAAATCAAAAATCAATTATACACTCTGCTACATAATACGTATTCCAATATAGAAATCAAAACTGTTTTGCCTGGAGTTCAACTGAATGTGAGATTATATTATGCAACAGTGATCTCTGCACATACTCCCACGAACCATCAACTGATGCAGATAAAAACAAAAACCATAAAGCCAACAACTCAGCATCTCGTTCTGTCTGTCACTGGCTGTCCCGTCTGTCAGGTCTGTCAGGTCTGTCTGTTTTTAGCCCCCTTTCGTGCATGTGCAAGCAATAATCACTGTACATATTGTATTATGTTTTGTTTAATTATTTTAGTGAAATAAATACAATTTTTATTTTAATTATACAAACGAATTATTGGTTTTATTTTGTACCCGAACCCGATCTGACTGATTTACGCTTAGTTTTAGTTACTTTGGGGACATTGGTGAAACCATTTTACGTATAAGAGCTTTTCTGGATAAGGATAATAAATATATTATATAAATAGATGTCTATTTTTATGAAGCCTACCATATACCATATTTATTGTACTTTACTTGACTGTTATGTGTCTATCGCATCTAAAAATCACAGAGGGGCGGGCATTCAATGTCTAAGCTATAAAATATCCATCTAAATGTATTTTAGCCACAGAAAAGTATTTTGTAAGCTAAGAATTTAAACAGAAACTACACGAATTTACTTACATTGATGTACACACAACACGAACAGGCTAGAGCTTAAGTTACACACAAAAAGTAGTATCCACTGGGAGCTTCTTTTGTGCCCATAGTCTTGGGGTTGTACTTGGGAGGGTCTAAGCTACGCTACTCTCCAAAGATGAAAGATTCCTTTGACAGTTCCTCTTTACTATCTGCTGTTCTACTTGCAAATTCCCTAGATAATACACTCCTGATACAGACTCTACTTAGATTTATTGCAAATGAAAAATATTCATTGAGTTTTGTTCCGTTCAAATGAGTACCTTTATGCATTTATGGATAACCAAGTTTGTTTTGTGTAGATACAAACATAAAAACCATATGCAGGTTTCGCACGAAATCCTTACGAATTAGAATAGGTACACCACAAATCAAAATATATACAGTCTAAGCAAAGCAGAGTGGAAGGACAGGCTGGACGATACTCAAGTTCAAAATCAAGACTTGCTGAACGTCCAAGGAATGCAGAAATGGATATTACAAATATTTGTAGAATAAGTAAACACATGCCGAAGAAAGTAAACCATGAACGAGGTGGAAATATTGCTGGTACATGGAAACTTAATTAGGTTGTTCGATAAAAGTCCAATAAAAAGCAAGTTTGAAATCCGAAAAAAAAAATTAATTGTAAATATTATCAAACGAGCTATGGAGAGATTCAAAGATGTGATTCAAGCAAATATATATACAAAACACAATGTATTCCTTTGCATATATACAAGTACATGAAATAAGTATATATATTTGCAATTAGCCATTAGTTTATTGTCCAAAATGGCATAACTACACTTAAGATTTGTGTGTTTCAATGTATTTATAAGTGCGCAGTACTCGATCGATCGTTTTATTGCTTATCCGTTTGTCTGTGCAGAGTTTATGGGAGATTTGTCTCAAGCCAGTGTCCGCAGCTATCTCCGAAACCATCTTTAACACCCCAAAGCTGTCTCCACCGTTTATACTCCTCCGCTCCAGTGTTTGTCATTTAAATATACGAGTTTCCATCACTTTAATCTTTAAACCAGAGAACAAAACACATACGAGTACTGCGTAACCCAATAGTCGGCATAGGCCACTATAACTCTTTTGGTTTTGTTGTTTGTAGTTTGCATTAATGGAACGACAGTGCAACTGACAGGTGAATTTATATTCTAATTTCTACACATCTTTATACAATGCTCAAAAGAAGGCTGTAAATCCCCACTAGAGTTGAAGTTACACGAATTTAAATCGCAATAAAGCGTTTTGTTTTGCAATGCAATTGCAAAATCAAGCTGGAAAGAGTCCAAAAGAGAAATACACTTAAGGCAGCAATCCATATTCAAGTGTATTTTATCTTGCTAGAGGTAAGAGAATCTAAGGCATAATCCCTTACTAACACTATACAAAAGTACAGAAATAAAAGTGTATGTTTGATTTTGTTGTTATTGTTGAGTTGAATACTTGTGTATTCCATACAACCAGGCTACCTATATTCAGCATCGATTGGAGAGAGCACCACCTTTGGCCACGTATCCAGATGAATGACAAACAAAAACTGTAACTAGAATTTAATTGGGGAAAGTACTCTGTCTCTCTCTCTCTATATTTAAATGTTTAATCGGCTAGTTAAGTGGGTGTCTATGTGTGCTATAAAATGGTTTTAGGACTGTCCTGCAACTACTGGGATTTTATATATATTTACTGTAAGCTGAGTATACATGAATAGTGAATTTACACACGCACAGAACAACACTAAATAAATGTAAAATGTCTATAAAATTAAGCATACAACTTCTATAACAATATTCAATTATCAATGTTTGAAACCTCTTGATGTTGTTGAATAAAAACTTCTCTACCCCCTCCCAGGCGGAAAGGTGTTTTTCTTGGCTAAGCAGCTCCGCTGGTGTGGTGGGTTCGTGACAAAATTTCACCAACACACGCTTCTGATTTGAATAATATACTTTTTGTTGTATATACAATTGTTCTCTTTAATTAGAAATATAATTTATAATCGTACAATTTTAATATGCTTTTTTATCCTTTACAATTAGTTCTCATTTATGTATGAATATTTTTTACTTCGATTTGATTACACGATTGCTTTGTTGTTAATTAAATTAATAAGTTTGTTTGGTTAAACTAAAATTGAGTTGCATAATAATTGTTTTAGTTATAGTTTTGGGCTGTGTATAAAGTATTAATAATTATGGTTAAAATACAATAGGTTCACTTTCTGATATGGCGACAAAGATATTAGGAAAAACTCTACTAAAAATTGCTTTCACTTCAATTCATTTTCATTTCGATCTAATACACGCATTGGTCCAACGCAGATTTAAATAATTATTAATAATCATCGCAAAAGCTTTCTATGTCACATTTACACATACATTTGTAATGATTGTTTTGGCGCCATCCATCCATCGAATGCAACACAAATTCTCAGTCCTGAATCCGGGGTCGGTCCCTGCTGAGAAGTGCGATTCGTTCGTTCGTTTAACAATTGGGAAAAATCATATACAAATTTAATATATTATTGTTAATGCAATGTTCAACATTTAGGCACAAAATATATTGCTTCTCAATTGGATATACCGTAAAAGATAATTATTATTGCATGGGTCGATGGTACGATACACCGTCTTTTTGTCTTCATCTTCATCTTCATCTTCGTCGTCGTTTTTGTTTTCTCCTCGCAACAGTTAAAAACATTTAAATAATAATACGTTATATACGTCGGCGCTTTGATTTGCTTGTTAGGAATCATTGCTCGAAGATTTATGTGGTGGAGGCCACACGCTTTGTGGGCGAATTGCTCAGCAATGCCGTCTCCTTGGCCCGCTCGTGCTCGTCCTGGAAGAAGATCTTGGTGATGACCACATCGCCAGTGCTCAGCGTTTGCGATTCGGCATCCACCAGCTTGACTACACGCTTGTCCATTGTGCGCAGTATGGGCGTGACACTGCGCTCGCCTTGGCAGTTGCAATTTCTGTTGCTGTTTTGGGATAAGAGTTTGAGAGATTATTTCTGGATGAATCTTTTGCGCTGCTCTGGCACTCACTTTCTGGACTTTTCGCGTATAATTTGTAAATTATCTGTAGTCGCAATGCTCGAACCCAACTGCTCCTGTATCGAATTGTTGGCCAGTAGCTGCAAAAGAAATGTTTTTCAATTAATTTTCCACTACTCTGAGAGCTGCCTGTCCACCCACCTGATCACATGGCAGCGTGGTCGCAGTCGTCAGTATGGCCTCCAGCTTGTCGATGCGCGCAATGCGATCCATTGACTTGTTCTGCAATATTTCCTCCAGCATCTGCATGGATTCCGTGAGGCTGGGTGGCTCCGAGCTAAAGCGTGGCGAAAAGGTGCCCGAGAGGGAATTATCCGATGGCACAGAGTCCAAGCTGGGAAACATTTCGTTCTCATTGGCTTCCGCCTCGTCTTCCGAGTCGCTTTGATCTCTGAAAGAAGGGAGCAAGAGTTGAGTTGTATTTAATAACTTTATAGCGCTCGAAACTCACTTGCTGGGATTGCCGGCCGACTCCATTTTCTCCAGCTTCTTGGCCACCTTGTAGTAGCCCTTGAGGCGCTCCTTTTCGTCCTCCGTTAGATCCATGTACCTGTGGGTTAGCTCTAGAAATAAATATTGAAACAGCAGAGTCTGCGGACTACTCACCGCAGCAAACGAATCTCACGGTTTGAGAGCACAATGCTCTTGCTGGTCTGCGCCAGTTTCAGCTTCAGATCGGACACTTCGGTGCTCACTTTGCGCTGCTTCTTGCGTATCTTCACCTCGTTGGGTTTGATCTGCAGCAGGATTTGCTCCGTGCACAGCTCCGAGAAGAGTTGCCTATTCTCCGGCTTAATCTGACGCGCCAAACTGCCAAAGAGTTGATCGTGAATGAGAACCAGAACATCGCCAGCCGCATACAGCATCATTTCGCGGGTGAGCGGCCGCTTGGCCCAGAATTTCTGATCCCGTCGGTAGATCTGCTTCAGCTGATCCTTGATGGGATTGCAGGGCGCATTGTATTGCTCGCACAGCGAGTTGAGCGATATATATTTGGCCTTGTAGACCTGCTTGCCGTTCTCCTGGTACTGCAGAATCGCGTGCGCCGCCTGTGTGTCAAACACATTGCGCAGCAGGATGCCAAATTGCAGATACAAGTTCGCCGCATCGTTCCGGCAGTCGTGGATGACTTTGATGACCTGCTCGTGCTCCAGCACGGTCTTCAGTCCGCCATCCGTGACCATGGCGGGGCATGATTGCACATCGAAGAGGAAGGCCTCGCCGCGGGCTGTGCCAATCTCGATCAGCGTGATTTCGCCCTTCAGGCCCAGATTGATGCCCTCACAGTCGAGGGAGACGACAATGCCCTCGTTCTTGGCCGCATACTTGAGTAGGATGTCGGTGACGAACACCGATTGCTTTACATTCGCTATGACTGTCGTGTTCTGCAGCACCTTGATCTTCCACGTGTCGCCGACAAAGTAGCTGTGACTAGGTGAGGAGTGATTGGCATTGGTTTGGGTTGGATTAGAGCTAGCGTTGGCACTGGCACTGGCACTGACACTGGCACTGGAGTTGCTATTCGGATTGTTTGCTGTGCTCGCATTGGCATTGCTGGAGTTGAAGTTGGATGTGGAAGTGGAAGTGGAATTGCTGGAATGCAAGGGACTGGCGTGCGGTGAACTTTGATTGGCCAGCGATTTGTTATCCTTTTCGAGGTTCTCCGCCAGCGTGCGTATGACCAGAGTGTTTATGCGCTGCTTCAATGTTTGGTTGACGCTGTTCACCCTCTCCGTGGGATTCGTTGTGACAACTGCAGGCGTCGGCTGTTGTGGCTGCTGCTGATGTGCGGCTCCTCCTCCGATGGGGCCATAGCATATGTTCCCACTGGGATAGTTGTTCTCGCAGAGGTTTTCCAGCTTCAGCTCCGACATGGGCACATAGCTGTCGAAGCCAGAACTCGGCTCCGATTTGGGCTGTCCGTAGCCCTGTCCCAGCACATTCGACACGGGTGCATTCAGCTTGAAATTGGGCGATGCTATGCTATTGTTATTGTTGTTGCTGCTGCTCAGACTACTGCTAATGGCATTGTTGTTGCTGCTGGCATAACCATTGCTGCGCAGCGATGGAGACTGCAAACGCTGCTGCACAGAGCTGAGTGCAGCTCCAGCCACATCCACCTTGCGATTGGGATTCGAATTGTTATTGTTATTGTTATTGTTGTTCAGCGCATTGAATTGTTCCCTGGTCTGGGCCTGGGCCTGCTGTATGTGCGTGTCACTCAGCTTGGGCTTCTGCAGCAGCGTGACTAGATTCGCTTGGATGTGAAAGCAATCGCCAAAGAGCTTCAGGAAGGAGCTCAGATCCCCCGGCGTCTTGAACATGCGCAGCCACTGATCCTGCGGAAAGTTGGTGGTCAGCAAATGAAACAGCTGATCCACCAGCAGCGGTCCCTTAATCTCAATGCACTGGGCAAAAAAGTCGAGCATTTGCTGCGTGCCACGCGTATCGATGTTGGACTGCGGCAAGTGCAGTCGATCCCGCGCCGGCAAGTCAGTCATATTCTCGCAGCCCACGAGCATGACAAAGTCATCGATGACCTTGAACGTGTCCGTGTGCTTGGTGAGAAAGTCCGTAAACTCCTTGATATGTTGACCTAAAAGGAGAGTGGAGTTAGAGTCAAGTTTGGATGCTGATTGTGCCCAGCACTCACCCGATATGTGACGCACTTGTGGCGATGCCTGCGACCGATGCCCGAGCAGACTGCGCACCGGCACCTCGGCCGCCGCACCATACTGCAGCATCTTGTTCTTGAAGTAGTCTTTAGCCTCTTGAATGTAATCACGCTTGCCGCCTGCCCCGCCATCGTCCGCATTGCTGTGCTGGTAGGCATTCACCTGCACATAGTCCCCATCCACGAGGAATATTGATGGATACTGGGCGAGAAATTTCTTCAGACCTGCCAATAACAATTAGTTGAATGCCATTAGTGGGGTTGCCTCTGCCACTGTGCAAAATTGGTTAATGCAGTAAAAGTGTTGCAGCAGCAGCAGCAAACTTAATTAATTTTCTTGGCCTTTCAATGTGTCAACTCGGTAATTACGTCAAGACAGAGAGGAGACAGAGAGCAGCAGAGAGTCATCGCTGAGTAAGTACTTATTGAGGTTTGATTGAGTCCCTCTGCTGCCTCTGTCTTTGCCTCTTTGGTTGCCCGGACTGGAGCTGCATTAACGAGGGAATCGTACAACGAAAGTTTTCTTCCATTTTCCTATCATTGAAGTTACATATGCCTGGATTCCCATAATTAACAAAACATTGTTGTAATCGCAGCAACATCAAATGACAAACTTACATACACATGCATAAATGAATATGAATATGAATACACGAATACATGACTGAATGAATGAATATTCATGTGTGTGAATGAAGGCAAAAGTTGTTGCTCGATTTAAAGTTTGTTTTACAATTACAAATTCTACATGGGGGGAACACTGTGAGAATTCATGTGTATCCTTTCACTTAGTGTAACATTTTCAGCAGCAAAACTGTTAGAGCTGCGAGAGGTGCTTGGGTTCTGGTCACCAAAATTTGTTCCAAGTGTAGTTCCATTTGGTTAGAAAAGTGTATGCACTCAGCTAAGCGAACCGAACCATTTTATATGATAAATCAGGTCATAGTTGCTGACTGAGTGACTGCCAAAACGGGATGTGTTGCGACCCAACCCTGCTCCAACATCATCATCCGGTAGGCATGATGGTAGGAATGTTGTGATGACTGCCTGTCTGTCTATACCCCCTGCCATTCTCTATTGTTTGCGTAATCTGACGTGACAGCAAGGCAAACGCTGAACAGATCAGAGAGCACACTCTGAGCAGGGCGCACGGTACGGCACTCCATTGCGTGTGCCGAGGCAGAGCCAGAGGCAGTCACAGATTTCAGCCTCATTGTTGAAACTTGTTAAAAATGCGAGGCGTAGATTAATTCAATTGCATTTGACATACTATTTAGGTACAAGTCGTAACTCCCTGCGAGACGAGAGCGAGCGTCTCTGATTAATCGAATCGGATGGGGCATTATGCAAGGGATTGTCTACGGATTTGTCGAGTCAATCAAAATGAAATGTAATCCCTTAACAAACATCTTGGCGCTCCATTTGCCAACCACTTTCCTAAGGGAACCAATGAGCCACAAAGCTGACAAATGGCTGGAAGGACCCAGCGAAATCCTACCGCATTAAGGTCGAGCACACCGTGGCAGCATGTGCATAATTCAATTTTATGTTTACTTAGAGAAATTGAAATTGAAGGCACAAAAAAAGGTATCCAACGGCCACAACTGACGCCACAAATCGAAGTTCATAAAAGTTGTAAAAGGAAGAGAAAAAACATTGCAATATTAATATTTATCGAAGGCCCAGGATCTAACCCCAATATGTAATATGCATATCTACATGCAGGACTATCTCATATATATATACAAATATATGAAAATATATATAAATGTTTGTATCGAGGTGCCAGGCCAAGTACTTTTGGCTCCAATATTTGCTCTGTTTGTGTGTGTGTGTGCTTAGCCGCATTTCTTGGCAAACAAACATTTTTTTGGGGCTCTCTTAGTGGAGCGCAGGTGGCATGTGGCGTGGGGCCGTGGGACTGGTGCCACATTTTACGGCTCGACCCACTTGGACACATTTTCTTGCCAGGGCAATTTTCAAATGCAGCGGAGGACACTCGCTATAAATTTATGTGTATTTATGGTACTCTGCTTATTGAAGAATACGGAAATGTTTGCTGCCCCAACATGTTGTAAACTCGACACACAGGTAGCAAGTAGCAATGTGTTGCATGATGTGGAGGGGCAGGTAAAAGGGTTATGTCTGCCCATAAATTCAAGATTTTATGCCTCCCAAAACGAACACAGGGGGCAGGGGAATGACACAACTGTGATGGCAATAGCTGAAGGAAGTTTTCTGCAATTTACAAAATTTCTAACATTTCCTCTTCATTATGGAATCATTAGCGGCTGCCGCTGCTGCTGTCAAACAGTTCTCAATCAATTAGACGGCAAATGGAGCAACAAAAGTTCACCATGAAATATAATGAACAACAAATTTGTTGTGCTTTTTGCAATTAATGTCAGCTGTGAAGACCAACAAAAATCAATGCCTGCTCTGCACTCTTCACTCCTCTCCTCTCCCTAAGCTGCTACCAATTTCTCCTCGATGGCAAAGTTAACAATAACATAAAAGCCTTGGGTGCCCCCAAACGCACAAAATGTTGACACGCAATGCCGTCTGAAGGAGCATGGGGCGGGGGGCTTAGGAGCATTGAGCACCGGCTGGCGTTAAAGGATTTCCCAGTCCACTGACCCTTCCCCCTTTCTGCTGCCGTTCGCATAAAATCGTTAAATTTACGACTATGACTCTCTCTCCCACACAAACATACACACTCTGTTTCCCTTTCTCTCTCCCTTCCCAAGCGTTGCGGAATATTGAAACGTGAAACGGGTAATGCAAACGTTAAATGAGAGCAGGCTGACTCCAATCCTTTGCGGATGCCTTCAGCCGCAGATCAATCAGCTAATCATTCATTTTATAGACAATCGAGTGGATCGGGTGGAGAGTTTACTACGGGTATTGGCAGCAAATCCATTGCTAATCATTCACTTACAAACATTCGTGCATTTCAACAGCAGACTTTGACAATATTTTGGTTTGGAAATCGATTACTCAACAAGAAATACAACACACAAAAACCAAAACAACAAACTAGTTGCGAATGAGCGAACCTTCGTTAGTCCCGTTAAGGCTTGGCATGTGGAGTGCGTGTGTGCGAGAGCGCGAGATGTTGCTAGAGATGGGGCCAGAGCTACACCTGGCGCGTGCCTACTCATTTCGTGCGTGAGAGCATGGGATGCGAATGGGCAGCAGCAGGTCGAAAATAGGAAAGAAAACATGTCTTTAAATGTCCAAATGCATATTCCCCCTTTGATTGAAGTTCTGCCAGAACGAAAATTACTCATCTTGAGTGTTTTTTCGTTCCTCTTTTTGGATTCTCTTCATGCGTTGGGTACGTGCCATACACACAACGACACGCACCCATCTCTAATCTGTAAGCAAACGAGTGTGTGTGTGCCTGTGTGTGCAAATAAACTTATCCGTTGGGTTGGCTCTCTGCTGCTGCTGCTACTTCTCCCCCCGCACCCATTGCCTGAGGCAGCTTAAAATGGCCAAACGATAAAGAGAGCTAAATGGTCATGTTTTTGTGTTTGTCCAAATGATTTGCACCGCAAAAAACAACAACAACAAACAATCACAGCTTTGTTGGTGTTATTTGGGTGTTGAATTAGCAGTGAAATTTAAGTTCCCAGATAAACGGGGGCAAAGCTCTTGAAAACTCAAAACTTAATAGAAGTCCAAGTTACTGTTTCGGTTCTTCCATCAGAAATGGTTAAATTTCTCTCTCTCCTTTCGGTTAGAAAATTGCTTTTGACGTTAATTTCCCCCAAAAATGTTGGTCGAAAAACCCTCATCAATCCGTTGGGGAATATGCATATGGACACAGAAACGCACACACATTGCCATTTATTATTGAAGCAACAAATGGATGGGCATGGGGAATGGGGAAATGGGATATCCATGCAATTTTATTGAAATTCAATTGAGCATTTTTGTCACGTAATCGACACTTTTCTATTACAACGTTTCCGTTTCTACATCTTCATTCCACAATTCCCCAAACCTTATGCCGGCCATCAATGGCAAACCACAAAAACTACATAATGGAACGAGTCGATGGGTTTGCTGTGGTTAGGCGAGGGGAGTTGGCACCATACACAAGGGTATAAGCAGCAGCCCTGGCGGCTTTAACGGTTTATAAGTTTGCACAAACAACACGTTGACAAAAATGAAGCAGCATAATATATGTTTATAGGGGGATTTTAGGTCATACCCGAGAGAGTAAACAAAAGTTTATTGTAGGGAAAATTGGTTTTCCACTGACCGAAGAGAACGAAGCTCCTTATCGCCTATTTGATTGGGAATTAGAAATATCAGAGAAAGGATAACATAACTGACTCCATTCTATTTATAAGCCAAAACCTTGAAATTTTCCCATTAATATTTGCCTCGTTCTCGGGCTCTGATTTGCGTGTCTGTCGGTTATTTCCCCCAAAGTTTTGGCCGTCTATTGCGTTCTGGCGGGAAACAGCAAAATTTAAGCGAAAGATTAAAGTATTTTAGCGCCAAATTACTTGGCCAAATGTTGCTCGCTTTGGGGGCAAACACGATTTGTCTTGTCGCGGAGTCTTGTCCGTGGAACGTCACGCACATGTGTAGGAAATCAGACAAATGCGATAAACAATTTGTTAAATGTTTTCTGTTTTGCTGTTGCAATTAATGCACTCACAAAGTGTGACATTCATGATGGGCCATGAAGAGAGTACTGTGAAGAGTACTGTGAAGAAATGCGAAAACGAAATTGATTTTGCAGAAGTGGAATAAAAGTTCCACCATTTGTTACAGAAACTAATATTCCAAAACATTTCGGAGCATTAAAGCTGAGTGTGTGATAATCCGTTAAGCTTCTGCAAGCAAAGGGATTTCTGTGCATGTAAATTCCCACACATTATGCATTCCACTTCAGCTCTCAATTTGTTTACAAGGCAGGCATTTAATCTATTCATGTGTTAAGAACCAATGTAAACAAATGTTTGCCATTTCCTGTTCCCACATTGAGACCTACGCCCTCCCAACCCTCTTCAAACATTCATCTTCCGAGTGCCCACACAAATATGTATGTAGATATATCAAAGCAAAAGTAAAGGGAAAGTGCATTGCACCTTTGCCAAGTGGAACGGAATTTATCTTTAGAAATTGAAAGTTGTGTGTGTTGTTGTGTTCTATTCTTGGAGATGCACCGCGAAGCATGCATTTTGATAAATAGCATGAGGAGTGGAGGCTCTTCAACGTGCTGACTTGTCAATGGAATATAAATGTCGAGAGAGCATCTTTTTGGGAGAAGCTTTACCCAGTAGTCGGAGATTTCAAGGGCATGTTGTGCTCAATAACCACAAAAAGTCGCGTTCAATTCTTAAACTATTTTGCTACCTAATCGGATAATGACTACCATGACTAGCGGGTATATTTTAGTCGGAATATCGATCATACCAGTTCTACGAATATTTTTTTCTGTAGACCTCCAAAGCATGCGGGCCGGGCCCTTGAGAGCATTTGTAAAATAATACACACAACACAGCGCGTATAGTAAAGAAAGAAGGGAGAGAGGAGAACTGTGTGTAGGGGCAAACGTAAAAGAGGAAATGGAATAGAGTAAAAACCGAGACAACAACAAAACACGTGCATTATCGATTGCAGTCTCGACCGTCTGCAATAAAAAGCTGCAACTGAAAAATCATTGGCAATGTTTTTGCGGTTTTCTTGCAGCTTCAGTCGAGAGATGGAAAAGGAGAAGGCATAGACAATGTCTCTACCCAAACCCCTCTGGCAGTGCCAATGACATGTGCACTTGTCCGCCAAGCACTTGGTAATACAGCCAACAACAACAAAAGCAATCATTGGCAATGACAAACATTGACTGGCCGCAGGTGCACAAATGTGTATTGAATGTGCATCGCAGAGCCGTGTACAAACGTCCAGTATTAGTTTTCAGCAAACAAGTTTCATGTTTCATGTTTTGGGACCTGTACGGGATGGTAATGGAACAGTGGAATGGGACAATTATGATAGAGAGGCAACGGATTGAACTCCCTGGAGGTAGCTTTGATCATGTATGCGAAAAACTATGCAGAAAAGTGGCTGCTTGGGCTGGTCCCACTGAAAGTTTCGGGTCTGACTTTGCACTCACCCGATTGACTGCCGCCGGCTATTTGGCGCATTTCCTTGGTGAACTCCTTGTTGCCAAACTGACAGGACAGATCGTGCACGGTGCGCGGCTCACCCTTGTCGAGTAGGCGCTCCAGGAAGAACAGCAGCGTCATATTGCGTGCCATCTCGTACTCCATGGACTCCATTGTATTGTCACTAGCCTGGGGCCTGTCCCTCGGTGGTCGCGTTAGTCGGTGGGTCTATCTATCTCCTGAATTAGTGATAAGCAAATATAGTACGTCACGTAGCCGTTGACTTGAGTTGAGTTGACTTGAGTTGCTTATCTGCAATTGTGGAGAAGGTAGAGGGTAAAGAGCGTAAGAAAGGGGCAGAGAAAATCACTTATGCAATGAATGCGCCAAGAAAGCGGTGAAACAACAACAAGAGATAGAAGAGGGGAGGAAGGAATGAAAGAAAGAGCAACCGCAGACACATATTAGACTTTTGAGGTTTTGTTTCGTTTCGTTTCGTTTCGTTTTCTTTTATTTATTTAATTCATTTGCACTTTGCCACTTGAGCCGTTAGCCGCTGCCTCTCTCTTCAAGTCTCTCTGCCGCATGCTGTTGCTCGCCGCATTTTATGTTATTGCTTTGCAGTGGCAGCGGTAGCCTTGCACTTTGGGCCTTCGGTAGGATTAAGTAGTCGGAGTGGGGGGGAGCACCAGCAGTGGATGCAGGCGGCGGCAGTGCCATAAAATTTATTTTCTCCTCGGTTTGCGTCTTGAATAATTGAAAAACCACACACACTCGAACACACACACGTACAGAGAGCCACGGCAAATCCTTATTCTTGCGGCATATCCTTTTTTTGTCCTTGCGCACCGCTTGAAGTTCCACAAACAAATGACGGCAGCGCTGCTTGCGTCTCTGCTGGCAGCCAACATAAACACAGGCGAATTCGAACAGCTGATTGGAGCATGGCAATGGGGAGCAGGCGCGGCGAATTCAATCAGTGTTGACTGCGGATTAGCGGGTTTTTATAAGAACTTATGTGGGAACTTGGTGTTGGCATCGCTGGCCAGTGATATCATGTTTTTTATCCATTTTCCGCTGGCTAGGCCAAGGCATGCGAAAAGAAATGCCAGTGCTGCAGAACAGGTGATTGACACAGAAAATTTGCAGCGGAAATGGAAAATGCCATCCAACTGCCAACTCTCTCAAGAGGCATACCCCGGCTCTTCTTTTCTTCTCTCTCTCTCTCCCTTTTAATAATCCCAATCATAACCTGCTGCCTATTGCCTGTGCATTTGTATGTGTGTGTTCTATTGATAAGCAAAAACCGTTGACAACGATATGTATTGGGAACACAAAGCAGCAGCAGCAGCAACAACATTCCAACCGCATTCAGGTATGCGTGTGTGTCAGGTAGCTAGGCTGTGTGAGCGTGTGTGAGTGCGTGTTCAATGGTCGCTCTGTGGTGTTGGTGGCGGCCAAACAAGAAACTTCAGACTCTCATTAGACCGAGTGAGCCACCGCTCTAGCCGCTCTTATTGGGGAAAAGAGATGGCAAGTGCAGCGGCGAATGCGGTGGCCCCCACCCGCCGAATGAAAGAAAATATTTTTTGCAAAAATGAAAAGGCAAAAAAATTACACGACACTCGAAATATGCAAAGCAAAAAGCCAAAACGGAACGGCCAAAAGAGAAAGATAGACAGACCGAAAGACAGCGGGAAGAGCACGAGAATGCAGGAATGTGAAAATATGAAAGAAAGAAATGAGCAGCGCCCGCCAGACGAAATGTCAATTATTCGTTATTTTCGTACCTGTAGCTGTAGTCGTTTTATTTGTTCATTTATTTATTGTTGCTCGTTTGCTTAAGTGCACTTGTAATCTATATTTATAAGCCAGACTTATGGGTTATACGCGATACAGATCCTCGCGTTGGGGATATTTTCTCAAAGATCTGATCAGATCTCTATCTTAAGCGCTGTCTCGCGCTCACGCTCACTCTTTTGATCGACTCGCAGGGCTATTGTTAATTAAATTAAGCATTAATTAACATTTTTTTGGCGTAATTTAACAGACACACACTCTCGGAAACTGCGACGAAAGCAGCAACTTGTTGTTGTTTTTGTTGTTTCTCACAGACACACGCACACACACTCGCGCGATTGGTTGGGCAGGTAGATTCGTATTGGTGTGAGTACGTTGTCGGTGTAAGGCACTGGGGATCGTTGTAAAAAGCGAGTTAAGCCACTTGTTGCACTTCTTTAAGGCTCTGCCTGTTGGCGGGCACCACTGTCACCGAAATTTGGCCAGCTCCGCGCGAATTTAAGGCAAAAAACAAACAGTTGCGTAGACTTGGGGCTTGGGGCTTTTTTGGAGCAGCGATGATGACAGCAGCAGCAGCAGCGCGAACGCGGACTTATCGATAAAATATACCGACTGACCATCGGAAATATTCAGAAATATACCCTTTCGTGTTCAAAATATACAGCAAATATATCGTAAATCTTAAATCTTTTCCTCGACTTGCATCTTCTGTTCAATATTACCAGCTAGTTAGGATTCTCAGTCCTAAAACTGTAATTTTACTCCAATCATCAATCAATTCCCACAAGACTGGCTAATTTTCATGACCTATCTTTATTGGATTGATTGCAAAAAAAAGTTTAAACCTAAAAAGGTCAACCAAAAAAATAGCACTGAAAGTAACGTGGGTGGGAATGGAATCTTACCTCATTTGACAATTTATTACCAGCCAAGCGATAGTATAGTATAGGATGGGAACTTGCGTACCCTATTTCCAATAATTATAATTAAAAATCCAGTCTACCAGCTGCTTTTAAACAGCGCGAACACAGACTTATCGATAAAATAAGTGTTGTCAGTTTAGCTATTTCCTCAATATATCTAGCTTTTTTCAATTGGCAAGTGCGGGCTAAATTGTTAAACGGCGGGTGTAGTTTCTTTTATTAGCGTTGGCAGAGTTGGCAGCACCACGTCTGGCCATCAGAGAAGTACCGCAATATATGTATGTACGTTCTCACAGAATAAATTCTCACAATATAACGATGAAAATCTTAGTTCGGAGGACTTTCAGCACTGAATATATAATTTTACTCTGTTTCCAAGCGGCCATTAAACATTATTTTAGGCCACTCATTTCTCGATACTCAAGTATCGATACTTTTGTGATGTAGTAGCGCTGCCAGATCGACTGATATTGGTTCTGTGAAGAAACTTAAATTTCCCGCTCACTTCGTTCAATTTACCGTTGTCATTGGCAGCAGGAAAAATGCAACCAAGGTTTCCGGGAGCTTTTTCCAACAACAGTCCACATTCCAAGGCATCAGAGCTGCGAAGAACTATCCCCAAATCATGGAAACCATTGAATTCCTCAGCCGCACCAGCCGGCGAAATCTCAAGTCCCAAATCGGTTGGCAAGTGGCACAGCGGATGAGGCAATGGTCCGAGGATTTGGACGAACGCCGCTTGCAGCTCTATGTGCAGCTACAGAACGAGTCTCTGCAGGTGGACGAGGAGGTGGCCGAGCGGCTGCGACAACGCGCCGACGAGGCGGAAAGGCAACGCCACGAATGGATACAAATGGAGCGACTGAAGCGGGAGGAGGCCGAGCAGGAGCTGCTGAAGGTGAAGCAGCAGCAGCGGGAAATGTGAGTCATTGCCTCAACCATGGTATAACCTCTGGTAATCCTCCTTCCTCTCTCCCAGTGAGAACTCCGAAGCGCATCGTCACATGCAAACCAAGCAAATCCTGTGGGAGAGCAAACAGGCGCAGCTCCAGCAGATCGAGGAGCGTCGGGCGCTGAAGCGTCGCCAGGCGTGCGTGGAGATCCTCTGGCAGCGTGTGTGGCAGCGCTTGGACGAGAGTCGCGAGCAGCAGCAGCAGTACGAGCAGCAGCTGCGTCGCCTGCTGGAGGGTCAGTGTCAGGCTGAGAATTTGGCCAGGGATCAGCAGCAGAAGCAGCAGCTGCAGCAGCAAGTGCTGCAGGAGCAGCGTGAATGCTGCGAGGCGTAAGTAGATGGGGATTCTTGGGTGCTCTGCAGAATCATCTTTGGATCTTTCTCAGCCTGGATGTAGCTGCCGCGAATGATGTGCGGAGGAAGCAAATGGAACTGCAGCAGCATCAAGCCAAACGCCGTCAGCAGCTGCCCGATCTTCAGGCACAAATCCAGCAGAATCTGCGACTCGCTGCCTGCCAGTCGGAGGCCAACCAACTCGAGGATGTGGCCTGCAACATGCGCGAGGATCGACAGATTTACGAGGAGCTCATGCAGAAACAATGCGAAAGGGTGAGGAGACTCCTCGTTCTGTGGCTGCCACTCATCCTCCATGGCAACTTTCTTACTTTCAGGCTCGCAATCGTGATTGGCACCAGCAGTACATGACGCACACAGCGGCGGAGCGTGCTGCACATCGCCAGGGGGAACTGGAGCGGGAACGCGCCTACCTGGGCACTGGCTGTGTGCTGGGACAGCAGCCGAAGCAGCCATATGGCAGAGCTGTGCGCTGAGCACTCATTGGATATGTCACTGTGTCAATTATTGCAGCAAAAATAAATTTACGATTGGCATTAATCAGACAACGACGATAAGGAAAAAGCGTATCACGCATTTGCGGCATAAACAAAATACGATAAAAATGCAGCCCCAACCAAGGTGAATTTACTTGGAAGGTGACGTGGAGAAGACCAATTGCTTATTCACCACGGTTTCTGTCTGCGCTAGAGATGCCACTGTGGTCAAGACGTCACCTTGCAAGTAAATTCAGCTTGGCTCACAACCACTCAATGCGGTTGTGAACAAGTGGGAGCGGGTGGGCAAGGGACAGACGGGGGGAAGCCAGTCAATCGATTGGTCGACCAACTTGACTCGTGGCCAGCGGGCAGTATGCAAATTCCATCCAGCGATCAATCGAAGGCCAGGCAAAGTGTTGCTCAAGCAACGACTTTGACAATATTTCTGACACCACCCAAATGGGTGACAGGACTTGCCTGCCTGCCCTGGGGGCAGTGCCTCAGCTAATTGCACGCTTCCGTTGTTCATTTCTTTGCTGTGTCTCTCGACTTGTTGCCGCTAATTAGAATTGATCGTTGGCCTCCAGCTAGCAGCTGCCGCCTGATGCACTCTTTTCTTAATGCAAACAGACGACTAATCGCTGTGTTTATTCAATTAAAATTTGTGCACAGATTCTACAGCAAATTGCGAGCAATTTTCATTCCCAAGTAGATTCTTGGGCCAATCTTTAAGTAAATGAAAAAATGTTTCGCTAAACAATTTTCATTGGGGACTAATCCCCAGCAAAGTAATCTGCGTTCAACTATCTTTAATGGGCTGCCATTTATGGCCTAAACATGAGCAGCATATCTTTATCTATGCCGTGGCCATGTTCGCTGTCCAAACAACAAATATGGGCACTTTGTACTGGCTGAGAGAGAGCGATAATGTAACAGGCCCAGTCTCAATCCCAACACGATCCCATGCATCACACATAAACACAGGCAGGGGCCTGCCGCACCGCGGTGCGATTTCAAAGAGAGGTGTCAAAGTGGGCTCAGCCGGGCACGTCCTTCCTCTGTCCCACTCCTGCTGTGAGCCATTCAGCCATGTCATTAGCTGCAACATGCCAGAAAAGGGGTGGCTGGGGCAACATTATTTATGTGACACTTGGGAACATTTTTCCAACTGCTGTGAAGCAAAGCTGAAAACCCAGTCGAATGGAAAATGTCTCAAGCAACAATGCAACAAAAGTAGTTAACGTGCAACATAGAGGGGAAAACCTCTCTAATATTCGCATAAATTTAATTCATTCCACGCCACGGCACGCCCATTGCAGCATTCGTAATGCCAGCCTTATCGGTGGATCTGCAAAAGATTTATAGATTTACGCCTATGGCGCAGACACAGACACAGACACAGATCGCGGCTCGACTGCAACTCATTAATAAACGTTTAGGGGACGTCGCCCCACTAATTGCCAAACGCCTACAGAGGCAGGACGGCAATCGGCACAAGGACTAGACGTAGAACAAGACCCAGAGACCTTCAAAGACCTTCATAGAAGAGAATAAGAACAAGTACAAGTACCACGCGGAGTCCAATAAATAATTGTACACGTAGGCGACCCAGGACATGTCAGTTTGGCTCTGCCCTCGGGGCCCACCCACATGGCACGTATAAGTTTGTGGTCAGCGCACGCTGATTGAAATACTCACGACTGACCACGTCCTGGACTCCTGCTGCTCCCACTCCTACCACCCCCCCGACTGCTTCCCCTGATCTCCTGGCTCGCGTACGTGCTGGACAAATTTAACGCCTTTTATGCCCCGACTCCGCACACTAGAAAAATGAGTTGTGGTCTTTGCCTACCGGCGCAGCGCACAAGCGGAAGAGAACTCAACCCATTGATGACCTGTAAAATGCATAAATTCCCCTTAGATAAAAGTTATGCCAAAACTCTTGAATCATCATCGCTCCCTGCAATGGCTTTGTTATTTTTTTAACCAAAAGTAGACCCCCCAATAATGAGTAACCTTAAAAGTCACTCATTGGTTTTGCTTCCTCCGCTTGTTACCCATTTATCATCATTCCATCAGTCACCAAATCCACCCCAAATGCAGCATACCTCTCCCTACAGCGCCTCTCCAGGTAATTCGCGCTGGTCCGTGTAATAATTTCTGGTCCCCTCCCCTTTGTAACTTACCCCAAAACGTAGTGCATTACCTTTATGCCTTTTGTCTTGCTTTTTCGATGCTGTAATTTTCATGCTTCAGAAATGAATTTCGCGCCTCAATCTGCTCATGCCAATTTTATGAGTTCAAAATAGCAAAAAGCCCGCTGGTCAAACGTCTATTTTTTCCCCATTCCTCCCTCTCTCTCTCTCTCTCTCTTACTCTGGCTAGAAGTTTTATGCATCTGCAATTGTGTGTCAAGTTAATCCAGCTATTGACAGACACGCGTTGAAGAGAACCCCAATCTGTTGCCACATCAAAACAAAAAGAGAAAGAGAAAGAGAAAGAGAAGGAGAGAAAAGAATTGACAGCAGATGCGGGCAATTGAAAATTGGGGAATTGTGGAATCGGGGGAATCGGGGGAATCGGTGGAATTGGGGAATAGTATGGAGTGGGGCCTGCAATTACAGCGATAAAAGCTGCATAAAAAATGGTGTTAATTGCTGGAAAGGCTTGCATAGAAATTCGGTAGATTCGAAGCACTCTCCAGCGAATGGCTGCATGTTCTGGGTGCCATGTTTTACAGTCGCATCAATCTCCTGGGCTGTCTGAGTGCTCTGAGTGCTGATAGCTGGGATGGTTTTACATTAAATGTATGTATACATTTATGTATGTAATATGTAAACTCCTAATGCAAAGTGAGCGAGTGGCACTTGGCTGTCCCACTGCCTGATTGAGTGATGCATCAAGGCAGCTCCTGCTCCTGCTCCAGCTCCATCTCTCCATTCACTTGTTGAGTGGCTGAGGCGATAAATTCGTTTAATATGTAAATCATATGCAAATTGCTCAGAGATCGTGGGGATCGAGGGGGGGTTGCCAGAGAGTAATTAAAAACCACAAATTGCTGACTGCCGCAGTCTCTGGCCAATCTCTAATTAGCCATAGATCATAGATCTACCAACTGGAACCGGTCAGTTTTCACGACTGACCAACTGGCGCCTAACAACAGGCACCCCAGAGTGCCAAGCGGGTTTTCCCCAATGGTAACTGATCTACACACGCCAAGGACACGCTTCCTTGTGTAAAATTGCGCTTTTTGTGTGGCAATTTTTCACAGCGATCAAAACATTAGAAATAAATGCTTAAAGTGTGCAATTTTCTGATTGCAATTGGGAGTGTTTAATGATAAATTAAATATGTTATGGATTGGTATGTGGAGCAGCAACATGATGAAACACTTTGATATGACACTTTCCCTTACCCCTTCAAAGCATGCGCCATCGATCAATCAACAACTCATAGAGAGAGAGAGTGAGAGAGAGAGAGAGGGAGTGAGGGCACATCAGTTGCTGTTTTGTCAGAAATCTAAACATTAATTGACTTGGTTCTTCCGTTCATAAAATACTCAAGCCATTACTCAGAGCTCAGAATAAATTCTCATAAATTCCAACAACCAATTAAGCGACTTTTACAACTGTCAAAAGATCAACCAGCGCAGACTTCAATATTGTTTTGTAATGTTAAAACATTTAATAGTAACTCAAAATTTATGAAGTAAAATGTTAAAAATGATTGAAACGTGCACTCTTAGACATGTAGATACAGAGATAAATAAGTGCTTAGCTGCTAACGATGGTCGATATTTGAGACTAAGTTAAAAACTGAAAGTTCCAGTAGATGAAGCATCTGCTAAAGCGAACGCCGGCCAGCGCGGTGGGTAGTTTGGGGAGGGGTTTGTAACCCCGCCTACCACAAGGTTGAGGTCTGCAAAGGAACAAAGCATTCAAGTACAACACAATCAAGCGAATGTTCTGCTTAAAACTCACCACAACTATGGCATAGGTTATGCCAATGCCAGCGCCTGCCAGCACATCGGAGCAGTGATGCTTGTAGTCGGAGATGCGCGTCAGGCAGGTGTACCAGGCGAACATGAGCAGCGAAAACTGCAGAAAGTGTCGCAACATACGCAGTCGGGGCCAATGCATGCGGCGCTGCAAGTAGATCTGATAGGAAACATCAGTTAGTGGCAGTTCTTGCTAGTTTTTTTAGGGCATGAAACCTACGACTATGTAGAGCATGGCGTAGCAGGAGAAGCTGGCATGTCCGCTGGGAAACGATAGACTCATATCCTTGAGCCGTTTGGCATTCATGTCCGCTGCGCCACAGGTGAACTCTTCGATGTAGCGAGCGGCATTCATGGGATGAGTGCAATTGCTGCCATCCCAGAGTACGGGTTGGCAGAGCTATAGGGAGACAGCAGACAGATCAGCAAAGGTAACACCCGGAAGAGCTTCCATTCCGCTTACAGTGTAGAAGTGCGGTCGCAGCCGGCCAATGGCATACTTGGCTATATTCGCCGTCAGCTGCTCAACGCCCAGGCCAAAGATGAAGATGCCAATCTTCTTGTAACACTCCAGCAGCCAGTAGGGCAGTTCCAGATGACACAAATGATAGCCACTGCCAGTGCGGGTCTTCAGGCTCTTAAATGGGCCATGCAAACGCTTGTCCTGGCACCTGAAGAACTCCACGAGGATTATCTGGGGCAGGGCATACAATTAGTCATCAAAAATCAAACGAAAATAAAGTTGTCATTGACTCACCAGCGAGAAGGGCAGTGCGCCACACATGAGGTACAACATCCAGCTGCGTATGGTGGAGTGTTTGTAGGGATGCTTCAGCGACGAGTCATTGCAGAAGAAGCCGCGCTTGAAGGGCTCACCCCACAAGGAGAAGCCCAGCATGGGCAGACCCACTGAAAGAGGAAAAATCAGATAGATAGAGATTCAGCCCCATGGAATTTGAGATTTTTCACATTGCAAATGGGTGGCCCAATCGCCGTGGTGTCCAATTCAGGGCAGTGCAAGGTCTGGTCTGCTGATCCAGCCTCAATTGGACTTGGGTAAACAACAGAGACGAGACCATGGTGACGGTTCATGATGACTAGCTGTGTGGCTGCTGTTTTATGTAGGGAAACGAGCACAACGATTCTACCCCTCTGCAAAACGAAAACTTTGCCACAAATTGAATAAAATAAATCAGACCAAACTCGATGAGCGAATTAATACGCGTAAATATTCTGTTGTTTTGTATCTGTTTTTTGGGGGGGTTCAAAATTTGCCTCTTCATAATGGCAGCACAAAGGAACAACAGCCATAAACACTGCTGGAAGCATTTTAAAACAATTCCAAAGAAGAAACTCAAGGGGGGAAAGACGCTTCACCTTAGTTACAGTAGATATTTATACATATAAGAAAATACTCAGCAGACAGAACAGCTGGAAGACCACCCCTCGCACCCCACACAAGAAATTTCATCTGAGGCTGCCGCGTGATGGATTCAAATGTGGAATGGCGTTCAGTTCATGACTTGCAAGTGCCAGAGATCAATTGCTGCCACAGATGATAACAGATCATAAAACGTGCGAAGAGATGGAGAGGGTAGCGTGATAGAACTCCCCACCCTGCCTACATCAAAATTGATTTATTCGGAACTTAGATTAGAAAGAAAACAATTCTTCATTGGAAATGGAAGCACAGTGCATTAATATGTTTTTGTTTCTAAAAGTTTAAAGTTCTGTCTGCATGAGATAGAGCTGCATGTTAAAGTTTAGTCTATTATTTGCCTTTAACCACGCAATTCTTCCATCAATAACCACTCTTTGTTGCTGCACATTTCCGAGTATTTCCAACAGGAAATTATACATATTAGATAGCACTTCCTGTACCATAGTTCCCACCCTTTGATGTCTTCTAGTTCCCAGCTCTGAGCAGCGCCCCTTGATAATCTGTTCTTTTCTATTCAAACTTACCGCAGCTGAGCATACACAAGTCCAAGAGAATGCGTCCAAGTATCTTTGTTGGACCGCGCAGTGGCCTTTTGCCGCCGCCAATGGATCCTGGCCCGTTGGCTAGTCCAGTTCCCAGGCCGGGTGCCGCTCCCGAGCTTCCAACGAATGTCGGCAGCTGTAAATCAAGTTTTACATTGTTGTTGTTGTTTAGGTTGTGGGGATTGGATGTCGATGTGGTCGAGGCGGCGGCTGCAGCGGCGGCTGCTATGATGCTGGCTGCCGTCGGAGACGAGGGCTCCTCGCCGCTGCTGCTTTGGCTCTCGAAGCGCTGCAGCGGCGTCGTGTCACAGACGCTGCCCGGGCGCAGGCTGCTCATGCTGGAATTCGGTTTATCAGGAGTCGGTATCGGAGGGTTTGGCTTGGAACACTTGGGGGAGTGGGGGAGTGGGGGAGTGAGCTTGAACCTGGCCTCAATTTATGGCTCTATTGCACCTGGACACTGCCTTGGTGGTCATCTTATCAGCGGCAGACACACACACACACTGGGACACAAATATTTGAATAATCCTCGACCCGGGGATTTCTTCGAGTATGTGCTAATGGACTGAGACTGGTACTGGGACGATCCTCTGTTTGTCTTGGGTAAGACTTTTTCCGTGCCTCTTCGCGTATCGGCAATAATTCAGTTTGGGCAAAGTAAGTTACTTGCGTATGATAAGAGCGTCGACGGTGGCGATGGCAGTTCCCGATTTTTGGGTTGCACCAACAAATTGATAAAGTAAAGTCGGCGTTTTCTTAGTGGCAAGAGCAGGGGGGGAGTTGGTATATTGCGCACGAAGCGATAAACGATGAGCGATGGCAATCGACCAAATCCGAGTCAAAATATTGGAAAAATATTGCTGGCGGCGCACAAAGTCAAATGCGTTAAAATCTGTTGCACTATTTGCACTTGCATTTCCATTTCCCCATTTGCACTCTTTTTTTGTTTGTTTGTTTGTTTGCTTGCACTTTATGTGTCTCTTCGATGTTGTTCCTGTTGCTGTTGCTGTTGCTACTATGCTTTGCGCGCTCTCCTTCGCATGCGCAGCCACGCGAATTACGACAAACGAAAACACACACGAAACGAAACGTACTGTTAACCGAATGCAAGCAACATGCAGCGACCCGAACCGTTCAACGAAAATAAATGGAATGAAACTGGCAGAGTAGCGAGCCATCGCCGCCACAGCCACAGCCACCGCCACCGCCTCAGCATGGAAACGGGTCGATGAGAGTGAGTAGCGACGATAAAATACCCTGGTAATCAGTCACTCTCCACCAGTCTGTTTGGCATCTACGAAAGAGATCTATTTGATGGTTAATGTAGAACTCTACCTATGTCTCGATTGCACTGCACTTGTCATGAGAGATGGAAGGAACCTCCAGGGTGCGCTTTACCTTCCAAGTCTAATATACCCCAAAACTCGATGAGTGCAGGGCATCAAAACAGAAGAAATGGTAGCGCTCTCTTGCTTTCTGTTGCGCTCTCTCTGATCAGTTCACTATTTGGAAATGGAACATTGGGGGTTGCTGGGTGAATGCAAAGGTGTTGGGTAGGTAGGTCTTATGCTTACGATGGACATGCTTGTATTGAAATATTGATGCATTCCACTACAAATGGGCGCAGGCATGAATATAATTTTGGATTTGTTTAAAAGTTCATAGTCATGGCGTAGGGATACAATTCTATATAGGGGTATAATTAGATTTACAGAAATAAACCCTGGACCACAGCTCTGAGCAGGCGCTAAGTCATCCTCCTAATGTTGCCCCAAGAAAACCCAAGCCATGATACCATTACCTTTGACCTTCTCTCCTTTGCATATTCCATTTCCATAACGTTTCCCTGCGATAACAGAGAGAATGGGAATTCTCTGCGCTCTCTCTTCTGTTTGTCGCAATTATTCCCGTTCCGCTTGTGACTGAAACACTGGAAACTGGCACCGACTGGCAGGCAGCAATCTTATCTGTCGGCACACTCGCCTTTTTTCTGCTTTCGTGCTCGGTTGTATATTGTATATAATTTTCTGATTCTGTGTACCGCCAACTGTAACAGAGATCCCACTACGAATCGGTCGTGCTATATCTAATACCAGAGTGGCTGATATTTAATTGATGGCAAATCAAAGTGTTTTGAAAGAAGTGTAAAAAGGCAAAACTAACGATGACGGCGCCAACAGGGATTGCTTAGCTCAAAGTTTCCCAATTTATTTACGTTTCTTTGGTAAAGGTAAATTAATTAAACAAAGATACACGCGAAATAATACACAAAGAAAGTGTTTATTTGTGGAGGCGAATTGGTCAGATAGCGGATGGATTTGGCCATATTCGTTGTCTCTATCATTTTTATTGATTTGCTTGGCCGACAAACACAAAAGTGTGTGTGGAGCCTCCAAAAATAATTGACGGTCACATAAACAAATGCAAATCGAATGTGCTTCAGTGGGTGAGGTGAGTGTGTCTGTGGGAGAATTCATAAATATTGCAGGTGTAAAGAGGGAAAGGAAATTCGCTCATCGATTGCGTGGGAAGATTTTGCTTCTTTCTTTTGTTTGGTTTAAAATCGATATTCCCCATAGCCTGCTCCGCCTCATACTTTTGCGTATTTGCTATTCGGAAATACATTTCAAGGGCCATGTTCCATGCGGAAATAAACAAAATCCCCCCTAAATCCCAAATTCGCGGCGCACTCACATCCCCGATAGCTTATCAATTATTGAAACGCAAAAAGGGAAACAATTTTGATTACCCAAACATGCCGACGCACTGTGAATGTGCATGGGTCTTTATTTATTAACTAATCAATCCAATGAATGCCGCACGTTCGATCACAGTTTTTCCTCTCAGAGTTTTCTCTGTGGCAGGGGGAAACTGCCTTGGCAGTGGGCCAAACTGCACGACCATTACAGGCTGCAGGCAATAAGCATTCGAAATGCTGATGGAAAGTCCCAATATTATTGTATATAAAATATTTTGCATTCTCCTATTACGGCTGCAAATTTAACTCTTTTTCTACCAATATTCTTCGACCCCTTACCGATTTGTTGTCGTGTTCAATTTCGTTGTCAGGCGCGTGTAAAATGTGGCCCAAACTTTTGCTGATCTTCGCATTCAATAAATATTCATTAGCAAAGCAAATAAACATGCACTTTACAAGCCACCAGTGGGTCTGTTTGGTCTGTTGGTTTGTTTTCCTTATATCTGGTATCGATTTTCCTTCCGACGTCGACAGGTTGTCTGCAAAGTACAGCCTGAATTTGAGACTCCCAAAACCCATGGCATTTGCCGATTGTAGCCAAGGAAACTTGGCGCTCTTTTTGGTTGAGTTTGAATTACGATATTCCGAATATAAATATATTTTCTCCTATGGTTTATGCAAATTATGATTATTATTATCACCGATATTTATGCGTATTTTGATTTTTAAATTAATTTTCCTTTCTGGGATAAACAGGCGCCTCAGCAGCTTGACCTTAATACGCTCCATGAGATGTCTGAAATATTCCAAAAATTATATCCGAATGCCACAGAGTGAGAGAGTGGGAGAGAGGGAGAGAGGGGTGTGGGGTGTGGGGAATGCTCAGCTTGTGGTCGTTGCCCGAGATCGGTTAATCGTTCAACTTGTACGAATAAATGCAAATGAGCAGAGAAGGGGGGACACGCAGAGAGTGAGAGTGGGAGGCAAGAGGCCTTCAACTTCAGGCGCCTTCTCCCTCCCGCGTTGATCTTGTAATCCCCTTGGAACATGACATATCCTCAGATATGCTAAACGCGTGAAATTAATTGCACTGTGGAGTGTGCAGGTTAACAGATTGAAGGGAAATTTATGCACCATTGAAAGGAAAAGTGATTTTAATCTGCCTGCCTAAGATTTAGTTGAATTTCTATTTCCAAATCTTCAATCCCTTAAATTCCCAAGAATGCCGTCAATAAATCGCAAGCACATCATTTACATCAGTCAGTACACATCATTGATCGTAAATTGTATCTTTAACAGATCTTGAAATTCCCAAAATATTTAGTAGTTTGTATACAAACACACAGTATAGGTACTCCTCCAATACTATGTTCTATAAATATACTCACTTTAGAAGACCTTTAATTAGTTTATTAAAACCCTTTTGTTTCCATTAAATCATGACTTACGATTTGTAAGCACTTTGCACAGCCATAATTCAAGCTAAATTAGTAAGTCATTAAAAAATGCTGTCACATTTTACGACACAGGCCCCAAACCTTTTTACCCCCCATAAACCCCAGCGATAAGATATAGAAAATAATGTTTTGCAGGGTATTTTTAGGCGCGACTAATGGGGCTTTTGTTATATCCGGGAGTTGACAATTAAAGAAAATAATCGTAAGCAGACAGATCTTAAGATCTCAAGTGCGTGGAAGCACGCTCCCCTCTTCCGGCCAGGTCAGATGATATCGATGAGCTTTACAAGAGAATTCCTCACTTTTAATGAAGATGCAGCTGTGTCATTCCCCTAGCAGGGAGAGCACATTCATCAGAGGATCGGAGGCAGCCAACCAGTTGATTCTAGGCACTAAAGTGGGCAGAAATCCTCTGCTATCTATAAATAGTCGTTGTCTGATCGAATGGAGGATTGCCCTCGCTGCCTTGGACCCGGCCATAATCGAAGCTGACAACTTCGATGCAATTCCTATGCCAATGTGGCTGTGGCTGTGGCTGTGCCTCCTTCTGTATCGATCGTGCACAGTGGAGCCTTTGCTGGGAATCTGACAAGACGTTTGCCACTTGGAGTTTTGTCAAATTAAGGGGCTGCTTGTTGTTGAACCTGAAGCAGTTGGCGTGGCTTGCCCCTAGTTGGTCATTACAACGCCCCGTTGATGGCCGAGTTGATTGCACAAAATTATAGAAATTCACGAGGTTCTAGAAGAGATCGTAGGCATGGCAAAGCTACCACGAGTACAGTGGATACCCCATTGAAAGGAGCTGTTCTAAGAAAGGACTGGGATGACTCTCAAGTCTTAAATAGAATAAAAAATTGAAAGTTGATTGTTCATTTAAATAGACGTCACTTAACCCGTTTGAGAACTCGCTTGTGATTTCCAGTTGGGGTGTTAATAAATCGTAAAGTTCTTCAATCAAGACCCTTACACACACACTAACAAGACACACACATATGAATCAGAGAATGGGGAAAAAGAAAAGAAAAGAAAAGAATCGTCACAGCTGTCTTTTTTATCGTTAGGGAATCCGCGCCGCCGCATTACTCACGCCGTGCCTCTGCCATTATACAACATTTTATTATTATTCTTCTCATAATACGATTAATCTCTTGTTCTTATACTTCGTTTCAGAGGCTGACTATGACGTGAATTCAGAGTTTTCTACCTTCGCCACGAAAGCGTCACGTCAAAAGCGCTCAAGTTCACTCACTCAAGTTCAAGCGCCAAAAAGAGCGAACAGCTCTCGCGAGAGAGAGCAAAGCTTTCGCATCAAGCGATTTTACACCCAAAAGCCAGCGGCACAGCACCAAAATGAGTAACGAATCTTCCGTTAGCGAAACAACACCGCTCCGGCGGCCACCAAGTGAATTGAGTGCCGAATCAGAAGCTAACGTGGCCAACACCAGACAGTCGACGACGGTTGTGTCGTTGGTTGACAATAATAATCATAGCAGCAATAATAACCACTACAGCAGCTTGGTCGAGGTGCGTCTCCAGGCGGCAGAAGAGACCCAACAGCAGCAGCAACAGCAGCAAGGCGAAAACATGGACACAAATAAGAGAATCTTGTGCCGCGTGGGCCTGGACATTTTAATTTTACTCTGCGGTAAGTTTGTAGTTTGTAGTTTATAGTTCACCTGTGCCCCCCCCACATTTACAATCACATTTTGCTGCCTTGATTGCCCTGAAATTCAATGGGAAACTTTTCAAGTAAATACGGAATGTTTATTTGTTGCCGCAATGTTTGTTTTTCTTGTCTTTCGTTTCGTTTTGTTTCTTTTTTATGGTCTCTCTCTCTCTCTCTCTCTTTCTCTTGAATTTTATGTAATTGCGCGGCAAAGCTCTGTTGGCGGCTCTCTCTTGCACGCTCTCTTTAGCGGCCCTCTCTTAGGGCAGCTGTTACTGTTGTTGTTCGATTTACAGTATTTGCATAATTCAAAGATTCGTAGTTAAAAATGTGACTCAATCTGGGCGCTAATACAATAATTAGCAGTAAATATCTATCTTTGGCTATATATAAATCATTTCTCATTCCCCCACAACAGAAATCATTTTTACTGCTGACTTATGTTTCATTTCCCTGTTTGCACACCTTACCTTTTTGTTTAAACAAAAGCCAAAGCGTTGGTAAACTGTGTCAGCCAAAAGGTGCACAACCTGCAGTGACTGTCTTGTACGGGAGTTGCCTGGCGGAAACGCTGCCGGTGGAGGAGTTGCACATTTCACAATCAGCAGTTCGTTCTCTTCAGCCTCAACCTTTATCAGCATATTGTGTTTTAAGTTTCGTAAAGAGAACAAATAACAACGACTACTTTGGGGGGGGGGGCGTCGCAGCTTTAAATACCCTGCAGGTCGATTATTTACAGTTTTATGGGGAGCAAAGTTTAGCAACATATTCACCCAGCTCTAGCGGGCGTCGTTTACGGTGCATACAAAGTGACGAAAGCAATGAGAAGAAGGTGAAGAGCAAGCAGCAACAACAACAACAGCTATCAATAGCTTGCATTGTAGCGAAACCGGTTTGGCAGAGAGCTTACCTGAGAACACACGTTGTCTGTCCGCTCTCCTGATTAACTACAAGGCGGGGTGTTGTGAGGAATGATTCACCACCAAAACATAGCTGTAGACTTTTGCAATTTGCACTAAATAACACACAAAGTCAAGCAGTCGCCATATTTGTCCAGCTGATTGTGCAGCCTGCCATACGAGTAGTGGTAGATCGTTCCAATTGGCCATAGATCGAGGCTCCAAATTAATGGCAGCATAACTGCGTGACACATGTGGCAGGCAGGTAGAGGGCAAACTTTCGCCAAGGTTGACTCATAAGGAGCGCTGCCAAGATCCCCTGAATAAATCCGTAAACCCAAATGAATCACACGCAAAACTTTTGTGCTCATAAAACAAAAGGAGTTTGGGGAGCTATCAACGCAGATTACCCAACAAAGAGTACAAATAGGAATATAAAATGATAAGCTGCAGACCACACGGCCATAGAGGCAGGCATTTATAATCTTTATTTGTTTTTTTTTGTGGGTACTCCCGTAATCTAAAACTCGTGCCGTGCGCATATTTAATCAATTTCCTTTATCGATTTGTTAAAAACCAACGAGAAAAGTTCCTTAAATAAATTAACAAGAAACCATGGCAACAGACCACAGACAAGAGTCAACAAACAAGAAGCACAAAACACAAAACGCACTTCGCTTCGTGTTGGTTTCCCAATAAATTCCAATTAGTTTAATCTATTACAAAATACCCAATATCATAGCCAACAGAATTCCGGACTGCATTTGGTGGGCCATTTAGAGTTCTGGTTTTCAGTGGGTCGACAAAGATGCTTTTCTCTTCAAACGCTTTTGGGTGTAAATTAGTTCTGACGCTGATAAAGTGATCCGAGACGTAGGCATAGCATAGATATCGTGAGTGGAGTGTCAGTGGCACTTAGCCAAAACAAACCCCAACTCTTAGGAATAACCTCCAGAACAGCCGCAACCTCAGGAAAACGAACCCAAACACACACGACTCCTCCTTTGACGTTAATTGAATGCGAACGAGCTGTGGCACAGACTTTTCCTGACTTCTGCCTCCAGTCATTAAACCCATAAAATATACAGAGAAAAAAAATACATTTTGGAGGTCGTCTCCGCCGTGGCTCTCTGCCACTTCAATAATTTATTGAGCGTGATTGGTGTGTGGTTGGGTGGGGAAAATTCTTGTCTTTCGTTTGACCAAAAATCTAAGTAGAAAGAAAAATATTTATGCAACGCATTTTGGGCTGGATGAGGCCTGTGGCAATTGTTGGTTTCATTCTTGGTGTTTACCTACCAAAAAACAACAAACAGGCAACACGGAGACCACAGATACAGTTGCAGGGGCAACACAATGGATGCAGCAACGATTTTACAGTTGCACTGCTCTGTGGCGGTTGATTTTTCATTTGTTTTTTTTTTCGCTACAGTTTCATGGATCGAAAAGTAATGCACATTTAATTGCCAGCAAGAAGCCCTTGGGTCCGGTCCATGACTCATGGAAAAGGCACGGCACTGCCCTCTACTCCTCCTCGTACCTGTGACACCTTTTTGTCGAGTTTGCTCTGGGAAAACGTGTGTGTAGGGATTCCTGGTAATTCCGTGCCCAAGGCATGGCCTTCGTTGGTCTACAGTCATGCGGGAAATTGGTGTGCAGCACCCAAATCAATATTTTCTCATACATATCTACCTGTCGCCTGTCTGCTCGGGGGTTCTTGGCTTAATCAATCTTTGCACTTATTGTTTCCATAGACAGCAGATAATCATATTTCTTGGAGCTTCTCGAATCAATTAATCGCAGAATCTGCGGCCAGTTGTCAGTCATCTTTAAGTCAGAGTCAGCGACAGAGTCAGCGTCTGGCTGTTAGTTTGTCTTCTGCTTTTTATTTGCTTCTTGTTTCTTCTTTGCATTAATTGTCTTTAATTTGACTTCCGTCATGTCTAATTAGTACAGACCAGTCTCCAGACTGGCTGCAAGTGCAAGTCAGACGCTTTTAATTAGACATTTTGTGCCGCTCCTATTTGAGGTCAGATTTGGAGTGCAAAGTGGAGTGTGGAGTGTGGAGTGAGCGAAAGAGTCTTAGATAAGAGTCTCTCTTCTGTGTAAATATTTGGCAACTTGAAAGCGGCAGTGCAGCATCTCGTGTCGTGGCGTACGACGGTGGCCGCTGGGCTGGGGCAGGCGGCAAACTGCTCTTTTGGTTGTGGAACTTAAACCTCGGATCTGAAGTGTCTGCGTTTACCTCTTTGTTTAACAAACAATTTGTTTATGCCTTGTCTGTCTGTCTGGCTTGTTGTGTACTCTCATTGTTGCTTCAATTAGATGGTAAATGTTGTGTGTGCTGTGGCGGCGTCTTTATTATTGAAATGAACTTGACACCAAATGGGCAGCGGCAGAGGCAGAGGCAGCGTGGCAGCAGCCGTTTGTTTTGCTATCAAAGTGCGGCCCTAGGTGCGCTACAATTCGGTTGAATGCAACACGGGGACGCCGGTTTCCACTCTACGAATTAAATTAAGCATTTCCGCTAGAGCTGGAACAGAGAGAGGGGGAGGAGCAGCAGCAGGAGGAGGAGCTGGTGCTGGTGCTGGAGGTGGAGGTGGAAGTGGAACAGTGGAAAGGGAGCAGCGCTGAGTGTGTGGGCTGCTGCTCCCCTCTATAATAATTTTTAAACGTTTTATGTCACCCTCATAAAGAGTACAGAAAAGGGAGAAACAGTCACCAAAATGTAGTTCTCTTTTGCTTTCGTTTCCATTTCACACAATTTTCCATAGATTTTCATAGTTTTTCATGGCTTTTCCCCCATTTCGGCTGCTGGAAAATGGTTTTTATCGTAAAACATAGTTAATCCAGATTATGGACAACGAAATATCTGCCCAGACACTTTCATTTTCTATGCCACAAAAGTCATAAAAACATTTTTAGTGCTACCGGGTGGCGGGATACACAAGGATTAGAGACAGGGAGAGAGCAGAGGGAGAGTGTTCCCTGTGGCCAACAATGGGCCACTTGCTGTGTGTGTGTGTGTGTGTGTCTGGCTCTGTGTGTGTAATATGACGCTAATCTCTGCTAGAATTCATCCATATAACTTTCCCAGCAGAACCTGCTCCAGAGATCGTTAAATATCATCCACAGACAATGCGGGAATCTCTCTGATCTAGACTTAGGCCACTGTTCCCCTGATGATGCTGCAGCTGCGCCTCTGAAGAATGACAGAAGAGGGAACAGGGATCTCTAAGGTCATTGTGTCACCCACCTTTGTGTGCCGCTGCAAAAAAGGAGAAAAAAGGGAGAGAGAGAGAGTAACGGACACCGCTGGTGGCTTGTCTGCCGTGTCAAGTGCTGTGGCCAAAGCGTCGCCAACGTCCTGCACTCGAGATAGGAATATCTTCCAATTGCACTTCCAACTTCCAACCCAGACACCGCCTGGCATTTCACTGACTAATGAGCAGCACACAGAACTTGCCTCATTTTCCATGGCTCAGTGAGTTGTGTGTAGCAGGTAGCATGCATCATTAGCAGCTACAACTGGAGCAGATCCTAATGCAATTTTAATGGAGAACTCCAACGAAAACCCAAATCAAACAGAGGAGCAACTCAACGCATCGCTGTCTAATCAATCCATCCATTGGTGGGGAGCCATTTGTCAGCTTGCACGCCTCACAATTTTGTATGCTCCGTTGACGAGTTATTATTAATGGCAACGAATTTGTAATTAGACAAGAACGCCCCAACATAAGGGTCTATAAACCACATTGAAACCCCAAGCACGTTCCCCGTTCGGGTGGGGAAATCTTATCAAAATCAAACCTAAGACAGCTGTCAGCGGTACGCTTTAGCCATAGATAAACACCCCATAGATGACCTACTAAATATTGATAAATTGTTGTTACCTTCTCGTACTTGCAGTTGGTTTTCCTATACTATTGTTTTTCCTGCTCGGAGATCCCTATAAGCGCGGGTTCTTCTGCGATGACGAGTCGCTGCGGCATCCCTTCCACGAGTCCACAGTGCGCAATTGGATGTTGTACTTCATTGGAGTGCTGATACCCGTTGGTGTGGTAAGTAATTGAAGCCAAATTGTGTCAAGCAGCTGTCTGTCAGAGTCTACTTGGGGCAGAAAAAGAGATTGCGACATTCAAGTTCATTTTGGAATGGATTGTATCTGTTGCAAGCAAGTTGCCCATCTGGCTGGGAGTTGTCTGTTTACTGTCCACATGTCAGCAATTAAAACTAGAGCAACATGTGGCAGTGGCTGGCTCTGGCAACGGGGCCAAAGCAGAGGCTATTAATACTCGCATTTGCCTATAATTTCCATCGAAATAAAAGGGTTTTATGAGGTGTTATGCGGTGTTGTCTCAATGTTTCACTCATTCTTTGAACTCCTTTTCTCCCTAGATACTCACTGTCGAAGTTCTCATCTCGCGTCACAAGGCGAAACGGGACAATGGCAATGCCACGAGTCGTCGCTATGTCTTTATGGGCTACGAGCTGCCCAACTGGCTCATTGAATGCTACAAGAAGGTGGGCATCTATGGCTTTGGCGCCGCTGTTAGTCAGCTGACAACGGACATTGCCAAGTACTCCATCGGACGTCTGCGGCCACACTTTATTGCGGTGAGTCCTCAGCAACTGTCTGGGGAAAATGTTTAGCAATATTTGACATTTGCCAATTAATTTGAAGCTGCCACATGTGCTGCTGCGACAACGAGGGTTACTTAGGGGTGTAATAATAGCAACCAAAGGGCAGGGTAATGCCCCAACCAAGGCAGCAGCTTACACACTTTTGGCAGCAGAAAGTTCTGCCTGCTCCATGGCCAGACGGGCTTCGTGTTCCTTCTGTTTATTTATGTTATTTTTTGACTGCTTGTCAGGCAAATTTTATAAATATTTCTGCGGCAAGTGGCTTGTTCATAGGGATCGTTTCCCCCTTCTAAAAGTGCCGACACAGTGCCGCCCTATTGTTTAGTGAAGTGCGGCAACAGTTGTGGAGCAATGCTGCTGCAGCTGTTGTCTCATCTCACAGCTCTAATTTGCAGCACATGTGGCAGGGAGCAATGCCATAAGCAGCTTAAACCCCAGTCAAGGCTTTTGCTCATACTTTTACTCCCCTCTTACTTTTGTTGCAGGTGTGCCAGCCCGTCCTTGCCGATGGCTCCACATGCGACGATCCACAGAATGCCAACAAGTACATTCAGGAGTTTACTTGCCGCGGCCTGGGCTCATCGGCGCGCATGCTCAAAGAGATGCGACTGTCGTTTCCCAGCGGACACTCGAGCTTCACCTTCTTTGCCATGGTCTACATGGCGGTAAGTTGCGCCTTCTGCTTGGATCTATCTGTAGCTTTAATGTTTACTGTCTGTCTCTCTGGCTCTCTCTTGTGGCAGCTCTATCTGCAGGCACGCATGACCTGGCATGGCTCGAAGCTGCTGCGTCATCTGCTGCAGTTTATGTTCATTATGATTGCCTGGTACACAGCGCTGAGTCGCGTCTCGGACTACAAACATCATTGGTCGGATGTGCTGGCCGGTGCGCTGATTGGTTCCACCTGTGCCTTGGTTGTGGTAAGTCCTCCCCCTCCTCATAGCCACAGCTTAGTTGCCCCTTTTATCCATCTATCCATCACTTGCTACATCTTTTTAGAGCTATTGTTTGCCCAAGAATTGGTTCAATTGGCACACAGTGTGGCCCGCCAAGGGCAAGGAGCAGTAGGACAGAGAGGAACTCATTTACTTGTAACAAAGAATTGCAATTAAAACATCACAAATCGAAGCATAAATGTACCCCTTCTATTCATTATTTAATTCATATTTAATTGGTGTACGGGAAACATTTTCTAATTGGCATAGAAACTCAACACCTTGCCGTAGGGGCCACTGCCGTCGCGTGTGCTGCCAATCAAGCCAATCGATGGCACGACACCGCTTGAGGCTTGCCTTCTAGCAGCTGTGGCATGCAGCTTGTCCTGGCCAGTTGTAATTTCACGCCTCAAAAGAGCGAGGAGTCGAGGGTAGATCATGTTCCATAATGATTTAATTCAAAACACAAAGAGGGAAAGGCTGGAATTACTTTTACATACTTTTAGGAGCACTTTAATATACCCAACATGAACTTATTTCAACACGAATTTAATGTTTATCCTTTACTTACAGGCCAACTACGTCTCGGATCTGTTCCAGCGCTCCAGCTCGAAGCCTTACCTGCCACGCAGCGCACAGGATATGGGCGCCACGACGCAGTCGCCGCCGCCGGGCATCACCGTGACGACTAATTAACCTCCAGCGGAGGTGCACAACTATCACAAATTCCACATGTTGTAGGCCCACTTTTTAGCAAGAAAACGAAGGCCAAGCTTTCGTTTTTATAATTTATTTCTCGTGTTTTGAGTTTGAGTTTTGCACTTTGCATTTTTATGTGTGATTTGTGCACTTAAGTGTCTTCCGCAGCTGCTTGATTTTCTAGGCTTAAGTTAGCACAATGGCAAGGGACATCTGTGTGATGTTATTTATTGTATTATTTTGCTAAGGAATTTTAATAGATATTTATTTGATAATTATCACAAAGAAGTGACCTTCTGTAGAGCAGCACAAAAAAAGAGAGTGACGCGTCTTGCGCAACAGCAAATAAGTACTACTATAAATTAGACACTAAGTACTCAATGCATAAGATATTTTTAATTATATTGTAAGATGACCATGGAAGAAAAAACAATAATAAATTAGACTTTTAATTGAAATTGGATTTGAATATGCAAAAAGAACGTTTTGCAGCACTAGAACACGCACTTCGATAAAATATCGCTTATCAGCAATCGAATCTGTTGAATTTGAATTTGAAATTCAATTTGAAGCAATTGTGAATAACAGCGGCAGATCAGGATAAAAACTACTAATAAATTCAGTTATTAGTGAAACGATTTAACAAATTTGTAGTGTATTATTGCAATTGCCGTTCCCGCTTAGCGGACATCATCAGATGATACTGCAGCAGCAGCACAGAGTGGCACAGAATGGCGGCCATCATGTTGAGCGACTCCCTGCGATTGACTGGGAACAGACCACAAACCTTTAAATTAAGTGTCATGCTATGCTGATAGATCACAAATGAACTGAGCTGCAAATCGAAGATACAATATTGTTAGTGGAAGTTCGCAGAGTGCTCCGGCGGCTACCCACCTCCTTGCGCATGATTCCCTCGCTGATGTTATGCTGCGGCTTGCTCTGATACCGCGCCACCAAATCGCAGATATAATCGGTCATAAAAAAGTCCATCGTCCGCGTGGAGCACAGCAGAGCGCCATACACTTTCGCATAGAAGGGCGCGGGTTTGCTCAGCGAGAAGACGATGCCCAGATAGCTATTGATGATGGTAAAAGCAACGAAATCGAAGCGTGAAGCCAGCATCTGACGACCGTAGATTCTGTTTAACTTGTGCGCCATGCGGCTGAGTCTGGCGTGCAGGGACCACAGGCTGCGCAGCTCCTTTGCATAGCCAGCGGCCAGGGGCGAGCGTGTGGCAATGAGTTCCGCCAGCTGTTGGTTCACGAAATCGTATCCACGCGCCACATGCCAGAAGGACACAAAGTACAGATGCGGCGTGGCAATGAGGACGGTGTAGCCATTGTTCAGCAGCACCGAGGCCAGCCACATGGGCAGCGTGAATTGGCCATCGTACAGACAGGCGCCCAGCACATAGCAAAGGAAAAGGTAAGTCAGGGTCAAGGATTTCGCATAGAAAAGCCTGCGCAGCTTCGCACTCATCTGTTTGCCAGCGCGCTCCATCTCCCCGTTGAGTTGCACAATCAAACGATGCAGCTCCATCAGTAAGCTGTCCCGCTGAGCGCGAGCGATCAGAGTCTGGACGATGACCGCGTAGTTCACGACATAAAGAACGATCGGCGTGAGCCACATATAACTCGGCAGCCACATGTTCACCCAGGTGATTTTGGTCGCAATCACAACCACCGGCAGCAGTGTCACCAGAATGACATTAACGATCAACGTGTAGCCACGGGTGAGAGGCGTTTGAATGAGTTCATCGGCGCGAAATCGGTAGGAGGTCAAACCCATGAGAATTGCGAACCATTGGAATATGTCCAGCAGCAAAAGTCGCGCCATTATCTACTCCCGAATGTAACTGCTAGCGTTGGGTATCCTTGTGCAACTGAAACTCCTTCCATTTGTGTGTGTAATGGCGGAAACAATTAACTAATTGTCGCTTTGGAGATTCCTCAACGCCGATAAGTGCACAAATAACTGAGGGTAGTCGTTGCATTGATCTAAACAGACAGATTAACACTTAGGGGATATATACAACAAGCGAGTGTTTACCGCTGCAGCTATTTAAAGTCATTTCTGGCTGGAAACGCTTCGTTAGCGTTTATTCAATTAAATTTAAATAATTTGAATACCGTCGAACGTTTACCAGCACCAATTTTGCAGTATGGCAGCACTGCCACTTTCAACACACACATCGATACACTTTCCCTTGCTATCGATACTTTCAATAATTGTACACAAAAACCCGGCCGCTCGTTTTTCGCCCATAAAAAGGTAAAAAACTAACTTTAACAAAAAAACTAAGTGCTATAACTTAGTGTAAAGTAGCAGCCAAGGCCCAAAGCAACATATTTAACCAAAGACTGCTTCGAGATCGTAACCAAATAGATATTTCTGCGCACCCATGACGTGTCACTGTTCTTCAGGCGTTTCTCATCAACTTTTCGTGTTTACAACATTCTTTCAGATTACAAAATGATTACCGACGTGCAATTGGCTATTTTCTCGAACGTGCTGGGCGTGTTTCTATTCCTGTTGGTGGTGGCATATCACTACATCAACGCCAACACGGGAAAGTAAGTTTTAAGTCCACTTCTGGCGAGAGGAAAGAAGAAGCACAATGCCGGCTTCAATTATAAATTCTTTCATTTTATTTAAAGGGCTAGCCCAAAGGCGAAATGATGGATGATGATCGTGTGCACGGAAATTAACTCTATATGTTTATCTTATAATGCTGCTTCATTCGCAAAATAAATAGTTATGTAAATCTAATCGAGAATGTCCTCCAGGGCGTTCTTCATGTCCTGCACATCCTCCAGCGTGTCACCCGACTGCCGCTCCTTGCGCGTATTGAACGTGCGCATTGTGTTGTGGCCGAAGCAGAAGGCTTTGATGTATGGAACACCCTTGCGGCCAGCAGCCGGCAGCTCGTCCACCTCCATGGAGGACTCATCGTTCTTCTTGTGCTTGGTCTTGCCGTGGCCGTGATCCTGGTCGAAGCGGTAGTTGACCGGAAACTTGTGAGCCGTGATGCAGTGGTCCTTGCGCTGTCGCGGCGTGTGAAACTTGCTGCCGCACTCCTCCAGGTAGCAGGCGAACATCGGCTTATCGCCGCGTTCCACGCTGGCGGCAAAGTAGAAATCATGCTGCTCGGCAATGTGCAGATCCAACAGGTGGGCGGTGGGCAGTGTGCGTCTACACTCGGCGCAGAGATAGGACTGTGTGCTGTTAATGTAGTTGTTGTTGTTGCTGCTCCTATTGGAAGTGGCTTCCTTGGCGTCGATAATGTCATCCGCGTCGACAAGCACTCCAAGCTTCTTGAATGGCGGTGGAGCGGGTGAAGGTGGCACCGTCGGCTTCATAAACCCTGCAGGCACTTCACTGAGCATTTGCAGTATTTGTTCTTTTGTGAGAAGATAAGGCGAGGGCGACGATGCTAGTTGCGTATCCATTTTGTTTATGTTTTGAAATTGCCAAAGCCACAGACTTGCATTCCGATTAATTTTTGCGCTATTTTTTATTAACTGTTGAATAGAAGTTTCTGTTAGTTTACTATTATTTCCTATTGTTTATTTATGATCAGCGGTAACATTTTAAACAATATTTTTAATAATTGTATGCATTTTTGTGCCCTTAATGCGCAATAGCATTGCCACTTGGTTCGAGTTCCAGCAAGGTGGCAGCACTGCACACACATGTGAGCTCTAATTCGTAACAATTGCAATTTAGATTGAAACTTATTTTGTAAAAGAATCCATGTAAATCCTTCGATTAAAATTATATTCTTAGTGCTGAGAGTTGTACCCTTTCCGTAATATAAAATAGAATATCAGAATAAAGCAAATTGATTTAGATATAGATATGCCACTTGGTTAGAATTCCAGCGGGGTGGCAGCACTGCACACACATGTGAGCTCTAATTCGTAAAAATTGCAATTTAGTTTGCAACTTATTTTGTAAAGAATCCATGTAAATCCTTGACTAAAAGCTAGCCAATTTTATGGAGAATTGAGTGATGCATCGTATAAAACTATATGCTTAGTGCTGAAAGTCTTATCCTTCCAGAAATATCAAATAGAATATCAAATTAAACTAAATTGATTTAGGATTCGCTATATTTCTGAGGTTCATACGATAGATTTGATCTGTAATCGCTCTTTTTCGAATCGATTGCAGACACCGCGTGGTGTTTTTGTCAAGATTCGCATTTATTTTCCTTTTTTAAGCGTGGAAAATAAATAAAACCGCACAAAATGAGTTTGTACAACTTCAAAAAGATAATGGTGGTTCCGCCAGCCAAGGTAAGTGAGGGTGAATCCTTGTTTTGTTGTTATGTCCAGCGAAGCACCCCCGAGGGAGGCGACATAACCTCACTGTGAAGGTGTTTACAAATGCGCAACAAGTAAATAATGTTAAACTATTCTCTATTTAGGACTTTATCGACATTATGTTGTCGAAGACACAGCGCAAGACGCCCACAGTGGTCCACAAGGGCTACAAGATATCGAGAATTCGGGCGTTCTACACGCGCAAAGTGAAATACACGCAACAGAATTTCCACGACCGTCTGTCGCAGATCATACAGGATTTCCCCAAGCTGGACGATGTGCATCCTTTCTATGCGGATCTGATGAACGTGCTGTACGATAAGGACCATTACAAATTGGCTCTGGGACAGCTGAACACAGCCAGACATTTGGTAGACACGTGAGTACCACCTGAAGACCCCCTACCAGTGAATGCCATCATAACTTTTGATTTCCATAGCGTGGCCAAGGACTATGTGCGTCTGCTGAAGTATGGTGACTCGCTGTATCGCTGCAAGCAGCTAAAGAAGGCTGCCCTTGGTCGCATGGCCACCATCCTGAAGCGTCAGGCCTCCAACCTGCAGTACCTGGAGCAGGTGCGTCAGCATTTGTCGCGTATGCCCACAATTGATCCCTACTCGCGCACCATCATCATCTGCGGCTTCCCCAATGTGGGCAAGTCCTCGTTCATCAACAAGATCACACGCGCCGATGTCGAGGTGCAGCCTTATGCCTTCACCACCAAATCCCTGTACGTGGGCCACACAGACTACAAATACCTGCGCTGGCAGGTGATCGACACGCCCGGCATTCTGGATCATCCGCTCGAGGAGCGCAACGTTATCGAGATGCAGGCCATTACGGCGCTGGCCCATTTGCGCGCCTGTGTGCTTTACTTCATGGACATTTCGGAGCAGTGCGGACACTCGCTGGAGGAGCAGGTGGCGCTGTTCGAGAGCATCAAGCCGCTGTTCACCAACAAGCCCTTGATTCTGGCCATCAACAAGGTTGACATTCTGATGCCAGAGGATCTGCCCAAGGAGAGGCAGGAGATAATCACAAAGCTGCAGGAAGACAAGAACGTGCCGGTCATCCTCATGTCCACCGTTCAAGAGACTGGCGTCATGGAGGTCAAGACCGAGGCCTGCGAGCGTCTGCTGTCGTATCGCGTGGACCAGAAGATGCGCACCAAGAAGGTGGACAACATTCTGAATCGCCTGCACGTGGCCATGCCAGCGCCGCGTGACGAGAAGGTGCGCGCACCCTGCATTCCCGACCAGGCTCTGTCCCGTCTCGAAAAGAACGCCGAGAAGGCGGAGCGCAAGCGCAAGCTGGAGAAGGAGATCGAGGAGGAGATGGGCGACGACTACACGCTCGACCTGAAGAAGAACTACAGCGAGATACCCGAGGAGGAGCGCTACGATGTGATACCCGAGTTCTGGCAAGGTCGCAACATTGCCGACTACATCGATCCCGACATCTTCGAGAAGTTGGAGGAGCTGGAGCGCGCAGAGGGACTGCGGGAGGAGAGCGGCGTCTACGCCGTGTCAGACATGTCGATGGACGAGACCCTCAAGGAGATTCGCGAAATGGCCAAGCAGATCCGCGGCAAGCGTTTCGAGCTGCGCGACGAGAAGCGTCTCACGGCCAGAAAGAACAAACCGATCATCCCACGCAACAAGCAGCCGAAGGTGCGCGATCGTTCGGTCAACAAGCTGGTCCAGACCATGGAAGGCCTTGGCGTGGACATGTCCGGCAGCAAGACGGCAAACTTTTCCAAGTCTGTGGTGGATCTGCGTCGCGGCGTTGTGGCCGTTGGCTCCAAGAAGAACCCCAAGGTGCCGCTTCTCGACAAGGAGGAATCGGCGATTGTCAAGTCAACCGGCAAGCCCATCAAACGTGCACCAACACGCGACACGCTGGGCATCAAGAACCTCGCCATCCGCAAGAAGGCTCAGCTGAAGGCCCGTCACGACATTGCCAAGAAGGTCACCATGGGCTGGGGACTCAAGGGCGAGGCCGATCGTTTCATTGGTACCAAGAAGCCGCGTCATTTGTACTCTGGCAAGCGCGGCACAGGCAAGACGGATCGTCGTTAAGCAACAAAACTCCACCTGCTGGATGATCCCAGCCTGGCGTACAAACTCCTCCTTCTGTATAAACTAATGAATGTATCTTAATTATCAATTATCTGTCAAATACACGATTGTATTTCCAACAAATATGTAAAGTCCTTCCCCGTTGCCCTTGGCAACCGCTTTGCTTGTTTAGTTGCCACAAATTTCCTGTACCATTCCGAGGATAAAAGTGAAAATTTTTAAAGCTTAGGCATGTCCAAAGCAACCACAATTAAGGAGGCTCTCAAACGTTGGGAGGACCGTGAGCAGCAGAATTCTCTGACAGCCAAGGACATTGATTTGCAGTTCCAGTGGCCGCCCATTGAGAAAATGGACACCACACTGGGCACCCTGGTGCAGTGCGAGTGAGATTCGTGGAGTCACAGCAGTATGCTGGCATATTACGAATTGTTTCCCATTTGCAGGCGCATTAGCATGTCCACGAATATGATTGAGAAAATCTTTGGTTTGTCGGGGATGAAGTGCCTCAAGGTGTTGTCCCTGTCGCGAAATTATATCAAGCAGATATCGGGTCTGGTGGGTAGAGCAAACACATAGATAAATCATCCACTTTTACGTTCGTCTATACCCCTAGGAAGCCGTTGCCGAGACTCTCGAGGAGCTGTGGCTCAGCTACAATCTCATAGAGAAAATCAAGGGCCTCACCACGCTCAAGTGCCTAAAGGTGCTGTACATAAGCAACAATTTGATCAAGGATTGGTCCGAGTTCAATCGCCTGGCCGAGATAGAGTCGCTGGAGGATCTGGTTGTTGTGGGTAATCCCCTCTCCGAGGGCCTGGACGATGCCTCGTGGCGTGTGGAGTGCATCAAACGGCTGCCCACCATACGCAAGCTGGATGGCGAGCCCGTGGTGCTCAATGATGAGCCGCAGCTGTAATTGACAGAATAAACTCCACTATTTCTCTCAGTGGCTGTTAATGAAAATGAATTTCTTAACAGGCAAAAAACTGTGTAGCGCTGCGTCAAATGCCAGAACGCATTGCTGGTGCGCTTGGCACTGCAGTGTAACTGACCTATTGGCCAACTTTTTAGGACATCTCTGTTAACAGGAGTGTCGCTGTTAAGCCGACAGTCTCAAGGCTGCTCTTCTGCTCTGGCACTTAACAGCGACAGCAGTGGCACTTACAGTGCCAGTATCCAGTTTCAGCCTCGTGTGGCGGCATTGTTGTGCATCTCACTCAGTCATAGTCTAGACGCGTAAGCAGCTTCAACTAAAGTTAGAGGTTCTGACTAACGCTAATAAAAGAAGAACCTAAGCGAAGTGCGCTGTAAGCGAATTCTATGATATCTAATTGCACTCCCAACAAGCCCCACAGCGAGAATTGGCCGAACACACATTACCCACGGACACTGCATAAACGTGCTGATGGGCTCCCTGTGTATTCCCTGGTCTGCTCTCCTTGGAGCCTCCTGAAACTCTCGGGCAACATGTGCTTGGGAAAGTGTGCGGCATATTTCCTTATAGTTTTTATGGTTTCTTTAAATAAACGCATAAAAAGCGAACCCCAACTTCCCACCCACGCTGTATGCCAAGCATGCGGTTTCCTATAATAACATAAGCAACCGTTTTGCATATTCCCACTCTGTGTATTTGTGTTTGTGTACTTGTGTGTGCAAAGCCTGAAGTAAGATTTTTTCCGCTCGGGTGGCGGAAGCAGGACCCATAAAACGCTCCCCACACACACACGCGGAAACTACAGGACTACTTAGCAGCATGGATCGTAAACAGTTTGCGGCACACATTCCCAGTGCCACCCACTCCTGACACAGGAGCACACACACACTCATGCGTGTGATGGAAAACAGATGCTCCTTGTGCAAGGGGTTGGGTGGGGGGAGCTTCAAATATGCAACAGCATATAAATAAGAGACTAAAGGCTAGCCAGATTGGATAAAGGTTGCTCGTAATGCAATCGCTGTTAGCCAATGCCCAGAGAGTAACAGAGCACTGTTAACGCGAGCAGCAGAGACAATGCTGTTATTGGGCGCCGTTCTTGGAAACGCTTATTTCTCGCTCTCTCTTGGTGCCGTTTCGTCTGCACAAAACGTCAATGTAACGGAATATGCTACGGCAAACATCTAGCAGAGACAGACAACTGTACGGGGCATGCTTCTGTTTTCGGCTGGAACTGCCGTTTCAGTGTTTGGCGAGAATTCAGACGACGCGGGCTCCCCGTGCCAAAAAGTGACAACCAACCGTGTGTTTGTGAGTGTGTGAGTTTTGTGTCTGTGTGGCAGAGTTCATCAAAGATTCAACAGCCTGCCCAACAACAACAACAAAAATAGTTGAATAAATAAATGGCAAAGCCAGAAAGAAGCAAAGAAATTTAATAAAAATGATAAATAAATAGCCAAAAAGGAGGATACGCATCAAACGAGGCAGCAACAAGAAGGTGAGTATTTGAAAAAACATAAAACCCTTCAGAAAAGAAAAACATAATCAAATTTTTGCGATGAGACGAGAATTAACGGCATAAAAATTGCTCAAAGAAGAATCGTAAAAAGGAAAGCAACAAAAATACAGAGCCCCTCTGTTGCGTACCGTTAGCTACGTCAACAGCTCTCTGCGTTCTTTTTTCGGAGTATTCCCCGAGTGTCCCGTCCTGCTCTGACTCTTTTGGAGTAGTACCCGAAATGTAACGGTAACAAGAACATCAGCCCATGTTTTACTTTGAGCATCGCCATGCATACATATACGTATGTATATATGCATGTATGTGTTATGTATAGGAGCATGTCTGTACATGGAGTTTTGCGGCTCTTTCTAGCCCCTCTCAGCCCAGACTCAGCCTCTCTGCTTCATCTTTTTCGTTTTGTTTGCCTCGAGACATTTATTTGCTCTTTAACGTTTCAGTAGGCAGTCGGGCTGGCGGGGCAGGCTGAAACAGGCGTGTTTCGTTCCGGTATTCTTTGAGTCTCTCCTTTTGCTTTGCCCACGCTGTTTCGTTCCCTGTATTCCAGCGGAGGCTCGGTTCCATCTCACTGGCACCAGGCACCCTGGCACGGGGGTCGAGCTTTGGCAAGGTTGGGTCGGCCTGTAGCAGATGGAAACGGGCAGCCAAATTATGCGACCAGAAGTGCGTTACGGCTTTACCTTATTATTAATATACCCTGGACCTTGGGCTCTGGCATGTCATGCCGCAAAACAGTTAGTCCAACACTCGAAAGTCTCTCACTCTGCCCATGTAAAAGCAAGGAAGGGAAAAATAATATAAATTCGCCCACACACAGACAGAGGAAGTGACTGAGAGAGAGAGAGAGAGAGATAGGGTCTGTATGTGTGTATGTGTGTATGTACATTCAACAATTTGTTGAGTTCCAATGCCTTTTTTTTTTGTTGCTCCCACCCACTCACCAGCACTTGGGGGAGTGCCAGGGATGCTGGGCTAACGTCAACAAGTTGAAGCTGTTGCCGCTGCCAAACTCAACTCTGAGTACCTCTCTGTGTGTGTGTGTGTGTTGCATGAGTGGGGGTGGCTCAAAGTATGTCAGATTTTTGGCAGCACAGATAAATCATAAGAATAGACTGTGTCTGACTGTCGCACGATAAGTACATTTCGATGTTGTTTTTGCAACTATCTTGGCTAGTTGAAAGACTTACACCGAGAAGGACCAACACAACACACATGCAGGACGCTTTCACTGTAATAAATGTGCGGCAACTTGTCTGTCAGCCGAAAGATGGGCTTAATTCGAATTAATGCACAATTAATTGTCAGGCACGGGGGCGCCCACAAAACTATAAAAAACAAATCAGGGTACACATCTAGCACACTTATTTATTTATACTACATATAAATTGTACTTGGGGAAGTACACTAAACAAACGTTTAGTTGGAGCATAAACACAGCCGCCAGCCAGCCAATTGTTGGTTCTTTGAAGTGAAATGTGATTAAGGTGTTTTTACAAGAGAAATCACCTCAGTTCGTATGTATATTTACTTATCGACCTACACCCCATTTGGAAGCCAATTTGTCTCTCTTGCCCAAGGAAAGAGTGAAAACAAAAAAAACACAGAAAATGAAGCTTAAGAGAAATTAGAAGGATGAAAATAAATAAAGGCAATTTCGAATATGGTCGATTTCGTTTTACCTTTTGTTTGTGTTTCGCTTTCCCTGTACCCTTGTGACCGAACTTCAAACGGAGTTTTTTCCTCAGTCTCCATTACACGCACTTTTAATTTGCTTATTGGGTAGAGTCGAGAGAGTTATTCGGACTGTTCCGGACAGGCACTTCATCTGGTCCCGAACCATTTAGTGCTTGAATTTCTGCACAAGAAATGATGATGAAGATGGACATATCGGTTTTTTGGGTAGATACTTCTTGGGCTGCTTATGGTAGATACGAACTATCTCTTTCTGGCACATTAATAGCAAAAGAAAAGCAGCTGCCGAGGCGATGGGGGCGTCGTGGTGGGGGCAACTTTCTCGTAACAACCAAAAAATACAACTTGAAACTTTTTTTTGCAGATGGATGTCTTAAGCTCTTCTCTGTGGCTCGTTCATTATAATCTCTTTTTTTTACAGGAATTTTCCGGCTTCTACTGCATGTGTGTGTGCTGGTGTGTGTGTGTGTGTGTGTGCATGTGACACATGTCTGACGTCTCATTTTCTGCCATATAAACTTGCTGATGGTTTCGGACCAGCAACGCAACGGGTGCAGGCGGCGGCATGCCTTAATTTAGCATTAGGGCGTTTCAATGGAAACTCATTTGAAAGTTTTCTTTATGAAAATCTGTGCATGGGCCTACATTTGGGCTTGCAAAATAAATATTTGTGTGTGTGTTTGATTCCGGCTGTCGGCTGTGGGCCTTGGAAGCTGGCAAACGCGCCTGACCGAGCACCAATGCTCCTCAAATGCTGGGAGACGACGCTTTTTGTTGTGTGTGGGAATATGGCAGATGTTTAACGGGATGTACACACCTATACATTTGTACATACATAAATACATATTTACATATGTAGATACATTTGCACGTTGTTCGTGCGTTCCTGTATGGCATGTATTTGGCAACATATTGTATTGTGTTGGAGGGATAAATAATACATAAATATGTACATACATCTGTATGTGGCACCGGGTTTATGCGATTTTTCCTGCTGCTCCATGGAACTTCTTTCACGCACGAACAAAGGCGGACAGCGGACGGACTCCTTAATCATCGATATATGTCGCAGCGCAATATATTAGACGTTGCCCCAGCTCTGCAGCGTGCCACAGACCATATGTAGATGTCCCCTTGTTTTGGCAAAAGCAAAGCCCACCCAGGGGCCAAAATGAAATACGAGCGGGAGCATCGCATTCTGTGGTCTTCGCTCTGTGCCCCTGGCTTTGTGTTGATTTGATTTTTAAATAGGCTAAACTGACCTGACATTGATATTTTCCCATTGCCATTTTCTTCCCATTGAGATTTGCATTGCGCATTTTGGCTGCTTAATTGATGAGCGCTCAGCCATTGGAGGAGGATAATGTTTATGCCTTATGCAGAACACACAGGATATTGGTCAATAAATCATGGGAAACATTCATATTAAATGCAAATTGCGGCTGGCCAATAAATCGCATGACCTGAATGGATCTTTGCCTTAACCCACAGCTTCCTCCAGGCTGGCTGGCTGCATAAAAAGTCGCAAAGTGAGCGGAAAAATGCTGTTCTCTCTCTCTCTTTTTCTCTTGTCTTTTGGCAACTATTTTTTGTGTCATTCAATTGGCTACGAGCAGAGGCTGGCAGAGGCAGACAAAATGCAAATTAGCATTAAAAGGGGGGAAACTCAAGGACACTCAACGAAGAGGAGTTGAGTCTGCAATTTAACCACAATTTAAGCAAATATTTAATCAAACAAAAAGCCACAGCAAACATCAACGCCACAACGCCAG